AGCCCCTTCGCGCACAAACCCCCTAAGCCCTTAGCGCAAAAACCATAAGCCCTTCGCGCCAACCCTAAGACCTTAGCGCAAACCCCTAAGCATTAGGCAACCCCTAAGCCTTCGCGACAAACCCCTAAGCCCTTAGCGGCAACCCCTAAGCCTTGAGCGGCAAACCTAAGCCCTTAGAGCAACACCCTAAGCCCGTAGCGCAACCCCTAACCCTTAGCGCAAACCCCTAAGCCGTAGCGCAAACCCCTAAGCCCTTAGCGCAACCCCTAAGCCCTTAGCGCAAACCCCTAAGCCCTGAGCGCAAACCCCTAAGCCCTTAGGCGCAAACCCTACGCCCTTAGCGCAAACCCCTAAGACCTTAGCGCAACACCCCTAAGCCCCTTAGAGCAAACCCCCTCAGCCCTGTTAGCGCAAAACCCCTAAGGCCATTAGCGCAAACCCCTAAGCCTAGCGCAAACCTCTAAAGCCCGTAGCCGCAAACCCCTAAGACCTTGAGCAAAACCCCTAAGCCCTTAGCGCAACCCCTAAGCCCTAGCGCAAACCCTAAGCCCTTAGCGCAAACCCCTAAGCCCTTAGCGCAAACCCTAAGCCTTAGCGCAAAACCCTAAGCCTTAGCGCAAACCCCTAAGCCTTAGCGCCCAAACCCCTAAGCCCTTAGCGCAAACCACTAAGCCCTTAGCGGCAAACCCCTAAGCCCTTAGCGCAAACCCCTAAGCCCTTAGCGCCAAACCCCTAAGCCTGTAGCGCAAAACCCCTACGCCCTTACGCAAACCCGCTAAGCCCTTAGCGCAAAACCCCTTAAGCCCTTAGCGCTAAACCGCAAGCCCTTAGCGCAAACCCCTACGCCATTAGCGCAAACCCTAAGCCCTTAGCGCAAAACCCCAGCCCTTAGCGCAAGCCACTAAGCCCTTCAGCGCAAACCCCTAGCCTTAGCGCAAAACCCATTATTAGCCATTTAGCGCAAACCCTAAGCCCTATAGCGCAATGGACGGCGCGAAGGACGTAGTCGCAATACCTTGTTGTCATAAGTGCCCTTAGCGGCAAACCCCTAGCCCTTAGCGCAAACCTAAGCCCCTGTAGGCAAAAACTAATAGCATTAGAGCAAAAACCCAAGACCCTTAGCGCAAAACCCCTAAGCCCTTAGCGCAAACCCCTAAGGCCTTAGCGCAACCCCCCTAAGCATGTAGCGCAAACCCCTAAGCCCTTAGACGGCAAACACTAAGCCCTTAGCGCCAACCCCTAAGCCCTTAGCGAAACCACTAAGGCCCTTAGGGCAAACCCTAAGCCCGGTTAGCGAAAACCCCTAAGCCCTTAGCGCAAACCCCTAAGCCTTAGCGAAAACCCTAGCCTTCAGCGCAAACCCCCTAAGCCCTTAGCGCAAACTCATAAGCCCTTAGCGCAAACCCCTAAGCCCTTAGGCAAACCCCTAAGCCTAGCGCAAACCCCTAAGCATTAAGCAAAACACTAATCACGCCTTAGCGCAACACCCCTAATGCCTTAGCGCAAAACCCTAAGCCCTAGCGGCAAAACCCTAAGCCCTTAGCGCAAACCCCTAAGCCCTTAGCGCAAACCCCTAAGCCCGAGCGCAAACCCCTAAGCCTTAGCGCAACCCCTAAGCCCTTAGACAAACCCCTAAGCCCTTAGCGCAACCCTAAGCCCTAGCGCAACCCCTAAAGCCCTTAGCGCAAAACACCTAAGCCCTTAGCCGCAAACCCCTAACCCCTTACGCGCAAAAACCCCTAAGCCTCTAGCGCGAAACACCCTAAGCCCTATAGCGCAAACCACTAACCCCTCTAGCGAAACACCCCATAAGCCCTTAGCGCAAAAACCCTAAGCCCTTTAGGCAAACCCCTAAGCCCTTAGCGCAAAACCCCTAACAGCACCTTAGCCGCCAAACACCCTAAGCCTTAGCGCAAACCTAAGCACTTAGCGCAAAAACCCCTAAGCCCTTAGCGCAACCAGAAGCCCTGCCGCAAACCCCTAAGCCCTTGCGCAAACCCCTACGCCCTTAGCGCAAAACCCTAAGCCCTTAGCGCAAACCCTAAGGCCCTTAGCGCAACCCCTAAGCCCTTAGCGCAACCCCTAAGCCCTAGCGGCAAAACCCATAAGACCTTAGCGCAAACCCCTAAGCCATTAGCGCAAACCCCTTAAGCTTAGCGCAAACCCCTAAGCCTCTTAGCGCAAACCCCTAAGCCTTAGCGGCAAACCCCTAAGCCCTTAGCGCAAACCCCTAAGCCCTTAGCGCAAAACCCTAGCCCAGCGCAAACCTAAGCCCTTAGCGCAACCCCTAAGCCTTAGCGCAAAAAACCCCTAAGCCCTTAGCGCAAACCCCTAAGCCCTTTAGCGCAAACCCCTAAGCCATTAGCGCAAATCCCCTAAGCCCTTAGCGGCAAACCCTAAGCCCTAGCGCAAACCTAAAGCCTTAGCGCAAACCCCTAAGCCCTTAGCGCAAACCCTACACCCTTAGCGCAACACCTAAGACCCTGAGCGCAAACCCCTAAGCCTGAGCGCAAACCCGCTAAGCCCTTAGCCGCAAAACCCTAAGCCCTTGAGCGCAAACCCCCTAAGCCCTTTAGCGCAAAAACCCTAGCCCTTAGCGCAAACCCCTAAAGCCCTTAGCGCAAAAACCCCCGAAGCCCTTAGCCGCAAACCCCTAAGCCCTTGCGCAAAACCCCTAAGCCCTAGCGACAAACCCCTAAGCCTTAGCGCAAAACCCTAAGCCTTAGCGCAAACCCTAAGCCCTGAGCGCAAAAACCCTAAGGCCCTTAGCGCCAAACCCTAAGCCCTTAGCGCAAACCCCTAAGCCCTTAGCGCAAACCCCTAAGCCCTTAGCAGCCAAACCCCTAAGCACTTAGCCAAACCCCTAAGCCCTAGCGGCAAACCCCTAAGCCCTTAGCGCACACCCTAAGCCCTAGCGCAAACCCTACAGCCCTTTAGCGCAAACCCTAAGCCCCTTAGCGCAAACCCCTAACCCTTAGCGCAAACCCCTAAGCCCTTAGCGGCAAACCCCTAAGCCTTGCGCAAAACCCTAAGCCTTAGGCGCAAAACCCCCTAAGCCCCTTAGCGCAAACCCCTAAGCCCGTTAGCGCAAACCCCAAGCCTTAGCGCAAAACCCCTAAGCCATTAGCGCAAACCCTAACCCCTTAGCGCAAACCCCTACGCCCTAGCGAAAACAAACCCTAAGCCTAGCGCAACCACTAAAGCCCTTAGCGCAAACCCCCTAAGCACTTAGCGCAAACCCTAGCCCTTAGCGCAAAAAACCCCGAAGCCCTTTAGCGAACCCCAAAGCCTTACGCAAACCCTAAGCCTTAGCGCAAACCCTAAGCCCTTAGGGCAAACCCTAAGCCCTTAGAGCGCAAACCCCCGTAAGCCTTAGCGCAAACCCCTAAGCTTAGCGCAAACCCTAAGCCCTTAGCGCAAACCCCTAAGCCATTAGCGCAAACCCCTAAGCCCTTAGCGCAAACCCCCCTAAGCCCGTAGACGCAAAACACTAAGCCCTTAGCGCACAAAACCCCCCTAAGCCCTTAGCGCAACCCCTAGCCCTTAGCGCAAACCCCAAGCCCTTAGCGCAAACCCCTAAGGCCTTAGCGCAAACCCCCTAAGCCCTTAGCGCAAACCCCTAACGCCTTAGCGCAAAACCCTAAAGCCTTAGCGCAAACCACTAAGCCCTTAAGCGCAAACCCCTAAGCCCGTCGCGGCAAACCCTAGCCTTAGCGCAAAAACCCTAGCCTTAGCGCAAACCCCTAAGGCCTTAGCGCAACCCCTAACGCCCTTAGCGCAACCCCTAAGCCTTAGCGCAAAAACCCGAAGCCTTAGCGCAAAAACCCTAAGCGCTTAGCGCAAACCCCCTAAGCCTTAGCGCAAAGCCCTAAGCCCTTAGCGCAAACCCCTAAGCCCTAGCGCAAACAACCCTAAAGCCCTTAGCGCAACCCCTAAGCCCATTAGCGCAAACCCTAAGCCTTAGGCAAAACCCCTAAGCCCTTAGCGCAAAACCCTAAGCCTCGCGCAAACCCCAAGCCCTTAGCGGCAAAAACCCTAGCCCTTAGCGCAAACAACCCCTAAGCCATTAGCGCAAACCCTAAGCACTTAGCGCAAACCCCGAAGCACTTAGCGCAAACCCCTAAGCCCCTTAGCGCAAACCCTAATCCCTTAGCCAAACCCTAAGCGCAAAAGGCCCTTCTTTAGCGCAAACACCTAAGAGCAAAGCCCTTAGCGGCAAACCCCTAGCCCTTAGCGCAAAACCCTAAGCCTTAGCGCAAACCCTAAGCGCAAAAACCTTAGCGCAAACCCTAAGCCCTTAGCGCAAACCCTGCGCAAAAACCCCAAGCCCTGAGAGCAAACCCTAAGACCTTTTAGCGCAAACCCCTAAGCCCTTAGCGCAAACCGGTCAGTTCAAAAGCGCAAACCCCTAAGCCCTTAGCGCAAACCCCCCTTTTACTTAGCGCAAACCCCTAAGCCCTTAGCGCAAACCCCTAAGCCCTTAGCGCAAACCCCTAAGCCCTTAGCGCAAACCCCTAAGCCCTTAGCGCAAACCCCTAAGCCCTTAGCGCAAACCCCTAAGCCCTTAGCGCAAACCCCTAAGCCCTTAGCGCAAACCCCTAAGCCCTTAGCGCAAACCCCTAAGCCCTTAGCGCAAACCCCTAAGCCCTTAGCGCAAACCCCTAAGCCCTTAGCGCAAACCCCTAAGCCCTTAAAGTTTAAAAAACTAAACAGAAAAGGTCTTACCTTCCAACAAATCCTTTCAGCTGCCTCATCATGTTAGTAAAGTTGAGCCAGTTAGATTCTATTATATTGAAAGAAAGACAAAATTACTCAACTCGTCTAGAAACGTCTTTAAACACTGATAAGACATCTTGCATTTACAGGTTTATATTTAGCAATACACACACACACACACTTAAAACATCCATCAACAGAAGCCCGTTAAACAGCAGATAAAGGGCCCAAATATGTCAGGATAGACAGCTACATATTGGAAGCAGACAAACTCAGGCATTTAATAATGTTAGAAAGGGTTTTATTAGAGCCTAATGGCTCAGCCTGCACAAGCATCAAAAAAAAAAAAAAAAAAGCCCAGGCTTCGCCAATTTGCTCCCCAACATCCATAAGTCTCCTTTAACCTGGAGTTCGGTCATTTGAAGGCAACCGTGCATAATCCAGAATTGCAGTAGTGTCCAAAATTCTAGACTACATGGACAGTTGTCAGTCCACTGTCAATTACATTCCAGATACACAGTTCAATTGGCACTCAAAGTGTACATTTCAACACAGCCAGTAAACAAGGTCTTTAACCTTCAGTGTAACCCAAACACTGTAGGTTAAAATTTCAGAGTCAATATTCTAACAAGAGTTACTTACATTTTCTATTTTATATCCAGCGAACAGTAAAAACAAACACCTTTAGCAGAAGGATATTTAATAACACTTTATTCAAATTAAGAAACTTCTAGTAAAAGCTCCCATTTGTGATACATTCTGCAACAAACTCACTTTCAGTTAAGATAAAATTGTTCTTTATTTTGACTCATTTTAAAAATGGTGTTAATTACAGTCACTACAGTAAAGTGTATTTAAAGTTTAATTTTACAGGGTACACACATACAATTCAAACCATTTAAACTGTAGAACAATGGTCACAATTGTCTTAAATAGACCAAACAATTCAAAACCTTACAAAAATGTGAAAAAGGCTCACAGTTGGTGACATGATCGGTGTCTCTGTGGTGGTGTAGGTATTGACATTAACCCAAGTCAGTCAGTTTTTGGGTTGTACTCCATGCAAATACAATTCAACAGGTTTCTTGCCCACCGCGTATTGACCAAACTGGAATGAGTAAATGGGGCAAAAGGTCAAACATTTTACGCATTAACTAACCAGTTTGGCATTTTGATCTACCTGCCCTATTCAGAAAGGGTCAAAATCCTCACCTAGGATATTTGCGTTTCGTCGAAGCCGCAGGAGATACAGATATGGTTCAGGAGAAACTCAGACAAACATCCACATTTTGTTGAGTTTTCACAACCTCAAAAAAAGGGTAACAGAGCCTTAGTCGACAGTCCATGAACTATGTGGAACGAAATGATAATCAGGATAGTTTACAGAAGTCAAATCTGACAGGGTAGACTAGCATTGGGCTGCTGGGACAAACACTTTTATTCCCGTCTCATCGCACACTAATGGCATCAGTTCCAGGTGGCATGAAGAACTTTCAAACTCTTAAGCAGTGAAAATCTATACGAGGAAACAAAAGTAAAATTCCTAAAACAGGGATATCTTTTGGCTTTGCCACGAAATGAAACTTGCTGGAAAATGAGCCACTCGGGTCACTGACACACCCACATTAAGAAAGTACGACTTCAATTTGAAAATGCTTCCATAGTCTGTTCGCTGAACTTTACATATTTCCGTTACCTATTTATTTTGATTGACATTACTACGGAGTAAATCTATTTGGAAATTACTGTAAAAGGAGAATTTTTTTTGATACCTTATCTAAATTGTTGCCAAACATCCCTGAACCATAGCACAGAATGGGCAAATCTGATAAAGTAGAAACACTCCATGTAAATGAAAGGATTAAAGTTCAGAGTTTGCAAAGTTATATCCAGCAATGAGACCATGTGACAAAATACGCACACACACACCTGCGAGATTAGATGAGTAGCAAAGTCAGTGTCACAGCGTTCTGAAAATAATTTGAGTCAATTAGGCTTATTAGGAGATAATTAGCTGGGTTAAATGTTTTTCATTTGCCTGCAATTTAAGCGTTCATCGTTACATTAGGGCTTAGATCACAGAAGTACCAGCATGAGCAGTAACCAGTACTGCTCTGATAATTCCTTTGGAAATATTAGCCGCGTGCCGTTGCGATAGACAGAATCCGGCTGATTAACATTAGTCGCTTTGCTGTTGGTTCCCTCGCCACCCTGAGCGCGTGCCTGTTGGTCAGGGAGCTTGAGCACAGCCAGCCTGATAAGATGCACAACAACATCACAATGTGTCGCTACAAGAAGCACCGCTTAAGTTAACAATCCTTAAGGGAGTGTTTCAGAAACCCTGTTAATTGAAAACAGGGTTACACAACATGCAGCAAAATTACCTTTTCTGTACTTCACTTAGACAAAGTTAACAATGACAAGCTTTTGCTTAATGCAAATTGGAAAGGGCTGACCGTAATTAAACGTTACCATAAAAGTGATTATTCAGTTTAACAAGCCAAAATTTTTTTTTTTAAAATCCTCGACGTTGATTTCTCTTTGACATAATATGCCGTTAGCCTGGTTAATTGGACACTTTAGCCTTCTGCAATTCAGATTTAAGACAAATGAAAAAAAATTCAGCTTGAGTGCAAATATGTCCATACAATTAAAAATCTCCAGGTACCCGGTCACGGTTTTCTTTTCATGAATATAGAAACTCCCTTTGGCCTCATTTACATTCAAGACAGTTTTGATGAATATGTCGACTTCAATCATACTCCGGCACCAAAACAGATAGAGAAAGAGTCCTGCCCTCTTACAGGTCTTACCTGTTCTGTCCTTCTCTTGCAACCGGCATTTGCTCCAATGCATGATTCAAGCCCTTCCACCAGGGAGCTCAGTTCCAGCTCTTCCTTTGTTAGCCGTGTGCTCTGGCTTTTAAGCCCAGCTGCAATTAGGTCCCTTAAGAACCTACAGCTGGGTGTGCAGTGAGGCATTCTGGGGGCTGTAGTGTGTGGACCGGCGGGGTTGGGAAGCCAATCCTGTGTGAGAATGCAGTCTTCTACCACTTGTCCCCTTGTGATGTCAAAATGTATTGGTTTTAATGTGGAGCAGACTCCAAAGTCATCTACACTGTCAGGTGCAAGGCCTACCACAAACTATAAGTTGGGAAGGCAAAAAACAGGCTGCATTTGATAATTAAGCAGCACTTTTATAAGACAAATAATGGGAATGTAATAGTGTCTTATATGAGCATCTAAAACTCCATGGCTCACATGGCCTTTAGAATGCAGGCCTAGAGGGCAACAGGCGGTGGAGCACAGCCCATCAGCGTAGAGGAGATGGACCCACAGACTGGAAACCTTATACCCTCACAGGCTTAACGGAAAGTATAAGGGATTTTTTGGTTAATACTATAACCTGTTTTTTTAAAGATTGTAGTCATTGTCTGCTTCAAATTCCTAACCACAAGATGATTTCTACATACATTTGTTTTCATCAAAGAAGCATATATTTTGTAACTTTTATTATTTTTGGTTTTGATTGATGAAAGGAGAATTTTATGTTGGTTTAGTTTGTAGACTAGTTCCAGCAGTAAACATCATGGTCATACTTTAAAAAACTGAAAAATTAAACAATTTGTCTGTCTGACCGGTTAGAGTTCAAATCATATGAAGTGTAGTAAAATTAGCTGATTAATGAATCAACAATAGAACTCACAAATCATATCAACTGAAGATTTACGTCAATAAAAGGCTAAAAGAGTTCACATTGCAGATTTTGTTGACATTGGCGGATGACATCTTAGTCACACCTTGGTACTGAGCGGGTTCATGTCAGGAGCCTCCTCCTCCTCAGGTAGCCTTGAGGGGGCAGAAGCCTTGAAACCTGTGAAGGAGGGACTGATGGGAAAGCGTCTGAGCCATCGAGTCCGTCCAACCACACCCATTCCAAAAGGGAGGTCATACGAGGAGGAGGAGGAGGAGGAGGAATCGGAAGAGGACCCCCACTCAACTAGACCGCGCTCCTGTTTGGAACCTGGAGACCAAGCAACATACCAACGTTAAGACAGGGAGTCGTTACAAATTCTATCATACTTTCCAAACAGAGATATATATACCATTTTTACAAAAGGAAAACAGAGAATGTTGACAACTTTGATACTGTGCATACATGCTGCCATAGGCCATATAATACACATACAGACAAATCATGAGTCACAGTGAGAGGAGAAGGGCCTCCAGGTACCGCTTCTTATGAGCATTAGGAACCTCAATGTACCAACATTTGCTATAACAATCTATATAAAACGTTAATGCCCTGGCAGTGGCCCCTGGCTTTGGTTTAGTATTTAATAACATTTATTTTGAAATTGAGATTTACAAGAAATATACAGCTGTTTTAACCGTAACACCACCGTCTTTTTTTTTTTAAGTAAAAATAAAAGTCCAGACACTACTTTTGAATTAAGGATTTTGTATATATATACTGAGAGAGGCTGCACTGGGAAGCGCAAGGTTGGCGGTTTGAACCCTGTTTACCATGTCAAACTGCTCCCCGAGTAAAATGTAAAAAGCCATGGGTTAAAAATGCAATGTAAGTCGCTTTGGATAAAAGCATCAGCTAAATGACATGTAATGTAATATATATTACCCACATGCATACACTTAACATCTGAGGCCATTTAGCACGATGAACAAATGATGGTGAGGGGAATGTCTCCAATATTCAAAATTTGTAACATTTTTTTTGGTTTGTAAAATAAACTAGAAAAAATTAGTTAAGTGTGTGTTGATTGTATAGGTTTGTGTGTGTGTGTTTATGACCTGGTATCGTGTTGTCGAGACAAAATGCCAGGAAACCTCCAACGAACATCTCAGTGGACAGAAGAACCGTCAGGATGTTATCCAGCTCTGGAAGACCTGAACATAGAAAACTAATCTGTAGGAACTACATACACAAGTTCGTAAGATATAGCCTGTTCTATTTTGTAGAAACTTAATGATTTAGATTAAAAATAACTTTAATAAGTGGTGCTGTTAGCCAGAGGAGAACCGACTACTGTCCTTTAGGGAAGCACCTCTATCTATTTCAATGTTATTATCTTTCCTGCTCCTCTATGATTCATTAAAACACAACCAATGAAGCTCATTACTGATCGGCAGCCAGAATACAGAATAACATTGTGTCCAACACTCGTCTTCAAGTCTTCTTCTTCAAGACCTTCTTCTTCTTCTTCTTCTTCTTCAATCCTTTTGATTTTAACTAAGGTTTTGCAAAAAGCTTTCAGATTGAAGATTTACAGAATGAAAATTTAAGAAACCTGAAACCAATCCATAAACCAACGTTTATGGATTGATCGTAAACCTCATTGAAACATGGAACTTAAAACCAAACCTGGACCCTAAAAAAGGCCTTTAAATCCACACGCACACACCTGTTTTAATGGACTCGGGGTGTTTGTCCAAGTACGTTGGCAAAGTCAGACCGAAAAACATTGAGAATCCCAAAACAAAAAGGTTCCTTGAAGAGTTCAGATCCACAAACTGCAGGTTAGAGAGACCGACGGCTGTGATCATACCTGAGAAACATAAAAATACATAGATATTTGTTACTTCACAAACACATCTGGATTATTCTTACTTCACAAACACACCTGGATTGTTCTTACCTCACAAAACACCTGGACTATTATTACCCCACAAACACACCTAGGTTATTTCTACCTCCTTATGTCTGTTAGCTTTGACTCACCAAAAAGAGTGCAGAACATTCCACCAAGGATCGGATCTGGCAGAGAGGCAAACAAAGCTGTGAACTTCCCGACTGAACCCATAATCAACATGATAGCAGCTCCGTACTGCACCACTCGCCTGCTGCCAACCTGCACACAGGGTCAACAATTCAAACATCCATCCTCTATCTGCAAGTGGCAGGCGTCCACTTCTACATGACAGGGGTTTTGAATCATATTTGTATATTTCAGAAGATGATTTGGCAGATGCAAAAATGTGGGAATGTCTCACAAATAGACAGCCAAAGGGATGCAACTTTTAGCCTTGGAGGAGAGAAGTAGCAGTTCACTTACGCCCTGTAGACCAGAATCAACCTGGGGAGATGGTCTAAGGAGAAGATGTCGGCAACAAGTGGCAAACACCCTTACTTCTAGTTACAGAAGGTCTGAGATATTGCTTCTAAGATCAGAAATTTAGCTCTAGGTGTCTAATACAGTAGATATAAGTCTACATACCCCTGTTAAAATGCCATTTTTTTTATTTAAGGAAATGAGACTGAGGAATCATGTCAGAACTTCTTCCACTCTTTATGTGACGAATAACGAAAACAATTCAATCGAAGAAAATTAAGTCTTTAGGGGCAAACTAAATTAATGTTTGCACACCTTCTTATAAATGGGGATATGTCTGTGTTCAGAATTAACCACAGTGAAGACAGTCATCATCAAGTGGAGAAAATGTGGCAGGACACTGAAATTACCAAGAACTGTGTGTCCCTCCAAAATTGATAAAAAGGCAAGAAGAAAACTGGTCATGGAAGCGTCGAAGAGGTCTACAGCAACATTAACAAGTGTACTACAATCTCCCGTATTCTTCATAGGTTCAGCCTATGGGGTAAAGACGCAAGCCTTTTCTGTCACGGTTTGGGTTCATTTCCTGTTTTATTTTGTAGTTTCTTGCCTCTTGTCTCCCTGGGTAACTTCACTTCCTGCCTTGTCCTGTCATCTCCTGTGATTGTCTGCCGTGTCTGATTGTTTCCACCTATGTCCAATCACCTGCATCTCTCTAGTGTATTTAAGCCATGTGTGTCTGTTGTCACTGGTCGCGTCATTGTTAATTGTCGGAAGTCCACGTAAGAGTGTTTCTGGTCCATGTCTGTGTTTTTGCCCCTAGGCCTGTTTTGCTTTTGAACATTTGGACTATTAAAGTCTTTTGTTTCTCGAAGTCTGCGTTCGAGTCCTGCCTTCCCCGCACCGTGACATTTGTTTGTCTGATGCTGCAGCCATTTGGCACTCAGCACTGCACGAGGAGGAGGAAGGAGGCGAGGGGCGGGATTGTGAGCGCCGTGGAGCATGTTGGGGCGAAATTTTCACAAGAACTCAAATAAATGTCGGTGAGATATTAAAACACATTAGGGAGGAATTGATATCGCTCGAAGTTGGCTGGGATGGACTCCAGCCCCCCCGCGACTCTGTGTGCAGGATAAGCGGTTTGACAATGGATGGATGAATGGAGGGAGGAATTGATGAGAGAGAGTAATTTGTATTCTTAAATGTTGATGAATGAAGAAAAAGTTGCGCTCCAGCAGAAGGGGCACTTTTCTCATCCAGGGCAAAAGGGATGGTGCTTGAGCACCACTAGGGGTCTATCTGTGCACGTGCCTGCAAGCAAACATCTTGATGGGTGATCTGAAGAGAGTTGTGCACAGAAGATGACTTGCAATCTGATCCTTTTGAGGCGCTTTTGCAAAGAGTGGGCATATATTACCAGGTCAAGATGTGCCATGCTTGATGTTTCCTATCCTAAAAGAGTACTGATCAAAATCAAAAAGTGCATCTTAGTTTATGTCCATATTTATACAGCCAGGTTATTGCAGATTACTAATATTTCCCACTGAAAGATTACATTGTTTTCAGTTGAATAATTTACGTTATAAGTCATATTAAAGGTTGAAGATCTGACATGATTTATCTTGGTCTCACAAGCACCTGGCGTTTTGACAGAGGTGTGTAGACTCTTTATATCCAATGTATATTTACATTTAAGGGTCTAATAGATACACTTAGTGTTCTGAGGACTACTTGCAAAGGTCAGTGATTTAGACAGTCACCTTTGTGATACCCAGAACTCCTATATTTGGACTGGAGGAGGTTGAGCCGTTTCCTGTCCCTAAAAGACCAGCAATTATGCAGCAAACACCTTCAGTGAAGATCCCCCTGAAACAAAAAACTTCATGCGTTTGTCACTTCCAGACTGGATTACTGTAATTCTTTGTTATCAGGCTGCTCTTGTAAATCTCTTAAGCCTCTCCAGTTGATTCAGAATGCTGCAGCATGTGTATTAACAAGAACTAAGAAAAGGGATCCTATCACTCCTGTATTAACTTCTCTGCACTGGCTCCCTGTTAAATCAAGAACTTCTCCTCACCTACAAGGCACTTGCTGGTGAGGCACTGTTGTATCTTCAAGAGCTTGTAACACCTTATTGCCCTACAAGGCAGCTGCGCTCCATAGATGCTGGTTACTTGTTGTTCCTATGGTTTTAAAAAGTAAGCTGGGAGCCAGAGCCTTCAGTTATCAAGCTCCTCTTTTGTGGAACCAGGTTCCACTTTCAGTCCGGGGGGCAGATTCGGTGAGCTCTTTTAAAGTAAGACTTAAAACTTTCCTCTTTGATTGTGCCTATAGTTAGGGCTGGCTCAGGTTAGCCCGGACCAGCCCTTAGTTAAGCTGCTATAGACTTAGACTGCCGGGGGACTTCTTAGGACACACCGAGCTCCTCCCTCACGCTCTCGTTCTACAATAATTCACGTTTTATTAATGCACATGACTAATTCAGCTTCTTTCCGGTATTTTTTTTGTGCTTTCTCCCCTAGCAGGTCTTTGTAGATCGTAGTTCCTTCTGGACCCTGGTCCTGACACCTACCGTGGCCCTGCTGACGCCTGCTGCTGCCATCATCATCATTATTTTAGATATTAATCATATTACTGTACTCGTAAACCAACATTACCCTCTCCTAAAGTCTTTGTGCTCTCCCTCCCCACAGGCTTCTGTGGATGGTGGTTCTATCTGATGGTGGTTCTATGTGATGGTGGTTCTATCTGTAATGTAATTCCCCTGCAGTGGTCCTGCTGTGCGCCTGGCTTACTACTCACAATTACTTGAATTATTTCTGTCATAGGAATTGCATGTATTATACATTGTTCATTCTGTACACATGGCATCCATTGTAGTCTGTCCATCCCGGGAGTGGGATCCCTCCTCTGACGTTCTCCCTAAGGTTTCTTCCCTTTTTTCCCTCTTGGAAGGGTTTTTTCATTTTTTGGGGAGTTTTTCCTGTGCCGATGGTGGGTGTCGGGACAGCGGATGTCGTATGTGTACAGACTGTAAAGCCCTCGGAGGCAAATTTGTAATTTGCAATTTTGGGCTATACAAAATAAAATGAATTGAATTGAATTGAATTGAAAGGGAAGAATAGAGGAGGTTCCTCTCCCGGGATGGACAGACTGCGATGAGTGTACACAATGAACGCAAAAGATGTAAAATACGTTCAATTCATACAAACTCCTTGAACTCCTCATATGCGTTCATGATCATGAACTCCTGCTCGTCTTCCTTTGAGTTTATTTGCTGTTGTACTGTTAAAAAATCCCGGTTTGTCTTTTGTAGTACGTGCACACGAGATTATCCTGAAGACTGACATCTGGTTCAAATTAACAAGACTGTTTGAGTGCAGATCAGCCTTTGAGGAACTAAGATAGCCTGACATCAATCATCTCGTTAAATTGAGCTGGATAATGGGAAATTTGATCAACTTAGTTGAACCATGTACTAGGAATAGTGCTGTGATCACCTTCAGTTTACCTGTTTATTGCGTGGACTGGAGGAGGTGTGGCTCCAGAGAGACGAGCACAGGCATAATAATCACCAATCGATTCCACGATGCCGGTCATGGTGGCACTCAGCATCCCCAACACTCCGGCAACCGTTACCACCGGCAACCCCCACTGGCCTATCACAAACCAGAGATAAATCGGTTTAATCGGATCCATGTTCATCTTCTGTCATCTTCAAAGAAGGTTGAAGGCTGTTGAAAAGTTGTTCAAGATTATGCCCTGGTGTTACAGATAATATAATTTGGGACTTAAAATGTTTTAGGATTGAAACAAATGAAATTTACCTTGATACTTTTGATCTCATGAGATAGATAGATAGATAGATAGATAGATACTTTATTGATCCCTCAAGAGGGAAATTTTGGTATCACAGCAGCATGTACAGGGAAGAAAATAGAATAAAAAGATACACATTATATACAGTATAATAAGATATAAATATTAAATTATTAAATTAAATAAATTAAACAAAAGAATAACCTTCCAAAAGAGGCAATAATAATAATTTGTAAAAGGAGAAGAGGAAGAGGAAGAGCAGCAACATCACAGCAGTACAGGGTTGTTATTGTCAGTATTTAGCCAGGGATGATTTATTGTAGAGTGTTATTGCACCGGGCAGGAATGATCTCCTGTATCGGTCCTTGTGACAGCGGAGCTGAAGGAGTCTGTTGGAGAACGTGCTCCGCTGTCCCTGTAGCAGGTGGTGGAGGGGGTGGTCAGGATTATCCAATATGGATAACAGTTTCTTCAGTGACCTCCCCTCAACACCTTTTCCAAGCTGTCCTGTTTGCCTCATGAAGTCAAATAAACCAGATAAGCACCAAGGTACAATTATTAGACGAGAAGTTCTGGCCAACTGTGAGCCCAGCCTGTGAATGGTGGATTTTAACAACTGGTGTAAAGCCTGGGACTGTCTGATTTTAGCCACTGGTTTGAAGCCTGGGATTGGCTGACTTCAGATTACTTACAGGGATAGGGTACTCTGAACCAGGGGGACGAAGTCACGATGTCACCACGGGCATCGGTACGAGCCTTGTGTCCGTAACTCTCAGAGTTGCTCGGCAACAGGTTGTTGAGCGTGAGAACGTAGCAAATGAGCCAAACTAACATGATGGCAAGGATGATCTGTGACAAACCACAGAAGGAAATAAAGTCAGATTAAGTGAACAATAAAAGAACACTTGAGGGACTAACATGATCTGAAAATTAGCATGACTTATCAGTTGTTTATATCATATTTACTGGAAACATTTTGAAGAGCTGCACACTAGTGGAGGTCAGTCCCTTCTTCCTTGTGTAAACAGGAACAGGAAGTGAGGTCTCTCTCAGGTACTGAGCAAAGAGCACAATGAGAAAAATACACCTGGAGAAACAAAGAGAGGCAGTTAGTGAGACAGAGCGAGACAGACAGTGAAAGAGAGACCGAGAGAGTCGTCGACATTCTCAATAGATGACCAGTGACTGTTTTAACCCCTGACATGTGTAGGGGGTCAGGCTCCACTCTGTGCTTCCTCATTTTGTTTTAGCCTGTGGACCTAATGTCTTGGGTTGGAGAATTTGTCTCTTCTTGACAACATTGAGTTGACTATATAAATGTGTTAGAATGCAGTCACAGATGTAAAGAGCAAACAGTGATCAGCACACAGACGGGTGGACAGACAGACGGTGCGGCTCACAGTGCTGACAGGCCCCAGTGAGACCCAGCCCTGTCGCCAGCTATTGAAAACGCAGACAGGCCAATCAGTGAGACAGTTGGAGTGATGGTGAGGGGGCCAATGTACTCCAGCAGCAAACCTGGCAACCCACAAAGCCCAATCAAAATTTCCACAGCACTGGACACGATGATGGCGCCCTGGATCTAAGAAACAGAAACAAATCACATAAGCAAATAAAGATCAACAAACTAAAAGTGGACCAACAAACAGGTGAACAGACAGACAGCTCTAGAGACAGACAGACAGCTCCAGAGACAGACAGATTTAGAGATTTGTGTTCTTATCATTCGACTTACACGTTGAATGATAAGAACACAAATCTCTAAATCTGTCTGCTACAACCCTGAGATACTGTGACGGACACATGCCAACCTCAAGGGAACAATCCACGGGATTATTGCTCCCCGGGCAATCATGTAAAAAGCCATGGGTTAGAAATGCAATGTAAGTTGCTTTGGATAAAAGCGTGAGCTAAATGACCTGTAATGTAATGTAAAAGGTCCCAGTGCTTGCTGCAGGCCACATTGGAAGTCCCAGTGCCCAGTGGAGGTCACAGTCTGATGAAAGAGGTTTACCTTTCTGACCCTCTTCAGGCCTTGACTGTACCTTCAGATTTTTGTTCATAAAAAACACTCTATCCGAGTTCATGTCTGACTTTCTCTGCAGACAACTCAGCTTTCACTATAAGTAAATGTGAACTGAAATACCCCAAACATGTTTAGGAGGTCTCTCCACTGATCTAGCACCATAACAAAATCATCATCACGTCTCCTGAATCTGACGGAGCTCTACCTCAGTGTTTCTTCACTCATCAGTTGGGCTGAAAGGAGTTTGAGATAAGACCCAAGTCTTGCATCATAACCCTGAGAAGCAATATGAATGTTGTACGCTATGACCTCCATGAACTGCTCCCAGGGAGTTTCAGCTTCAGGAACCACTGATCTGACCTCCTGATACCACTCTGGTGCTTCTAGTGTCCCCTGGAATGATTTACCCAGTTGCAGCGGTAATAATACCAATAATAATATAAGATCAATAATATAATAACATAATAATAACATCATGTAATAATAATTCAAAAAAGAATAACTATCATGCACCTCTCTGATCCGTGGGTGCCAGATGTGTGAGGTGCTAAGTGGTAGAGTCCAATTCCCATAAATTTCCTCTGCAGAGGAAAGAAATAAAACATCCTTATATTATTGTCATGTTACTGTTGTTTCCACATGATATTTAAATTATGCATTAGAATATGTCTCACCCTCCCCAGGACAGGGAGAATTTCTCACTCTCAGACAGTAAGAACAGAGAGTGTCTCACCCTGCCTGGGACACTAAGAACATAGGGAATGTCTCACCCTCACTTGGGCACTTCCAGCGGTCCAGACTAAGGATCGCCTGGGCAGGAATCAAGAAAGCGAACGCACTGGCCTGAAAGAGAGGAAGCCTACACACACACACACACACACACGCACATGCACACGCACACACATAATCAGACTCAGTTAACCCACACAAGCCCACACCCGCACAGACCACCACAGACCCACCTGACCCCCACGGTGGTCTGAATCAGGGTTGTGATGCCCACTGTGGTGAAGATGGTTCCCACCAGCTGACTGACGGTGTTCGGGTCGCGACCAACACACATGGCCTCTGCCAGGAGAAAGGGCACCGCCACAGTTCCACTGAAACATGTGAGGTAGTGCTGAGGACAGGTGAGGAGAGTTAAAGGGGTATGAAGACAGATAAGTAGCAGTAAGTAGGAAAACACAGTGTTACCTGTAGTCCTAGTAGAATACACAGGTGCCATGGTGGGACGTCTTCTATGGTGTAAATCATGTCTGACCTTGCCACCTGCTTTTCTATTGGCTGTTTTTTTCCTTTACCTTCCATTGGTAGCTTGACACTGTCTGCCGTATTATCATGACTCTGATTGGACAAACAGACAGAAAGACACACCCAATAATGTGGAAAACAATACATCAGCAGCATATTTGTGTCATTTGGTCGGCTGCATCCTCATGAGGATCCATTCGTTGACAACATACTTCACTTTGGGTGCGACTCACATTCCATCCATTGCCCCCTGTGAATGCGGTCAAAGGACGCAGCCTTCCAAGCGTCGATTTGGAGGACACATCTGATCTATCCTATGTGGTCCAGCATGTTACATTACATTACAGGTAATTTAGCTGACGCTGTCATCCAAAGCGACTTACATTACCCGTGGCTTTTTACATTTTTGCCCAGGGAGCAATTAGGGGTTAGGTGTCTTGCTCAGGGATACTTCGACTTGAGACATGGGGCAGCTGTGACTCGAACCACCAACCTGTTGGTGGTCCTGTTTTATTTTGAAAACAGGAAATGTGATGTAATTTTGTCAGGTGACAGCTAACTTTACATGACGTTGATAACCGATGTTGGGTTTTTAAATACACAAGACCTGAAAACTCTGTCATGCTATAAACAGAAAATAATCAAAAGGTATGAACCTGAAATATCAGTTTCTAAGTCAATAACATTATAAATGTTGAGAAGAAATACACAAAGAAACTGAACTCGTGTTGCCCATTTTGTTTTGTGATCATAAACTAACTACATTTATTTTGGTTTTATGGAGCTAAAGAAAGAGAAAAAGCTGCTAACGCAAACAGGAAGTCCCGCTGTAGGTTCAGCCTATGTGGTTGTTGGAGGACTTGGCCCACGTATACCAGAAGGCCGGATCCTCTATGCAGCCCAACAAATGAGACAAAGCAATAGCTCCTGTGTACGAGCCGCAGATCTGATTTCCCCCTGGTTTGCTTCTTACCTCTGTTTGGTTTCACCCTTGCTTGGTTCTCCCTTGTTTTTGTTCCTACCTCAGTATACAAGCCATGGTATACAATAGCCATGACGGTGCTTTCCATAGAGGTACAGGACATAAACCCTTGGGAGACTAGCCTCTTTTTGGCCTCTGCTCCGAAAAATGCATACTCATGATAAAAAGTGTAATAATATCAATGTTACACACAAAAAAGTTTGAATTTTTAGATTTGCCTAAAAAATGTCATAAACAGCCCTATAAATCCCATTATCCCATAAAACATTGAAATACCAGGCTAAAACCACACAGGTGGTGCAAGCAATCCTGGGCTTCCACAGGCTTTGACTTTGAAAAACGGGTAGAGCGTCACTCGAGATTTCTCATTTGCTCAAAAAAAATGGACCAGACGGCTTGAGCAGTCATCTTGCCTCTCTCACGTGGAGTAATAATAATCAGACCTCATTGCAAAAACCCTACATACAATCCGTAAATTCTGTGAAAAACAACAAAGGTAAGACACATTTAGAATTTGTTTTTTCTAAGGCTTGATGGGTTTTGTACTTTTAGTTCAACATGGCTTCGCTGAGCAAAACTAAAAAAATGGAGCAAAAGACTGAAGACATCATGGTGAAAGATGTCAGAAAAAGACATGACATCACTCAAAGACACGCTAGAAGACAGTCCAGTGAGTCACTGCTCTCATTAAGTAATATTCAGTTTAACTGTGTATCTTCATTACAGAAATCTGAATGTGAAGCGGCTTGGTAACCCTAATCCCTAACTCCCTAACCCCCCCGACCCTCATTTACTGCTCAGAACTACATGGATCTCTTTTAACAGAAAGACTCACTCAGTTTATTTACAGCTTTAATAATCTTCAATAAAATACACTTACCCAAAATTGAGTGTGTTACGAATTGCATGTTTGGAAACCATTTAAATAAAGCTTTAAAAGTTTGAACAAAGTACGCCGGCTACTTGATCTCTAGACTGACAATGATTGACCCTATTTAGGGATAACAATGGATCAATAATCACTGATCACTTTACCTTAGAAGCATCCTCCATTTCACCTGCACCCGATCAAGCAGCAAATACTGAAGACACGAGTAGACAGAGAGTTTTAGGTGAAAGTCCACATACATCAACCACAGATTATTAACCACACACAGACACCAGCTCAGGTGACCGACTACCTCTAACACAAGCGGCTAACCAGCAGCAATTATTGTTTATTGATTACAACTGAGGTCCAAAGTGTAACCAGGTTACACAGACTGATCACTTCCTGTGTTCACTAAAGACGTGCTGAAGCTGAGACTTCCTCCTGGACACCTGTAGTCTTAACTAATCAATCAGCTGCTATCAGACCTGGGTCCTCCTCCATGGATCTGAGATCTGAGCACATTGAATTTTACATGTTAAAGTATAGGTGCTTTTTTCCACAATTTACAAAAATGTTTAAATGATCAACAGAAACAAATTTCCTATAAAGGGGAATATAAAAAGTCTGTGTTCAATACATATTACAATAATAATAACAATAATGATAACAATAATAATGATGATAGCTTACTCTATTTGTTGCATGATTTTCATTACTGATCTATGACACCACAATCAAACTGGTTGTACACGTGAATTCTTTTTATTCAATTTATCATCTACATTTAATACAGATTACAATAATGGTAATTAGAACAATAATAAAAATCATGACAATAGTGGTAGTAATAATAAGGATAATGATAATATAACTTTTCATACATAGAATGATTATTACAATAATAACAATATTTTTTTTTGTCACAGACCTGGACCCTGGACTCTGAGGGACCTGGACCATGAGGGACCTGGATGCTGACATCGCAAGGTTCCCTAGGTTTTTCTTGAGTAAAGAAACACCTGATTATTAATTATCTATTGAGTTTAATCTGAATCCAGGTGTGGTTTTTTAATCTGGAGGCAAAGTGAAACATTTAACCCACTGTAATGTTAACAGAAGTAAACAACTGCTCATAAACATGAGATGAAATATTAAAAATATTGCATCATCATGAAAAAAACTGCCGCATTCTCTGCAGTGACCATCAGGGGGCGACTCCTCGGGTCCCATAGAAATCTATGAGAAAATAATTACTTCTCACTTGATTTATTCCCTCAGTAAACATTGTAAGCATGAGTTTATGGTCTCAATCACTAGTTGCAATGCAGCGTGATGTTCATTTAGTAAATTATGGTCCATTTAAAGTCAAACGGACTATAAAGCAGGGGAGGCTACAGGGGCGGGGCTACACGCTGATTTTGAGGGCCGCACTAAAGCGTTGTTCATCTTTTATTTTACTTTCACCCTTTTTAAAGTTATTTCACTTCATCAAAGTTATATGTACCATTTTGGTCCAAAAAATGTCTTATTCAGCATTCCATTGTTTTAGGGTCCAGCCTCTGGTCTCATTCTGAGCTTCATCCACAAAACAATTGTTTTGTACAATGACGTTGTACACTTCTGTTCTGCCTACTGTTGGCTCAAAACATGTTGATTCATCAAGGTCTCATTTATTAATGTTTTGATAGCTGATTGAACGACGCAAAATAAAACGTGATGACACTGATCTACACTAAGTATTCACGAAAACACACAGCAAACCTTATCTTTAAGAATATAAACTCTTGACTTAAATTAATATTGATTACTGATTTTGTATGTCCAAATGATTGATCATCAGTGTCTGACTATGCACAGCCTCTCAGCCAATCACAGCGCAGGATCTCAGCGTCAGCAGCTCTTCAGAGTCGTGCTGCAGAGACAGAGAGAAAGAGAGAGGTGTCACTGATGATGTCATCAGAGAGAAACAGGTGTCTGATGCTCTTCCTTAAATTGAGAGCGTTGATATTTGAAAAAATGAAATCCAGTTATGTCGTTTTGAGAATTTGTTTGGGTGCTAAACTTGATAGATGTGTGTGAGACAAGAGACACAACCAGGAGCTCAGGACTCCTCATTATACATATTTCCCAGTGTTATCCCTTATCTCACTGTATCCATTTGACATTTATTCGTACTCGCCGGTATTTTCCCACTCTGGTTATCGGGGTTGTTTTTACCAAAATTCTGCAACGCATTGTGTAAATGTTTGACATAATTTGAATCAATTGATTTCTATTGAAAATAAATGTTAAAAACAAAATTTCTGAGACCTGTTTACCAAACATCTGTTTGCAGGTGAGAAAATCTGAAGTTCTGTTTAGCAAGGCGTGACTGTAAACAGTAAAACAGTAAAACCACCACAGAAGACGAGCGAGACTTCAAATGACGACGATTCAAAGAGAAGTTTGACAGTTTTTTTAATAGATTTAAAACATCAGAAAAAAACATACACAAGTCGACTCGATGAATTCGCTATAATTGTTTCGGTAATTTTGTCCCAAAAGTTTCTAGTTCAGTATCTCTGATCTGCAAACAGACGGTAAAAAGAGTGACAATCTATCCCACCAACCCGAGTATCAGAGAGGGAAAATGCACCTTTATCACATCATCATCATGATTAGCCGTCCAGTCTAACAGTCAGTGTCTCCTACCTGTCCATCTGTCTGTCTTGAGGAACTGAGGCACCAGGGTCTCAAACAGATCACAGAACCATGCTTATTAAGAGATCAAAGAATCTGATCGATCAGATACAGGTCCAAAGAGATCTGAGATTCTAAATCCCAGAGACCAATCCGCTCTATATTTTGCTGTATTGAACCAACCCTCATGGGGGTCTCTGAATCCGAACAAAGATCTAGCCGCTGTGCCTCAGCTCTGGACCCTGTCGGAGACCCCTGGCCTCAATTTGAACAACATTTTTTGTTTCACAGTTTTAGTCGTTGTAAACTGAAGAATGTTTCAGTCTGACGATGGTCAGCGGAACCCAACAAATCACCGCACCGCCTCATTTAGTGTTAATCTTATCATGGGTTGTCAGCCAATCAGAGAGCTGCATCTTCAGGATCTACAGACAAAGATATCCGGATGTTCCATATATCTGGATCCGACAGTAACCACAATGCGCCAGAGCCTGTATTCTGATGACATCACTGTGACATCATCAACGATGGGAGTGGTGCCGTGAGGCGAGTGGAAGCAATGAAATCTGTCTGAAATTGAGAAGCTCTGTAAGGACACGGGGAGGTGACTACACAGAGAGGCCCCACCCACTGGTGACAGCGAACATAGTCCGTGTTTACTTCAGTCTCTGCCGGACAGTCTCAGGAGGACAAACCATAACCACTTCCTGTTTTAGGTGGGGGACATGTTTAGGTATAGGGAACATCTTCAGGGGGCGGAGCACATGTTTAGGGGGAGGGGCAGTAGTAACTGATGCTACGTCTCAAACTGGGTGAGAAGCGCCCGGACTTCAGGAGTGAGTTGCTTGGCGGCGCTGGCGGCCTCGGCGATGGCGCGTCGATAAGGACCCTTCCTCTTCCTGTCAAAGCGAGACTGGAAGCTCTCTAGGAAGGGGGAGAGCTGGGTGAGAGGCAGGAAGGAGGTGGTGGGGGAGCCAAACCAAGAGACCCTTGCCTCCTGCCTCACCGACAAACCGGTGTCTCCTCGCCGAGACACCGTTATGCAGAGCACGCGGGCTGGCCACCACGGAAAGCCGTAGATCTTCGCCCACACAATGTCGCCGACGCACACGGAGCGGCCATCGGGGAGCGAGCACTTGGACACCAACTTAGAGAAAACCGAGGAGGACGAGGACGAGGAAGAGGAGGAGGAGGAGGAGGTGGAAGCCTTCGACGCCTCTTCATTTCCCCTCCATCCTCCTCCTCCTCCTCCTCCTCTCACCTTCACCTGCCTTGGGGGGAGGGGGGTGAGAGGAAGAGGAGGGAGGGTCTCCTGGAGGGGCGAGGTCAAAGGTCTCTGTGGAGCTGCACTCTGAGTGGGAGGAGTCGGAGGAACAGGGGGGAGGAGCTACTACCTGCTCATCGCCTCCCCCCTCCTCATCCTGCTGCTGCTTCTGTAAGGTGGAGGGGGGAGTCGGAGAACATTCTGTGGGTGAGGGAGGGGGCAGAGCTTGGGGTGGTTCTGGTTCAGGGGTTGAAGCGGGTTTGGGAGGCGATGAGCGAGGGCTCTGTTTGTGGGGGGGCGAGGAGGACTCCTGGCTGTCGTCGGTACGATACCTTTGTGGTTTGAGGCGCATCCTCGGGGGAAGAGCCTCGAGAGAACTGGAGCCCACGGAGGAGCCGCTGAGATGCTGCAGGCGGCGAGTGAAGTGGACCTTCTGGTTGTGGTTCTGGAGGGCAGCTGCTCGGGTCACGGCCTTGGTGTCGTCCTGGTCCTGGGTCTGGTTCTGGATCTGGTCTTTGGGTCGGCGAGGTGGCAGCTTCTTGAGAACCTGCCTTGTTTCAGAGCAGTGGATCGCCGGAACTTTAGCTAGAACCTTCTTTGGGTTCAGACACATGCGGCTGGATGATGGTGAAGATGAAGCCGCGCCCCTCAGGACTTGGCGAGAGGATGGGGGCGAGGATGAAGCCACACCCCTCAGGACGCGGCGTGAGGATGATGATGACACAGGCAACCCTGGTAATGGCCGTCGGTCTGCATGACGTCCCCCTTTGTCATCACTTCTCAGCCGTTTAACCTCAGAGGATATCGGACCCTCGGCTGGTCGGCGTCGCCGTGACGTGTCCTCGCTCCTCAGATCCCCGGCGCCCCGCCGTGATTCCCTGTGCCCCCCTGATGCCACCACACCTTTGCACTTGTCACAGAGCACCTGGCGGGGGCGGAGCTTGATGGCATTCATGATGGAGGTTGGCTCCTCGCAGCGGTAGCGCCGCTTTGGCCGTTTGATCTTGCGTGGTAGCGGCTGAGGTAAGGCCTGGTTGTAGGTATCCCTGATGAACAGAGGGGGCGGGTACGCCGCTCCGTCCTGAAACAGCGGCGGTGGTTTGGAGGTCCAGGGCTGTAAAGGGGGAGACGCCACTGGGCTACCAATGACATCTTCCTGTTGGGTGGACGGTTCGGCAATGGTCGGTGACTGCACACACATCTGAGGTCGGCTCTGGTCGTCCCGTCTGGGGAAGACTGTGATGGGAATACCATAAGGTCCAAACCTAAAAACACCAGAAGGATGAGAACCTTAGTGACTCAACAAATTCATTACAACACAATCACAATTCACTTCTATCGCTCCGTAATCTGATGATCAGTGGCGGCTAGTCCGTAGAGGGCAATGGGGCGTGGCCCCACCGTGAGCAAATACATTTTACAAATAATCAATAAGTGTCATTTGTGACTTTGAAACATGGAATATACCCAGTATTATTTGTAAATTAATATACCTGCGCAAAATCTATGCTTTTCCTGCACGTCCTCTCCTCATATGTCAGCTGGGCTTGGGCCGTGTCCCAATGCGGTGAGTTTAAGAAGCAGTTTAGTCCTTCTTAAACTCACCGCACTGAATAAGGGTTAATGAGTGATAGAATTTCAGAGTCCTAAAATGCATTCAGTTTTGGGCATAGCCCTTCGCCACCCTATGCTGCGCTCTGGTCAGGGCGAGTCTTTGCGACGTGCCGTTTAAGAGCATAACAAGAGCGAGGACGAGCAGAGTCCTTCCAAGAAGACCCGACCCAAACTCTTTGAAAAGAACTTAGAGGTAAAACAGCTGGACCCAGATCAGCCGGACCTCAGAATCAGACAATTGACCGGCATGAAAGGGAAGCCGGCGCTTCTGTAGCGATGCTACACAAACAGGTTTAGCTAGCTAGTTAGCTACGAGCTAACTCCGTCACGTTGCCTTGTTAAAGTTAACAGCGCTACACATGTGTTTTGTGGGGCTTTTGAGTTGGTCTTTCCGCAACTAGGTTCATCTAAATATATATACACATACATTAGATTTCATATAAATATATTTATATTGTAATACATTTATAATTGTTATATGGTAGTATAATATTCTGAATATTGTTTTATATATAATTTATATATATATTCATTGATATATTCATTGATATACTGAATTGTTTGAATAAGATTATTATGTCCTTATTTTGTTAAACTTAAATATTTACCGGCAAAGTAATAATTCGTATTTGATACCTATTTTTGCATTGAATCATACTGGGATGTTTCGCCCTACCAAAAAGAAAAATCCACTGTCGATGATCATGACAACACAGTGATGTTCATTATGACCTATCTCTTCATTCTGGCAGGACGAGTAAACACAACTGGTCAATGAAGAGAAAACTTTTAGAAAAAAGTGTTGTAATGCACTTAATCAGTATATAGTTAAATGTGTGAACCGGTGTAAGATGTTTTTATTGTTATTAATTTGACATGTACCAATTGGGCATTGTTTGAGTTGGCTCCTGGCTTAATTATTTTAGGATAATTTCATGACCGTAGGAACACACACACACATATATACATATACATATATATATATATATATATACACACATATACATACATACATATATACACACACACACACACACACACACACACATACATATATATATATATAGTATACATACATAGTCCACTACTGTTATACATGTTGTATTACTACTAATTTCGACCCTTTGATGATTTTTTTACAAATAATTAATGTATTGATCACTTAGAGGAAATCGGACTATGATCGGGTAAAAAACAATATAGTAATTGAGTTTGACCTTTTTGAAACATCCATCAGAACTCCAGAGAAAACCTTCGGACCCAAACGGAACGACACCACCAGTGCGTCATCAATGACATGGTCCAGAGAGACCCGGACCTCAGATCCAGGATTTAAATCGGGTTCAGCACCGACACTGGGCTCAGGTCCTGGAGCATGTGGATCGAGTTCAGGTCCTGGTTCCGGTCGAGAATAATCTTCTGCGTTGGGTTTCTCCTGTTTTACGGTGTCCGTCATCAGCCGCCTCTTAGCGGACCGGTAGGAAGGGGAGGAGTCCCGAAGGCTGCGGACCGGTAGCTCCTCGGTCCCGCCTGGGTTCTTACCCTCCGTCTCCGGGTCCAAGCCTTCCAGGACCGACAGCCTGTTACCGTCCGACATGGCGGCCTCCACAGGGCCTGGCCTCAGCTCCGGTTGGACTAAAGACCGGTAGCCTCGGTCTCGACCCGCGGTCACATTGGTGGTCGGTTCCGCCGGTTCTGCCAGAGACAATCCGGCCTCGGTGACCGGTGGGTTGGCCGGGAATGAGTGCAGAAAGACGGCAGAGGACTGCGGGTCCGCTAGGATGCTACGGTAAACCCCGCCGCCCTCTGAATCTCGCGGTAATCCGGGACTGAACCGGTCAACCGGGAAGTTACCGGTCAGTTCATCGTTAACGACGTTCTCTTTTCGCGCCGCGGACTGCTGCTCCGGCCTGACATGGCGGCGCTCCTCCACCTCGCCACCATCCTCCTCCCGGGATATGAGCAGCTCCACGGCCGGGCCGTACTCCCGCGACCCATCGTTCTCTAGCGGGGCTCCGGGGAGTCCCGGGGCGATCGGACCCGGTTCTGAGGATCCTTCGTCGTCCGTCGACTCAGTTATTGTTGTTATTGAAACCGCTCCAGCTCCTGGCTCTGCAGCCACGGCCGCCATTTTCTTCCGCTGTGCTTAGAGAGCGGGGCTTTGCCCCGCCCCCGACGACACTGTCTCCTTTGCAGGCACACTGGAGTTGGCAGGAAGTTCTGTCACTCAAATGAAACGTGTCGTCTGATTGGCCAATGAGTCATAGTACGTGATGCTCAGACGACGTCCGAAGAGCCTGTTCTTCACAATAAACAAAAACATCGAGCGCAAAAGACCAACGCATGTCTGTTCGATCAACAGCTGATCAACTTCTGCTCAAGAATGTGTTACTATGAATGTTTATTTCTGTATATCTGTGTATATATGTATTTTTCTTTCAAACAAATACAATAAAAAACAACAAACAGTTGATCTAATATCATGGTGTACTGATGTTCATATTTGTTGTGTTTATCAATCATATTATTATTTGTAGCTGATTAGAATAACATAAGTAAAGATGTTTAGATGATTTACTTTACTTTTGGTATTTTAAATATGGTAATGTTGTATACTAAAAGGGATGTGTGAGGGGACGAATAGCATGTCACATGAGCAAAATAGACCATATATCGCTGCATGTGTGCAAAAGTCAACCAAACCAAGCTTAGAGATTAAATTTGTTTACTTTTAGACAGTTTTCAGTGTAGGTATAAGTACCTACACTGAAGTATAGCATCTGGGTACAGGTTAATGCTGAGAAACTGCAAGAAGCTAGAGCTGCACTTAGTCACGGGACTCATGTCACGTCACGTAACTGAAGCTTCACACAGCCTGAAACAAAGACAACACATATCTGCTATCATTACTGTTTCAGTTATGTTGAATTGTTATTGATTTATCATTAGCAATGACAGAAACTTAACTCATTAGAGAACACATCACTGCTGTGTTTTAGCTTCACATACAGTTAATCTATAATCTAACATCTGAGGCTCTTTATTTATTAATATTATTCCTTTCTGAAAAAAATCTCAATACTAAAAACCTAAACCGACACCTATTTTGTCATTAATGACACTGGTTGTCTGATTGGTGAAGGTTCAGTCCAGACGTCTGATTGGTCGAGGTTCCCTCCAGCCTCCGGATTGGTCAAGGCCCAGTTTAGCCATCTGATTGGTCAGAGGGCGTTCAGTCCCGTCCCTTCTGCTTCCTTCAGCTCTTTTAAAGGACAATCTTCAGTCAATGCCACGCCTCCACCCCCAAAGTCCATGCCCTCTTTCAAAGACACGCCCTCTGCTATTTGAAGGGTGGGACTTGTTCCAGACCTTTCACCAAAGACAGTTTCCAGTTATTGACAAGTGCTTATTCATTTCTTACTGATTTATTAAGATAAGCAGTGTTGCGAGCTCACCATCTCTCCTCCACGTCTTCGATGGTGTCAGGCAACGGCATGTTCAGTGTCTCTGGCAGGAAGCAGGCGAAGCAGCCGGCTAATACTGCCGAACCCCCATACACCATACTGGGCAGGGCAGGGAATACCTTGGAAATGTAGTACATAAGTACTGTTAGCATTAGCAACGACAAGAGCAGAAGTAGATTCGTGCCATGATTCTTCAAGGAAGATATATTTATTCTTTATTTTGAGGACATACATTTTATTATTGTGAGTCGCTTTGGATAAAAGCGTCAGCTAAATGACATGAGATTAAGAAAATAATTTCTTTTAACATAGTTTTAATCAGCGATGTCACCTCGTCTAGCATGAGGACGGCAGGAGCTGCCATGCTGCCAAGCCTCGCCATGGTGGAGACGAAGCCCATTCCTGTCTGTCTGAAAACACACACACACACACACACAATACATTACATTACATTACATTACACATTATATTACAGGTCATTTAGCAGAAGCTTTTATCCAAAGCAACTTACATTACCTGTCTGACTGACATCTATCAGTGGATGGCTGCACACCACCACCACCAACGACCTGACTGTCCTAACCCCCCTGCCTCCCCACACCGAGGTTCCTGACTGCTAGGAACGCAGGTGTGACACTAGCCAATTCAACTTTCCCTCAGTGCTAACATTACAGCAAAAACACTTTCCTGTAGATCAGACATGGGCCGAGTTCAGCCCCCGGGCTGCATACAGCCCGTTGGGTTTTTTAATCCGGCCCGCCGAACTTACAAAAAAAATACTAACAATTTTAGTAGCACTTCAATGGAAACTTACTTATAGCCATGGCTTGGCATTAGCACCCGCCAACGTGCCAAATGTGGGTAGAATTCGGCTGTGGCGGGTAAAGCAGTCTCTCTCACTAGCCACTTTAGCGGGTGTAATTCTATATCTCTCTATATTGTTTATTGTAGTGTAGCAGCGATTATTAATGTGTCATGAGTGCATCATCCACAAAGCCAGAACGCTCGGTTACAGCGGTGGTTCTTGTGCACCGACTACGGGCAGCGACGAATATTTTACGCTTCGGCTTTTGAGTTTGAGTGTGCACTTCTTTAGTTTAGCTCAGCTGTTTTAGTTTAGCTAGCAGGCTAAAGCCGCTAGTACTTTAGAGACAGATGTTCGTGAAGAGGAAGACCCGTTTAACAGCTCAGGGCTGTTCGGCAGACGGTTGGCCAGCAGAGATCCATACGGACCTGTCTGCTCCGTTTTCTGGCAACGGCAGCCAACGTTTCCTCGGCTGGATGAGACGGTCCGTTACAGTAGTCTTCTCCAAACACGTCTAACATAACAATCTCATTGCAGATATATATATATATATATATATATATATATATATATATATATATATATATATATACACATAACCATATATATATAAAACAATATTCAGATTATGGTATAACTACCATATCGTAACTATTATAAATATCCAATATAAATATATTATAATTTTTATATATATATATATATATATAAATGTGCCACACGCTGCGTGATCATAGCACGTAGCTAACTAGCTAGCTAAACATCCAGGTGTAGAAGTCTCTACAGAAGCGTCATTTATCTGCGGCTTTCCTTTCATGCCGCTCCGTTTTCTGTTCATGAGGTCCGGCTGATCTGTGTCCAGCTGTTTTATCTTTAGTTTCTCTGGCAAAGTTCTTCTCTCGTACCGAGTTCCTGTCGGGTCTTCTTGAAGGACGCTGCCGGTGGTCCAATATTGACTATTTGTAAAATGTATTTTTAATATAATAAACAAAACAAACTAAAATTAATAAAACTTTCTTTTTTTTTCGACGCTCATGGTGGGGCCACGCACGATTTCCCTCTATGGACCAGCTGCCACTGGTCAAACCTCACATCCCGGCCCGCCAACCATTAACAACATCTCACTGGCTCCTACATGTTGGAATGAGCTCGCCAACGACACCAGGACAGCAGAAAATCAATACATCTAAAAATACACCTCTACCAACTATATCTGGACTACGTAGCACTTCAGTTGGCAGCTATAGCACTTTGTAGTTTGGCTTTCCTAAACAAATGGTACTTTCTTGATTCTTGTTGTTCTAGGTCTGTACCGTCTTGGTTGAATGCACTTATTGTAAGTTGCTTTACATAAAAGCGTCAGATAAAAATGTAATGTAATATGTATACATGTCTTCATTTATATGTTGATGGTACACAGTAGAGTATGTAAATATGTCCTCATCTTTATGTCGATAGTACCTAGCTGTGTCTCACAGTAAAGATGTGCCTTGCTGAATGACAGCCTGCCTCACCTGATGATGGTGGGGTAGAGCTCTCCGGTGTACAGATAGACGGTGGTGAAGGAGGCCGAAGTAAAACCTTTCCCAAGGCAAGCCAAGGTGGTCCTGATGGTCTGCATTTCTGTGGTTTAATAATGTGAACTGAATGAGTATTTAGATATTTCATTTCAAGACATGATCATTACAGACTTTTATCATTACAAATAATAACAATGTCAAATACGTTTGTATTTTAGTGTTTTAAAATTAAACTTTTGGTATTATATCTCACCATATAAATATGTTACCACTGTCATTCATGTTTATCAAAGCTGAGGGTTAGATTTAGTTTATAACATTAAAACACAGCATCTTAGAAGGACATCATATATTTATATTGTTTGCAATGTGCATTAGAGTATACTATTGTGTATTATTGTAGACTGTTCTTTTACCTGTGGGGACGAAGATGTTGGCAAATATGATGAGAGCAGACAGGAAGAGACACGTGGCCTGAGAGACCCTCCTACCCAGGTAGGTGAGCATCCCAAGAGCCACCAGTTTAGCGGGAAAATCCACAGCTCCAAAAATAATCTGTATCTGGTAGATACTGACCTGGAGGACCCAGCCAATTGGAGGACAGGAAGGGTGAGACAGGCAGACAGACAGACAGAGAGACAGCCAGAGAGAAAAAAGACAAAGAAACAGGCACACAGACGGGGAGAAGGAGAGAGACAGAAAGAGAGACAGACAGACAAACAGACAGGGAGGAATACAGACAGACAGTCGGACAGGTAACTGTCTCACCCCAAACTTCTGTAGGTCCATCGCCAAACCGTAGTATGCAAAACTGGTTGAGAACCTGCAAAGGAAAACATACTGCTGAGAGACAAGTGGACAGTCTTGACAGGTGGATAGGTGGACAGATAGACAAGTAGACAGGTGGGTATGTAGACCGGTGTACAGATTGATTAGAGAAATACAGATAGACAGTTGGATAGGTAGAAAGGTGGATGGAAGACCAGGTTGATAGATGCATAGGTAGACAGGTGGATACATGGAACGGTAGACATGATTTGGTTTATTGTTTAGGCATCACAGAGCCCAGCTGTCTTCCGGCTGACTAATACAATCTAAAAACGTTCTTTCTGCATTAAAGAAAAATAAAAGTGATGAATTTATTTCAAACTGCAACAAATTGCTGCTCTTTTGCTTTTAAAATGTAGAATCTCACCAATAGTCACCATTCCCCAAGCCATAAACACACTTTTTTGTAGATTCATATTTCAAGGAGACATATTATGCTTTTAAGACTCATACTTGTGTTTCCACCATAACACGTTCACATGCTTTAATTTAAAAAAATCATATCATCATATCGTATGGTCTGTGTGAATCTCCCTGTGTTCACCTTCTGTCTGAAATGTTACGTTTTAGCGCCTAGTTCTTTAACCCCATCTAACCTCCTCAGGTTGAGTCCTGGGGGGGTGAGCTCCTGAAACAGTCGGTTTCAAAATGATTTGCGCAAACCCATAGCCTTTTTCCAATTTTTGACAGAACATGGTCTTCATATATGAAATGAACCTCACATTACCTAGGCTGAAAAGGCTGCTGGTTTTAATTTGTGGTTCCCAATTCATGTATTTCCCTATAAAATAACTGTCAATAACTAAATTCTCATTATCGCTTAAAACCTCTCTTGAAAAACCAAACCTTCTATGATAATAAAATGTATGATATCTAAATTTAGTGAGTAATGTAAAGCCGATGTGTTTTCTGACCAGACAGCCACCAGACAGATAGAGATCCTTCTCATCCCCCTGGTCCTCAGTAGATCGTATGCTGTGAACGTTGAGCGACTCGACTCGATCTCCTTACTCATGTGAGAGTGCAGAACCTGCAGGTTACATCACACTAATTTAAGCCTCTGATTGGATGTCATACATTTTTACATTTATATTGAACGGAGCGGAAAGGCAGGTTACCTCCAAGGTTAGTTTGTCAACAACCTCTGGTTTTCCATTGATTCGAGCGACTCGATGAAGACTCTTCAACGCCTCATCAGACCGACGGTTCAAAACCAACCAACGAGCCGACTCTACATACCACCTAACCAATCAGAGAGCAGAACTATTACAACTCCCTGACCAATCAGAGAGCAAAATGATCACAACTCCCCGACCAATTAGGGAGCAGAAAAGGTTTAGTCCATTTTAAAATTGACACTGACCAGCTGTAGCTGAAGAACAAGAACATGGGAGCACAGGCAACAAGCTGTAACTTCCTCCAGTCTCTCAGCCAATAGGCAAGCCCTGCAAGGACCATCTGACCAAAGGTAAAAAAGAAGGAAGACAGCGTGCCCACTAACGTCCTCTCTTTGGTTGGGATCCACTCCACCTCTGGAGACAGACAGGTATACAAACAGACAACTGTTCATCAACCTCTGACAACACATCATCGATTGTACTTCATGATTGACAGAGATTTAGACAGGTAAACACAGTCACATAGACAGGTATACAGACAAATGGGTAGACAGATAGAAAGGTAGACAGACATATAGGTAGACTGACATGTCGATCAACCTCTGAGAACACATCATCAATTTCCACAAAGAATCAATAAAATAACCCGACATTCATAATTGATAGACGGGTAGGTAAATAGAGAGACGAGCAGAAAGGTACTCAGTGAGACTCCATTCAGGATGATGCCGGACACTGCCATCCCACTCAAAAACCTGAAAATACAATAGGCGGTGTACGAAGGAGAGAGGGCCGAGCTACAACCCAGAATACCAAGCTGGAGGTATGACCATATAAGGATAGACCGCCTCCCAAACCTGAGAGGGTGTGAGAGAGAGAAAGAGAGAGAGAGAGAGCAACTGAGAACAATGCAGATGGTAAATTACCTTTTTAGAGGTGTGAAGGACATAATAACAACCTAAAACATGGACTTGTAATAAAAAACTGTGATTGCAGTTTTAACAGGTCAGTTTTACAATGTGAGCCTTACCTGTCTGAAAGACCTCCAAAAATAATTGCTCCTGTCAAAACTCCGCCCATATAAATGGTCTGAATCATCTGTTTGAGAGGACGCAGAGAACACACCAGCTGCCACTGGAAAACAAGACATATTCAGACTGAGAGTAGGAATACATCTCTCCAGCCACCTAAACATCACTGTTAGTAAAGTAGCCTAGTAAAGTAACACTACAACCTAGTAACATGTCATTACTACACGATAAGGTATCATTACAATACCTGCAGTACCTCACTGCAGGTATTGTCACTACTGTACTGTATAGAAAAGTATCACTACAGCCTATGGTTCACTTTGACATCAAAGTGGGCAGTATCTGGGCAGTATTTATATCTCGTGGGTATTGTACCTCGCTCTCTCAGAACAACCTCTTCATTAACCTCAGTCTTGAAGTGATACGCTTTTTTTCTTGTTACCTCGGAGACGGTGGTAGCAAGGAACTCTGATCTGTCAAATGTCCATCCGTCCAAACATTCTTCAGTCTGTAGCTGGCTCAGATTAGCTGTGTTATTCGGTACTAACAGCTGCCACTGAGGCTCAACATACCTGAAGAACAACAGGTGGAACAGGAAGTGATGTTACAGTGACTTTGTTAATCAAGACTTTGCTTAAAATAAACAAACCTTTTGCAGCGGTCCAGTCTTGTTCCTGAAGAGTCCATGGGGATAAAAGCTTTGATAAACTCTTTCTCCTCCACCTGTAACAACCGATTCCATTTATCTACGTATCATAGTACTCAGGGGACTGATTAGCTGATCTGACGGGTGAAGACAAGTTACCTGGTACTGAGACAAGTTGTAGTGGCTGTGATTGGCTGGAAGGCTGCAATGGTGGGCAGGAATTCCTGAGACAAAGTTGTTCAGCAGGTTCTGACTCGCCATCAACAGACCAGGTAAACTTATAAGGGTCACATGGAGCCACTGGTACCTGCCAAAGCCGCCAACCTTTCCATGGCAATTGGGAGGAGGAAAGGGGGGATTTTCACACCATCATCTCAAGTCACAAATGATTGACAAGCCACAGATAAGAGGTAGTAACAACATTACATGCACCAGTCATCAGATTACATAACACAGTAATCAGAGTACATAGCCTTACTCAAAGTAAATTAAGTAGTGATCAGAGTAGATGAAGCATGTCATCAGAGTACATGAAGTATTAGACAGAGTACATGAGCAGCAGTAGTTCAGTAAACTCTCTCACCTCCTCCAGTAGGTCAGCAAAGCCCATTCTCCACAGAGGAGGTTCCGAGTAGCAGACCCTCAGTGCAGGACCAAGAGTTCTGAAGGAACCTCAGGATGGCTGATAGATAGATATATACTTTATTAATCTCCAAGGGGAAGTTTGTTAGTGCTGCTCCCTAACAATAACAATAACAACATAAACTAGTGTTTCCAGGATGAGGTTTAGTGCCATCAGAAAAATGGATGAAAATACAATTATTTGCATGAACCTTTTCTTTAGTGGGTAGACTCCATTTGTAAACAGGCTTTGAATTGATGAATCAAGTTTAAAATTGTGAAACAGAAACTTTTGGAAAAATCCAAACTCCTCTACTGCTGTTTCAGAAATTCCCTCCAAGCTGAAAACCTTTTCCAAACTATATAGAACTAGTCCACATTATTCCAGACCTGCTCCAAACTTTTCCAAACCTCCTCTAAATTGCCCACACCTGCTCCTTCTCACTGCACATTGTGAGGTGCAATCTTATTATCCTAATTCATAACGCTACAGCAATGTTGCATCAGAGGTTTTATAGTAAAGTCTAATAATGTGAAATATTTGTCACGAGTCTGGTGAGACTTCTTAAAGGATTACTGCCGAAAGAAAAGAGGGTTTTCTCTGTAAATCAGAGAGAAATGTACTCACAGTGAGGGCTGGATGAAGAGTTAGGTAGACAGACCAAAGGACAGGCAGGTGGACGGCTTCAGGATGAAGAGAACAGTCAGTAACAACTCTTTCTCTCTTTCTCGCGTGTCTCCCCGTCCTAGTCGTCTTTTTTCTGTTTAGTATTCCGGAGACAATGTTACATCACTGAACCCCCACCCCCTCTGTTTGCCTTGGCTTAACAATCATTTGTTTTTCAGTTAATGGTTGAGTGTAATCTCTCTATTTCTCTCTCTCTGTCCCTCTGTCTATTCTGTTTCTTTTTCTCTTTCTCTGTCCATCTCTTTCTCTCTCTTCCTCTCTTAGAAAGTATCACTCTGATTTTGAAGATTAATTGACGATCAATTAATCAACACAAATGATGAGTGATGATGATGGGTATTAAAAGCAGTGATGTTATATGATATTTGTCACACTGGCATCTTATAGAGTATCATTCTAAAGATTGGACACGCTTAGTGTTTCCAAACTATGTACTGGTACGTAGATTAAAATGGATAAAGATTAGCATCAAATTATTCATGTTGAAACACATATGAAGATATTTTAACTTTGATTCATTGACTTTGTTAGGAAACAAATAAAATGTTCCTAAGCTGTAATGTAAGTGACTCCTGACATTTCTAATGTCTCCTGTGCTTCTTCATGCAGCTGACTTTTGTTTCCTCTCACTTTGTTTTTCTGTCCTCGCTCCTCGCTGAGTTCTTCTTCTCTCCTGGAGTTCATCAGATGGAGATTCAACCAACAAACATCTCAGCAGGCTCCACTTCAGACAACACAACATTGAGGCACAACCAACGACGAGCGTATATACATACATATACACACACACACACACACACACACACACACACACACATATATATATATATGTGTGTGTGTGTGTGTGTGTGTGTATATGTGCTGGTATACAAACTACATAGAAACTTGAAAAAAAATCAGAGAATCTCACAGATCCTCAGAAAATCTCAGAATTTAACCCTAACGCTTTCACGGAACCTCACAAAAACTCACAAAACCTTAGTGAGCCCCTTACAGAACCTCTCCTAACCCACACAGAACCTCACAAAACCAGAAAAAAAACAGAACCATCAGAGACTCTCCAAGGACCCTCACAGAACCTGAGAGAACCGTAAACTCCACAGAACGCTCAGAGAACCTGTGGAAAACCGCACGTAACCAAATTTACCCTCAAGGGACCTTACAGAACCCTAACACTCACAAAACCTTACATAACCTAGAGAACCTTCATAATACTCATTGGAAACCCGAATAGAACCTCACAGAATTCTCAGAAAATCTCACAAAACCGCAGATACCCTCACAGAGCCCGCAGAGAACCTCACACAACCCTAACCCTCAGATAACCTCACAGAACCTGAAGGACACTAGACAGAACCTCACATAACCCTTATGGACCCCTCAGAGAACTTCTTAAAGCAATCAGAACCCCTTCCTCCCACAGAAGTGGCAGAACTCAGTACTTGTGATTCATACATAAATGAGACATTTCCGCTTTAACAAGTATTTATGTATTGAAAGTGCAGTGAGCAGATTTCACTACACATGCGTGTTCTATGACATGTGTTAGCTTGTTAGTACTTGATTCATTTACCTGCTGCTGGTAACACATTCATAGACAGGTGACATTTTATGACACAGGTCAAATGTCCCTTGCTGAGTCATCTGACTCCTCATTGGTTAAACCTGAAACCCTCACAATAATCAATACACGTCTAACAAATCAAATTAATTCAGAACGATTAAAAACCTCTGGCAATATTTATTGTCACATAACAAAGAACTGAACATGTTTGTATGCCTTCAAATATAACTAATTTTCTCTCATTAACTTCAAAATTAATAAAATGTTGAAATTTTGCATGTTGAAATAAAGTGCTTCAATTAATGGGACGAAAAGCTTGAATTTCCCCTTCTCTGTTTGTCATTTTTACTCGACAGTCTACTCGATAGCCAATAATATACAGTAGTGTCTTTAGTAGTGCTCCAGTGGTAGTATTAACAGAAACAAGTCTATCCATTCGGGATTAAAAGCTCTACTTTCGCTGTCCACTTTTCTTTTGGAGAGTGACATTTTTCCTTATTTCCCTTTCCCTCACTTTCTCTGTCTCAAATTTTCTCAAGTGTGTTTCTATTCTTTTTGACTGAGACACAAAATACTTGTACTACTAATACTACTAAAATGGACTTGCAGAGTAAATCTAGCCTCCGTGCTGGACCACCTCGCTCTAACTGCTACTCATTATTAGTCATTGATCCATAGTTAGATTGCTGATACTGTTTATGCTTTGATAAATTTCCTTTTTTATATACGTTTAAAATAAAAGTGCACCATTCGCTACTTAATTTATTATTGAATTTTGCATTTTACAATACGATTAATCGCAATTAAAATGTTTTATTGTTACAACAACCAATGTAATATATATATATATATTATACATAAATAATACAAATACCCATATATATATATATATATATATATATATATATATATATACACATACTAATGCTGGGGAAAGGTTTCTAATCACAATTGATCGCTACTTCGCTGAGTAGCGCTAAGTAGTGTATTACAGGGTTGTTTGTCACACTTTCTACTCTAGCATGACTTGTTTATCGTGAAAACAGCTCTCAATAGTCTTTGCTACATTAAATTGAAGCTTAATGTGTTGACTTAAAATGTGTATCCCTCCAATTTACAAACTTATTGTAACAAAAGAGGTATTTAACTATCAAAGGCACATTGTGACAATGTCCCTTTACGGGGATGGTTGTCACGATGTTATTTCAATGGAAAAATCTTAAAAAGAAGCCTAAAAGGGAGAACTAAATTTGAATAGTTCTCCATTGATAAGTTCACAAATAGATGACTTAATAAATGAGGAACGCGGACAGGAAACACATCTGCAGGCCGGCATAAATAACATTAAGGACCAAACCAATAAGCTTACACTTACTAAAGGTGGTCTCGGTTGTGATTCATTAGATTCACCTGACGAGGATCAGCGGCTAAGAGGAGGGGGTGGGACGAGGCGCAGGGGCTGGCTTTTGTATTGGACTTTTGTATTTGTATTGGACCCAACTGGCAGTCTTTTCACCTTACGTTGTCCACAATGTTAATCATCAACGACCAAATGTAAGACTTAAATAAACAACATAAATGAGAACACAAGTATTGAGTATTTTCCATGAGAGCGACAACATGTGAATTTGGTTTGTTGGGTGAGTCCCGGGCTTCAGGAACGAGGAAGTGCAAAAGCAGGCGACCACAGTGTCACTCTGCAGTAACACAATACAAACTGGTTCAACCTTTGAACATCAACAACCAGCGATAAGTTACAGAAATGAACACGTGATGATGCATCATATTGTTTCTTTATTACATTTAATGATCATGTCACTGAGCTCTTCTGGAAAGCAGCATCTCACGGATGTTGTCTTCAGCTTCTTTCACGCTGCGTTCAAGGTACACCTTTTTTTGCTAAAAAAAAAAAAAAAAACTTATTCAGGCCTCACAGGACATAGAGTAAAATACTTGCATTCATGGCAAATAGCAGTATGTAGTTATTGTGTATTTTGTTTAGTTGTTTGTCTTGCCATTGTGTATTTATAGTATATACATTAGCATGTATAAGTACCTCAAGCTCTTTAATCTTCTCTTGAGCCGTCTTCTGTTTTTCCGTCAGCTGATCATTTATTTCCTCTTTTGACTGAAGAATGAACCTGAAACCCAGAGAGCTTCCAATCATTTCACATAATATTGAGCAACATTGTGCATCCGTTTTGAGGGTCTATCCTCTGATATTGCAAAGTCAGCCAGGGTGGCTTTTGAATGAAATGAAATGCATCCTTTAGTAAGCAAGGATCGATAATTAGCACTACCAAGTTTTCTATTTGCTCCCGCGGTCCGCCGTGCATGCACGGTGACCTGACGTGATTTATAAATGTTTTTTAGGCGATCTACCGGCACTGCCTTGGTGAACAACCTGATCCCCCTGGTCTAACGCATGCGTCATTTACAGCTACAGCTAATTTATGTCTTTATTCTGTAATTCTCACAATTGCAAAGTCTTTGCCTGGGAAAATAAAAATTAGAATTAGTTCAGACGTTCTCTATCCAATCAGACTGAGCTTCAGCTTTTTTGCCAAGAAGAATGTACAAAGGTTTCCATCTGAAGATGTGCAAAGCTGGAGACACATACCACAAAAGACTTGCAGCTGGAATTTCAGTAGTTCATTATTTCATAAGTTGAAACGTCAAGACTGTGCCACGAACAACCTGAAGACAGATTTTTCAACGGTTTTATGGACTTATGAGATGAGGGTGACTCTTGACGGATCAGACGGATGCACCCGTGGCTGGATCACCACAACGACTCAAGACGCCAGCAAGGTGGAGGTGGGGTTCTGGTATTAATGAAGATGAGCTAGTTGGACCTTTTCGGGTTAAACACGGACTAAAATGAACTCCCAAACCTACTGCCAGTTTTTAGAAGACACTTTCGTTCAGCAGTGGTACAGGGAAAGGTCTGTATCTTTCAAGAAGACCGTGATTTTAATGCAAGACAATGCTCACATGCATCCAAATACTCCACAGCGTAGCCAGTAAAGGCCTTAAAGGTGAAAAAATAATGACATGCCCCCCTTCCTCACCTCACCTAAACCCTATTGAGAACTTGTGGAGCCTTCTTAAACAGGAGATATACAGAGAAGGAAAACGGTACACGTCCTAGGACGGTGTCTGGAGGCTGTGGTTGCTGCTGCACAAAACAGATCAAGGAACTGGCAGACTCCATGAATGGCAGCCTTATTACCTTTATTGAAAAGAATGGGGCTATATAGGTCACTGATGTTTTTTTTATGTCAGGAATGTTAATTTGTACATTTTTAGTTTATTATTCTCACTTTAACAGAGGGAAATAAACAAGTGAGATGGGAAATCTTTCATTTAGTTGCATAATCCTCAAAAATACAACTTGCCTAATAATTGTGCACACAGGCAATCTTCGGTCTGTAATTTCCACCACACTCCCAAACAAGAAGATCTCTCTATGATTGTAGTTTCAGTCTGCCAAAGATAACTTGATAAAAGATGACATCACTCTAAAACTAAATACTGTGTGTGTGTCTCTAGTGCAAACATCCGTCAGTTCATCCATAATCGACACACCAGAGCGTTGCTTGTCACCTGTTGACCTGAACCTTTGTTACTATGGAGACTCACATGCGTCCGACTCCCTCGTAGAGCGGCGTGTCGTCCGACAGTGTGGAGATCTCTTTGTGAGTCACCTTCGCTAGTTTCTGGACTCGAGTCAGCTGATCGATCTGCAGGTCGGCCAACTTCACCTTCTGCTGCGTGTCGATCATCTTCACCTGCAGCTCAGAGAAGGCCTACAGGAGAGGTATCACTGTGAGGAAAAACACCTGAGCAACATCATAACACCAAAAAGGAGGACACTGACTACGGCCGGCGGCTCTTTAGTCCCAGCACGTCTCCAAAAAGGAGGACAAATCTTAGTTCTAATAACACCTACACGAGAGAGACATTACTCTGATGGAACTTGATTCAACTGTGTTTTTTGTATTTCATAGCATTTATAATTGGCAAAAAGTCGATTTATGTTTTGTTTATTTTGCGAGATTCATGTGGCATTCAAAAGATGTTGTAATGAAATATTGAAATAGATCAAATGTGTTTTTATAGCAGTCCTCTCTTACCAAATATCTAATCATCTTTCTTATTTTGCCCTATTAAATGTGTAGTTAACGTGGCTATGCTAAGAGTTAGCTTCGTGTTTAGTTGTGGTGCTTTAAACGACCAATTATCAAATGGCTGTGAGAGGTTCGATACCGCGCAGCTCTCCTGTAAACACAGAGAGCAGGTGAGAGAAAGCAGGTAATTATTAGGTAGACCAAGTGCAAACGTTATATTATACCTTCTTCAGCTCCAGATCTACGGGCGCGGCCATCTTTAACAACGCTGCCCACGTACACAAACTGCGCATGTGCGGGGCGGTTCCGTTTCTTCTTCTTCTCTTGCTACCGACGCATTACCGCCCCCTTTGTTTATGTACATATATTGTTTTGTTTATACACACACACACACACACATATACACATATAGAAGAGAGAAGATAAGTGCATATACACACATTTGTAACCTCCCTCTATGACTAGGGTTACAAAGTTCACCTTGGTAACCTCTACCTGCCTCAATGCGTCTAAAATGAACAACTACTGGCCTGTCTCTCTTTTGCCCTTTCTTTCCAAAACTCTCAAAGAGCAGATTAACTGACCTTCATCCTATCTCCACCATAACAGCTTTGTTGACCCTTCCAGGCAAGTCACTCAACAGGGACTGCCCTGCTTGCTGTTTCTGAGCAACTGCCAACGCAGCCTCTCTCCTCATCCACCTCGACCTTTCTGCTGCGAACCACCGGACGTTATTTCCTCCGTTGGGGAACTTGGTATCTCAGGCCCTGCTCTCTCCCTCCTCTCATCCTACCTCAACGGCTAACTTGGAGGTTATGTGTTTGAAACTTGGGGTCCTCGAAGGCTCTGTCCTGGGTCCCCTGCTATTCCCTCTGTACACCATATGTCTCTGCTCAATTATCCACTCACATGAGACACAGGTAGCAGCTCAAATGTCTGACTGACATCTCACAGTAGATGTCTGACCTGATGGTTAACCGTGACAAGACTGAGCTTCTTTTCCTTCCAGGGAAAGATCCTCCGACCACTCTACCTGCACAAAGTAGCACTTCACGATCATTTTGTAGTTTGGCTTTCCTGAAGAAATTCTATTACGTTTATTCCGGTTGTTCTGGTCTGTACTATCTTGGTAGGTTATATTATGTTAATTTTAATACATAGATTTATAATATAATAGGTTTGTTAGATAGACATTTACTTATCAACACATGTGAATGTTTTTGTTGCAACAGTATTTATATAAATATGTAAAACAAGCATTACATTTTTTTTTTTATGGTTTGACATTTGACTTTAAAACTGCTTCCTTGAATATGACTACTAAGACTGAGTTGAATCCAAAACTTTATTTGAACAGCTTTGTCATGATCTTTATTATTTTGTAAGGATCCTGTAAGAACGACGTCACAGCAGTTGGTCCTGTGCACTGCGGTTACCATGGATCCCAGAGAACAACCAGGGTCCTCTGTGATGCCATCCTTGCCCTCAGTTATGTCATCTGTTGTTATTCTGGACAAAGTTGATGGAGTAGGAGCCGGTGTCTGTGTCCTGGTTCACCTGGAAGTTGTTGGTGGAAAGTCCAAACGGTCTCAGGACCAGGTTCCCCAAGTCCTTCAGTTTGCCTGCATCAGAGATCAGGGGTTCACTGGAGGCTTTTATTGTGAAAAATACCGCCACAAGTCTAATTGAATCATTAATGAGCTGGTATGTTCAAGCGCAGTACGTACTCATCATCTCCTCCTTCAACTTCTCGTTTCTCTCCTGGATCTGCTGAGGCAACCTCTAAGAGACAGTCAGGTAGACAGAGACACAGACAGGTAGAGACAAAAAGACATGTAGAGACAGACGAACATGCAGAGACCGACAGGTACACAAGTGAGAGAGACATGTTGTTCATCAACTAAGGAAAGTAACTAAAGTACATTTCCTCCTGCCCCCAACGTTGTTTCCTTTCCCAGGCTCCACCTCCCCTCCCCAGGCTTCTGCTCCTTCTCCTCACCATGCAGGCCTGACTGGCACTGGTCTGGGTTGGGTCCAGGTTCAGAACCTTCTTGTAGTCCTCAAGAGCTTCGTCCAGCTTCTCTGTCTGCTCGTAGAGCTCCGCCCTCCTCTGCAATGCCCGTACGTAGTCTGGATTCAGCTCTATTGCTATAGCAACCACAGGCAACCAATCAGGAATCAGGAAACATTTATTGCCATAATATGTCAGACATACAAGGAATTTGACTTGGCGGTTTGTGCATAACAGCAGACAGTACGACAATACAACAGTGCAAGAGGAATAAAATAAAATATAATGCTATGGGTTAGTTTCAAATAAAGGAATACAAGTTAGTTAAAAATATTAAAAAATTAAAAAATAAAGGGCACCAGGGAACAGAAAGTAACAAATGAAAGTGACCGGTGGGATGTCAGAGTCAGTCAGTGGGGGACCGGCTCTGTTGATGAGCCCGACGGCCGACAGAAAGAAACTGTTGGTGTGGAGACATGCCTCGTACTAGCCTGCTTCAAGGCCTCCACCATCGCGGGCGGGAGGTCTACAGCATCATCTACAGACCTGTTGGATCTGTAGGCGAACTGCAGGGGGTCCAGTCAGTGAGAGTCTTTAGGTGGGTCAGGACTAGCCGTTCAAAAGACTTCATGACTACAGAGGTCAGGGCGACGGGCCTGTAGTCATTGAGTCCTGTGATCCTGGGCTTCTTGGGAACAGGGATGATGGTGGAGGCCTTGAAGCAGGCTGGTACGTGGCATGTCTCCAGGGAGGTGTTGAAGATGTCAGTGAACACCGGAGACAGCTGGTCAGCACAATGCTTCAGGGTGTGAGGGGAAACGGAGTCCGGGCCGGCTGCCTTATGAGGTTTTTTCCCAATCAGAACAGATATCAATGAACCTAAACAATGATGTCATCACTCACCTCTGCTGCAGTCAGCGATGGCCTTATCCTTCAGACCCTGACAGGAAGAGACAGACGTTAGAATGCCGTTAGCCACTGAATTAGCATGTTCGCCAGTGAGTTAGCGTGTTGCTTGCTACCAGGTGGAGTCGAGCAGCTGCTCTGTTGGAGAACACCACCGCTCTCTCCCGGCTGAAACAAACCGGACATGAAACCAGGGCGTCGGTGTAGCTCTGCTCTGCCTCCAGCCAGTCTGCAGAGAAACGTGTGAGTACCGGTTTGTACTGGTTCATCAGGAAAACGGCACTATGATGTCACTCACCTCCAGCTTTAAACTGGCTGTTGCCCTTTTCCTTCAGGGATAAACTTTCTTGCCGTCGACTCTGAAAGAAAAAAGAAGGTTTTGAATATCAATATATCAATCTATCTATATGCCTCTTTCACAAAGTAAAGGATTTGGTTTCAGTTCATTAACTTAAAATCCATTTGTTATGTAATCACGGAGTCACCTGGATGGTTCTCCATTATAAGGTGTTTCGTGTCAAGAGTTAATTACCGGACTTCTTGCCTTCTTAGTGTATTTGAGAGCATCAGTTGTGTGGTGCAGGAATGGTGCACAGTTCTATACGGTGAACCACTCAACTAAGTGAACAGAATTCACAGTCAATCATGACTCGAAAACAGGAAGGTCAGTCAATCCAGAACATTTCAAGAACTTTGAATGTTTCTCAAGTGCAGTCGAGAAAATCAACACTGTGATGCAAGTGGGTGGCATGAGGACCCCCCCTGGACAGGAAGACCAAAAGGTACCTCTGCTGCAGAGGAGAAGTTCATTAGTTACCAGCCTCACAAAGCTCTGATTAGAGCCCACAGAAATGCGTCTCAGAGTTTTGAGACACGTCTCAACATCACCTCTTCAGAGAAGACTGAATCAGGCCTTCAAGGTCCAATGGCTGCACTACTGAGGAAGAAAAATAAGAAATAGAAAAGACCTGCTTGGGCCCAGAAACAAACTGAATAGACATTAAACCGGTGGACATCTGGTCTGATGAGTCCACATCTGAGATTTTTGTTTCCACCCACCGTGTCTTTGTAAGACGCATAGAAACTGAGCGGATGGTCTTCTATATGTGTGATTTCCCCCCCGAAAGCAAGCAGGCTCTGTAAGGGCTATTTGACCAAAAAGGGGAGTGACGGCGGGCTGTGTCACATGACCTGGCCCCCACCTAAACCCCACCTAAACCCACTTTGGAGGGTGTAGGATGAGTTGGACCACAGAGTGAAGGCAAAGCAACCAACAAGTGCTCACTGCCTGTTGGAGAACCTTTCAGGTCACTCCTTCATAGAGCTGATTGAATAAAGGCCAAGAGGGTCAAAGCTGTCATCTAAGCAAAAGGTCTAAAATATGTTCTGCTTTAAATCCATGTTGTCCTTCATAGTTTTGATGTCTTAAATTTGAATCTACAATGTGGTGGTTCCATATTTACACAAAGAGGGTTTTACAATCTGCACATCATCCAGCATCCTCGGTCCTTATGGTATATAAATGATATAACCTGGTTAATTAGGGTGAGTGTCACGTCAATTTACAGATTAACATCTGTCACCTCTTTTTCCTTCTCCGTCAGCTCCTTCTCCGCCTCCTTCAGGTAGTCATCATCAAACTCCACCTCATGGCTGCGCTCATCCTTCGTCTCTGAATCTTCCTCCTCTTGCAGCCTGTCACCCTGCTCCTCCTCCTCCTCCTCCTGTGAGCGCTCGCCTTGCTGCTTCTTCCCTCGCAGCTTGTCGCTCCGCTCCTCCTCCTCGCTCCTGCTCCTCCTCCTCCTGACTTCTTCCTGCCCGGTTTGTGTTGTCTCTTCTGTCAGTCAGTGGGTGACTTTTTGCGTAAATGTCCTCCTCCACCCTTCGGCTTGAAGGCTCCAGGGTCTCTTGGCAGTCGTAGAAGCTATCTTCTTGCTCCTTCTCTCTTGGTTTTCCGGCTCCTTGGCTGCTCATGTTGAAGCTCTGTGACACAAAATGAGGGGATGGTGGTCAACATTTAAACTTGTCTCTGCCTCCTAACCGTGTGATGTTATGCAGAATAACCCTAACCCAACGCCGGCTCTACAACAGACATATGTTATCATTTAATTATAGAACAAATATTGACTATATTATCATAGGCATAAATGGGCAACTAGTGTTAAAGCTGTGTTAAAATACATAAACAGATGTATAACATCATACATAAGATCATATACATGTAAACAACCACACTCCTTCTACTGGTCTCATAAATGACATACATGAATAGATGTGTGAGTGTGTAGTTGTACCTGCGATATACACAGGTTTGTACTTGTACCTGTAATATACACATCTGGGCTAAGCCATCTCTGAACTAAGTTTGGTATAAAAACGAAAACATTTAAAGCCCCCATGAGTTTATGGCCAGCTAACCGCCAACAAGTAGCTAACGTTAGCTGCTAACAGTTAGGCTAGGAGACAGCCCCAGCCGTAACAATGTGGTAAACCATTGTTTACGTCACATATACACGTGATGTCATCGGTTTGACGGTTAACAGAAGGTAAAACGTGTAATTTACCTGTACTTTCTCCTGACGCCGGTTAGCTTGTCTGCCGCTGTGCAATCCATGCAGCCTCTCCATTCGCTACTGCGCATGCGCGATAATCTTCAGAGATGCGATGAGAACGAGATAGCTCCCCCCTAAACCACCGCTATCGTTACCTCGTGTTTTATTTACAGTATCACTGATGAAGTCGTTTGAAATGCGGTTATAACGTCTTTGCATGCAGTACAATGTACACTTTAATGTGTGTGGCACATGTGTGTGAGGTCCGTGTACCTTTTGATAGTCCCTTTTACCGTAAAAAACAGAAAACGAAAACCCTCGTTTCTCGTTTTTTGTTATAAATCCAAAACTGTAAAACGGAAGTGGACAGCCGTTTTATCGTTTGCCCTTTAGAACCAAAAAACGAGACAAACTGACAACGTTTTACTCCGTTAATCACTTTTGGGGTTTTAAACTAAAATACGAAGCGGAGCCGCTAAACCGGAAGTACGCCGATTTTCACAGTAAGAGTCAACGCAATGGAACGTGTGCGTTGTGCTAGAAATCCGTCTGCGATGCCAGCGGTTAAAAGTTAAATAATAGATATAAATAATCCTGGTCCGACGGGATGTGTTAGCACCAACATTTGACAACACGCACACTCGTTGCTCTTGGATCAGATGTTTATTTTCCACGCATAAACGTGCGAATACATGTATTTAAACCATAGATTTAATTATATTTAACTGTGTTTACATTATTTACGTAGGTTATTACAGATGCGTTTAATGCTGGACTTTTGGTTTCTTTATATATAATCATTATCTGTCATACTTGAATTCTGAATGTAAACCGAAGAGGTCAAAGGATGAGAATATCTAATGTTGGTCTGTGTTCCGAAGAAAATTTCTTCAGTTTTATTGCCGTCAGATTTGTTACTATTTTGTAGGGGTGTAACGATTCATTTTAACAACAATTTGATTCAAATCGCGATTCATGGTTGCCGATTCGATTCATGGACGATCTGGGTTGATTTAGAACGATTCAATTTGATTTGATTCAGTGACTTTAAATCGATTCAGTAACTTTACTGGACAGTCCAGGCAAAGTTTCCGAGATCCCTGTTGTTTCTTGTAAGGAAATCAGGTTTAAATTAATTATGGATATTATAAACAAGCAAACAACAATTAATGGCAAATGTATTAACCTTTTATTTGAATCAAGTGCCATTTTCAATGTAAACATTACACAATAATTAGACAATGTTTGGATCAATTCACAGAACCCCGGATTTTCAACCACATTGTCAGGTCTTTACAGATAAACCTGTTACTGTGATGTTGAGTTTGGTGCTGGCGAGGCCTGAGGCGTCTGCAGTGCTGAGTTACCTGCTGCTGCTGCAGCGGTGTTACGCACGCCTCGTGGAGGAGGGAACGCAACGACCCGCCGCTCGTCATCTCAATGTGGTAATGGGGGAAAGAGGTGTGGTGCGTGTAGGTACACGGACGACCAGAACACATATAGCCCGTAAAAAGGAATGTTTATTAATATATATATATAAATACGGGTTGCTTGGAAAAAGGGGCTGGGCGGAACCAAAACAATGAACAAAACAAAATAGTCCCTCTTGCCTATCTGACCTGAAACCCCCCCCCCTAACCTACCTTGAGCACTAGCAAGGCTCACTAACCAAATACAGGGGGTGGTCCGCCCAGGTCTTGCCTAGTGTTTCTAGACAGGAGGATGACTACGGGTGGTGTAGACCCATGGGCAGCTTGCCTACGCACTCCCAAGGTGCTTCCCCTTTTCCCTGGGAACAAAAGACAAACAAAACAGGATTAAACACAAATGACAAATTTCACAGGCACACAGAACAAGATTTAACAGAGACTCCAAGTCACTCTCTGCTCTACAACCCATTTTTAGCTCCACCTGAGGAGGGTTATCACACACACAGAACACAGACAAGACCGGGGGTCGTAACACGCCCACCACAAAAACAGCAAACCTCCAGTTTGTGACAAAACAACCAAACGTAACCCAGTACTTAAACACGCGATAGCTGGGGGCTTCGGGGCAGGGACTGAGAGCCTCGGAACGGGAGATTGCTGCGGCGGCGGCCCAGCGGGAAGGGGAGATCGCGGCGGCCCAGCGCGAAGGGGAGATGCGGCGGCGGCCCAGCGGGAACGGGAGATCGCTGCGGCCCAGCGGGAAGGGGAGATCGCTGCGGCCCAGCGGGAAGGGGAGATCGCTGCGGCCCAGCGCGAAGGGGAGATCGCTGCGGCCCAGCGCGAAGGGGAGATCGCTGCGGCCCAGCGCGAAGGGGAGATCGCTGCGGCCCAGCGGGAAGGGGAGATCGCTGCGGCCCAGCGGGAAGGGGAGATCGCTGCGGCCCAGCGCGAAGGGGAGATCGCTGCGGCCCAGCGCGAAGGGGAGATCGCTGCGGCCCAGCGCGAAGGGGAGATCGCTGCGGCCCAGCGCGAAGGGGAGATCGCTGCGGCCCAGTTAAAACCTTTTTTTGTTGTGGATGAGAGAGATTTCTTAAACCATTTCTCTGTTCTCTAGCATATGTGTTCCCGGTTTGAATGTTATGCCCCAAACGGCCAAGTCAAATTTGTTGATGTCTAACCATAAGTTACCAATTAGTGTTCCTGATTTCGGATTCCTGGAAACCTGGGCTTGGGCGGTAGGGCAGGAACAAGTTTCTGCCAACTGACTTGCCTTCTGTTAGGAAAAATAAAAAATTAAAGGCTCCTCTTTTATCAAGAAAAGCTAAAGGTGAATAATATTTGTCTGTTGCTGCTGAGAAATTCAAATTATCCCAAGGAAGAATTTTGGAAAACCCATAAAATCCCTCTCTGGGCAAGTTTTATCTGCTTTTATTATGTAGGACTGTAAAGTCACACCCCATGTGTTCCTGACTAAAGAGACACACTAAGTTGTTCTAACAAACACTCATATGTTCTGGTTCTCTGTTTGACTTTTGTGAAACCCCGACTGGCGTTCTGGTCAGTTTTGAAATTTGACCTCATTTCTTGTGCAGGAAGTTGATACGCCCCTAAAAAGCCAGGAAATGTCAGGGGCCTGACTGTAAAGACCAGGGGTGTCTAACTAATTTTAAGTAAGGGGCCACATGCTGTCTGCTTTGATCTCCAGGCCCGCCCAGTAAAATCATGGGCGATGGGCAAGTCAACGGAGGTGGGGGAGGAAAGGTGGGGGGGGGGGTGCATTTTCAAGCGAGCGCTGTCAGCTTGAGAAGTGGCAGTTGGTATGTGCCGATCTCAGAGTGCTTCTCGTGCGCCTATGAGACCCTTGAGGATGGTATCAGCGACGTTGGTGTATGAGAAGGAAGGAATCAGTCCAACACGTTCTGGCTTTTCCTCATCACTTTAGTGAAGTCCTAACAGCAACACTCCAGTCTCAATGTCACGTCCACACGACTTTCCTCTTTCTCCCTGTTTATACTCCTCCGGACCCCAATATAGTGCCGATTAGAGTTCAGAATTTATATCCATCTTAACATAACTTAATACTTATACTAAGTATGTGTATACAAGATGACAGAATTTCACTCACACATCCCTCCGCCCCACCTGTAAAAGAAGAGTCGTTGCTTCCAAACAGCTGAATTTATACCTTTGGTACACTTTCCAACATATACAAAATACCTATATAAACTGGACTGTAATGAAACACTAGGAACAGCATCCTTGTTTTCGTATTATGAATGTATTCAACTGCAGAAGTCACGTTGGAGACCTTTGCATTGAAGACCTTTGCATTGAAGACCTTTGAGGATGGTCATACCCCTGACATACACTTTTTTTCGGACATTAGTTCCATGACGTACTTGAGGACGCACACAGCGGCAGTATCACCAGGGGCTACCAGGGTGTTTTGGTGGTGGCAGCTCCTTGAGTTGAAGGACACACAGTAGTCTGAGTCCTATCTAGAGCAGTGGTTCTAGTGTCGCAACCCCCGTTTTCAGGGGGGTTGCAGGTCTGGGTCACAGGTCCAGACAGGCACAATTCACGTCCAGTCTGGACAAAGGGGTTTGTCTGCTCTGACTGCATCTGAGAGGGGCGGATGCGCGAGGAGTGGGCCACCTGAGCGTGCTTTGGGATGCTACATTTGTCATAAGTTGCCTCTTATTTTTTTTTAAAGGGTTTGACAGTTGGTGTGAGCCAGGTTGGGTCAAACCATCCTGACCTTGGGCTCAGCTCTTGGATCCTGCTGGTTCAACAGTTCATAGTCCACTCCAATGGCACCACTGCCTAACCGTCACGAAAACGCTGATGACGCAAGCAGGTCACCCATAGGCCAGACCGTCCCATTTCAGAGACCGCTCGGTTGTTGGAGGACCAGCCCAGGTCTACCGCAAAGGTTGGGTCCCCCAAGGTTCGATCGTAGGGCCGACCTTATTCAACATCTACATGCTCCCACTAGGACAAATCATGCAAAAAAATTAAATTGACCACCATTGCTACGCTTGATGACACCCAAATCTATGTAGCGCTATCACCAAACGACTATCGCCCCATAGATCTTCTGTGCCAGTGCATTGAGCAAATCAAAGACTGGATGTTTCAAAATTTCCTACAACTAAATGAAGACAAAACTGAGATCGTTGTATTTGGTGCTAAAAAAGAAAGGTTTAAAGTAACCCAACACCTTCACTCTCTGTCCCTGAAAACATCAAATAAAGCCAGAAATCTGGGGGTTATTATGGATTCAGATTTACACTTGGAGAGTCACATCAAATCAGTAACAAAATCAGCCTACTACCACCTCAAAAATGTAGCACGACTTAGAGGGCTCATGTCAGCTCAAGACTTAGAAACACTTGTACATGCCTTTATAACCAGTAGGCTAGACTATTGTAATGGTCTCCTTGCAGAAAAAAACTGTCAGGCAGCTCCAGCTTGTTCAGAACGCTGCTGCTAGAGTTCTAACAAAGACCAAAAAATGTGAGCACATTACACCAATTCTTAAATCCTTACATTGGCTCCCAGTATGTCAGAGAATTAATTTCAAAATCCTACTGCTCACATATAAATCACTACATGGTTTAGGGCCAAAGTATATCGCTGATATGCTTCCACTACATAAGCCTTAAAGATCACTAAGATCTTCTGACACCATCTGTTAGTGATTCCCAGAGTAAATACAAATCATGGGAAAGCATCATTTAGTTACTACGCAACAAACAGCTGGAATAAACTTCCTGAAGATTTAAGACTTGCCCCAACTCTGACCACGTTTAAAACAAGACTGAAAACTTTTATGTTCAGCTTCGCCTTCTGCTAAATTTGACCTACATTGCACTTTTAACCTCTGCTTTTAATTAAACAATTTAAATAAGATTTTAATTTATAATTTTATTTGCTGTTTTTAATTGTCTTTTAATTCCTGCATTTTATTTCAATTTATTGTATGAAATGTTATAATGTGAAGCACTTTGAGTCTGCCTTGTGTATGAAAAGTGCTATACAAATAAAATTGCCTTGCCTTGCCTAAAGTGCTAAAAAACACGCATCCACACCGTTTTTGTGCTTAAATCCAATGTGCAGTTTCCAAGTATTGATACAAATCGATTATGTACCATTTCAATCGATTTGTAATCGATATATGTCGTCCGGAATGCCGATTTGCGGAGCACGGATTGATTCAGTAGGATCGCAGGAATATAAATCGATTAATCGATTCAGTGGATGAATTGTTACATCCCTACTATTTTGATAAAAATAAGTTAACACTGATTGTGTCCAGGTCAGTTCCACCTCAAAGCCAGATTTTAGGGCAGCTTCTCGATTGCACAGAGACATTTTATTTCCAAGAGAAAATTATGTTAAACATTCAATTCTTATTATAAGGAAGAGTATCCCCAGTTACCGGGACAGCGAAGCCAGATGCATCAGTAGCTGCAGAGTGAAGAGGTGGACTCATTAAGTGTCACACTTTGGCATCAACAAGTGCTCATGATCAGGAAGCTGCATGATCATGACTGACCACACTTTTTAATTTGAATATTTAAATAACACTTGACATCACACAGAAATAAATGTTGTTTATTGTACACATGCTACAATCAACTTTATTTACAGCTTTAACATTTCTATATCTAAATTATTATTGTGATACAAACTACTTAATGTAACAATTTTATGATACTCCTCCATTGATTTCGATTTTTACTAAGTGTGAATACATTTTCGTTCACTTCATTCTTTCAACAAATCATATTTTTTAATAATGTTTCATTTTTGAAATACATGCTATGTTTAATATTATCATCAATACGTCTGGTGAATTTAAATAAAAGCTTTACTCTGAAAATCTATCAGGAGGAAATAGAGGAGGAGGAAGAGGAGCATGAGAAAAAAGAAGAGAAAGAGGAGGAAATGATGGAGAGTAAGAGGATTAGCAACAGGAAGAAGAGGAGGAGGAGGAGGAGCGTCTAGTCTGGGCAATCCAGGAGCTGAAAGCAGAGACTCGTGTGTAGACTCCTGGTCTCTGAGGACGTCCACAGCCGATACCAAATGATGTCACACCTGTCAGGGAACCAATTAGAACACATCTGCACGATACTGTGTGTCCGTGTGTGTGGATGTGTCACTCACCAATCAGAATCCAGTGTCCGTTGTCCTCATATATCAAAGGACCTCCAGAGTCGCCCTGAAACAAACATGTTTATTTACAACTTTATTTACAACAAAAAACAGGTCAGAGCTTTGGAGGAAGAACGATTTAGCATTCATGAGGTAACCCCAGTGCCTTTTTATCTTGTACGTCGCTATGGTAACTAATGCTATATTTCCTAACCCTAACCCCCTGTGGTGAGATATCCGACAGTCGATACCCAGGGTATCAGTGAAGATGGCGGGTGAACTGTAGACTCCAGGAACACCTCCCTAGGGAGGTGCCCAGGGGGCATCCTCAGCAGATGCCCAAACCACCTCAACTGGCTCCTTTTGTCACAAAGGAGCAGCGGCTCTACTCCAAGCTACTCACGAATGGCTGAGCTTCTCACCCTATTTCTGAGGGAGACGCGAGCCACTCTCCTGAGGAAACCCATTTCGGCAGCTTGTACCCATGACCTAGTTCTTTCGGTCATGACCCATCCTTCATGACCATAGGTGAGGGTAGGAACGAAGATTGACGGGTAGATCGAGAGCTTTGCCTTCGGGCTCAGTTCTCTTTTCGTCACAACGGTGCGGTAAAGCGAGTGCAATACCGCCCCCGCTGCTCTGATTCTCCGGCCAAACTCACACTCCATCTTCCCCTCACTCGTGAACAAGACCCCGAGGTACTTGAACTCCTTCACTTGGGGTAAGGACACATTTCCTACCTGGAGTAGGCGATCCATCGGTTTCCTGCTGAGAACCATGGCCTCAGATTTAGAGGCGCTAATCCTCATCCCGACCGCTTCACACTCGGCTGCGAATCGCTCCAGTGGGAGTTGGAGGTCACAGACAGAAGATGCCATCAGGACCACATCATCTGCAAAAAGCAGCAATGAGATCTGCAGCCCCCCTGAACTGTAGACCCTCCTCCCCCCGACTACACCTCGATATCCTGTCCATGAAGACCACAAACAAGATTGGTGGCGTAGTCCTGGCGAAGGCCAACCCCCACCGGAAACGCCTTCGACTTACTGCCAAGTACCCAAACACATCTCTCGCTTTGGGCGTACAAGGATTGGATGGCCCCAAGCAAGGACCCCCTCAGCCCGTACTCGCGCAGTACCTCCCACAGTTTATCTCGGGGGACCCGGTCATACACTTTCTCCAAGTCCACAAAACACATGTAGACTGGATGACTGACTGACAGACTGGTGGTCGGGCTCCATGGCAAGCCCGGCCACCAGACGGGCCTCCATCTGGGCCTGGCTCCTAATGGGGGCCCCGGTCTTCCTTCGGGTAACTCCTTCCCTCTTCCGTTTTTTCATAGGGTCTTTTGAACCATTCTTAGTCTGGCCCTCCCCTGAGACCACTTTGCCAAGGGTATCCCTACCAGGAGCACACGACTCCCGACAACACAGCCCTCAGGTTCATAGGGACACACAAGCCTCTCCACCACGATAAGGTGATGGTTTCCCAGAGAGGTGAGGTAAAGTGGTAAAATACCGGACAGTCAATACCGAGAATGTCACAGTATGATTCCCTGGGTACATGAGGGACGGTGGGTGGACTGTGGAGTCCAGGTCAGTCTTGGTGGTGAGATACCTGACAGTCGATCACCAGAGTGTAGCAATGAGAAGGAGGTGGAATCCAGGTAGAGTCCAGGTGAGTCCAAGTGGTAAAATACAGGACAGTCGAGACCCTCAATATCAGAGTATGATAATACCCTGGGTACATGAGGGAAGGCGGGTGGACTCTACAGTGGTGACAAAACTGCCAGTTGTTACCAAGGGTGTAAGAGTGAATGCAGGCGGACTGTAGAGTTCATGTGAGTCTACAATAGGTGGTGAAATACCGGACTGTCAATACCAAGGGTAATATAGAGGGAACATGTTATGTACCTTACAGGAGTCGACCCCCCCTTCAGGGTGTCCGGCACACAGCATGCTGGAGGTGATGTTGTATTCAGGTAACTGATGCTGACACTGATCCTGGACCAGCAAAGCAACATTTGTCTCCTGGAGAACATCAGGGAGATCACCTGATAAACAGGTAAAAAACAGACAGACAGGCGGTGAGGGAGGGACTGTATATGTATGTACTATAGAATGTATATGTATGTATTCATATTATTTAGTCTGTATAGTGTAAATATACACTATATAATGTATAGTAGAGTACGTAGTGTGCATTATGCATAGTCTTTAGTATAGAATAGACTACACTTGGTTTCTATCATGCATAGTTTATTAGAGTATATACAGTATATAATTTGTATTATGTATAGTTTAGTAGACTATACAGTGCGTATTATGCCGTATATAGTGTATATTATGCATTGTAAATAGTATATTGGAGTACAGGTAGTGTGTATTATTCATAGTACTTGTCTCTCACCCTGCTCAGAGGTTTGACCCCACCCAGCAATCAAGCATCTGGTTCCAGCTGTGAACTCTTGACCTTCAGCAGGTAAACACAGTGGCTGGATGAACTCTGTAGAACACATCTATTTAAAATCTTTATCATTATTTTTTATATTATTATATGTATTATGATTGTTACTCATAAACCCAGAGTTGATCCGTGCTTGTGTGCTGTTACCCACGTGAGAAGCTGATTGGCTGCTGAAGGTGCATCATAGCTATATCTGCCTGCTTAGTCTCTCTGTTGTAATGTCTGTGGATCCAGATGCGATCGACTCGTCTTGTCTGAACCTCCAAAGAGTTCATGTCACTTTGAGAGTGAAGACCGAAAACAGCCGACCAGGACTGGAGGTGAAGGTTCTTCCTGAGGAAAACATCATAACCATATTTAGTTTATCAACAAGGAGAATATATTAAGTATGAAATTACCATTAGATCTTATCTTTATTGTAAGTGTAAGTCTGAATTTTTGTTCCTACGTTTTAGTAGCTCAATTAAAGGAGGAGCTCAGTTCTGCTATATTATATACTTACTGTATATATACTAGAGCTGTCAACATTAACACGTTAATCTATGCAATTAATGTAGCTGAGATTAATGCGATTAAGTATTTTAACGTAGTTTACAGTCGTTTGACTCTGGAGACAAACGCTAGAGGACCTGCAGAGGACCACCACTGTGTTCCTAAAAGACAGTGGTTAGGAAAACTTCCTGGCTAAATGTTGGGACATTGTTCCCACTTCAAACACAGCGATCAAATGATGGAGAGTTGAGAGCAAAGTGCACAAGGACAGCAGGAAGAGTTGCTAGTTAAACATGTTCCACCCGGTGGAATTCTGCCTCCAAGATGATCAAATGTGTGTAGTTTTATGTTTAAAATAACATTAACAATTAAACAACAGTGTCTATTACGCATGCTTTCTAAAGTGATTACTCATTACTTAGTCTTTAGGAGAAACATTCATTCATTAACAACAATGTTTTGCCCTCTCTGATGCAGTCTGAGATCTGTTGATGAAGAGTGCGTTATAAATACAATGTATTATTAGTATTATTATATTATTATTATTAAACAATGTGTTGAATCCACACACCAGAAAATGTACTCAGAAGAGCTGAGTTGTAAACATTTAAGAACTGTTATAGGTAGATATATACTCTTCCTTCAGAATATTTGTTAAAGTACTATGAATAAATTATTTGTGTTCTCTCACCCGTACACACAATGAGCAGCGGTCAGAAGCCAATCACGCCCGAGTACTGACGCTCCGCACACATGACGACCCCTCCACTGCAGAGACACAATCCATGGCCACGCCCCCTTCACAGCGTCCACCCCCCCGACCACCCGCACTTCACCTGGCAGGTGTAAACCAAACTACAGTCAGGATCCGATTAACAGGTTAGATCATAACTGACAGCAATGATTTCCTTCACCTGGTTTCCTCACTGCTGATTTGTCCGTGTCCCTCGACTCATTAGTGACGACCTGAATACCACAAGCTAAAAAAAAATCGTTTATGAGTACAAGTGTGTGTTGTTTTAACAATCAGTGTTCATGAGTGCAGATGTTTGCTGATTAACGGTCTAGTAAAGGTGTGTTAAACCGTTGTGTTTACTCACGTTGATTGTCACAGGTAAGAGAGATCACTTCCCCACTGATACAGGTTTCACTGTAAAAACAACACGATTATTAATTACATTCTATTCATTAAATTCAGGGGTTTGTTAACCCCCACTTTTACTGCTAGTAACCTCAGTTTAACACTCGTCAGCCAACTCTCCCCGACTCCCAACATCACTGACAACACGATCCTGTAGATACACGCTCTACAACATCAGGAGAATATGTCCCCTTCTCACTCAGAAGGCGGCGCAGGGACTGATTCAGGCTCTTGTCATCTCCCGCCTGGACTACTGTAACTCTCTCCTGCAGGTCTCCTGCTACCACCATTCCACCTCTGCGGCTCATCCAGAATGCAGCAGCTCCACTGGTCTTTAACCTTCCTAAGTTCTCCCACACTCCTCCACTCCTCTGCTCTCTTGGCTGCCTACCAGTAGCTGCCTGCATTCAGTTCAAAACATTGGTACTCACGTACCATGCTGTGAATGGATCGGGTCAGGTCTACATCCAGGACCTGGCCAAACCCTACACCCCAACCCTCACACTCTGCTCTGCATCTGCCAAACTGCCTGTTCCTCCCTCACTGAGAGCAAAACACTCGACAAGATCACGACTGTTTGCGGTCCTGGCTCCAAAATGGTGGACCGTAGACAGCCTTCACATCTTCCGCCGCAAACTAAAGACACACCTTGACTCAAAAGACTAAAATTGTAGCACTTAAATTGTACTTGTTGTTCTAGTTCAGTTCAAGTTCTGGTCTTCTGTACCTGGTACTGGTTTCCAGCGACCCGTTGCTTGAGATCCTGATGGTTGCAAATGGTGAATCTTCAGGACGAGCCGGCAGGAGTCTGGATTCACCCGAACTGCACACAGTCGGGATCAATAAATAGAAACTAGGCTTCTCTTTATCAGGTGAAGACAGACGAGACTAACCTCTATCCCAGGTAATGACAGGTGAAGTCAAACAGGTGAGAGTTACCTGTATCCCAGGTACTGACAGGTGAAGACAGACAGGTGAGGGTTCCAGGTGTCAGCACAAATTGTGAGCAGTGAGGAAATAAGTTGAAACTGAAGACGTCTGGAACTATTCACCTGCCACACAACTGAAACACACACATTGATTTAATAATAACCATCAAGGTAAACTGATTGATCCCAGGTGTTGATCATCGGGACCCCTGTGTGGACTCACCACACTCTGCCTCATCGGAGCCGTCGGGACAGTCGACCTCGCCGTCACATTCACCGTTACCATGGATACAACCTCCTGTCCGACACTGGAACTGACTGACGGCACACGCAGCTAACCACAAACCAAATCAATAATACTGTGAGAAATGTGAGTGATATTTACAGCATATTACCTCTAACCCTAAACTCACCTGGTGACCCCAGGTTGACCCCCGAGGTGAAGTTGGCTCTGAATCCTCGGCCGTTACCTGAGACGTCTGTAAAGAACCGGACTGTCATCCGATTGGTTGTTGAGAACAAGTCGGAGGAGGGGCCTATGCCTCCAGTGAGGACAGCTGGAGAAGTTACAAGCATATTGATACCCGAAGCAGAGCGGTCAAGTGTACATACATACTCCTTGTGAGGATTAAACTGCAAAGGATCATGGGTAAAACATAACCTTACCAAGTAGGTAGGAGTTTGGCCCCGCCCCATCTCGCACCTCTACGATGTCATAGGTTGCTTCAACATCAAAGTCGAGAAAGTGAAGCTGTATGTTTCGACCCTCGCGGGTGTGCAGAGTCCACACACCTGTAGCAGCAGACATCGTGAGTAGAGGGAAGGGGGTTTGAAAACATCAGGTAAACATTTCAGGTGTTTTTTATTGTTTTGGCTTTTTTCATGGTTGTTTATGAACTCATCCTTGTTAAAATGTAAACCCCAACATGTGTACTCACAATGAGCCTTGTTCCCGTAGGATTGTGGGTAATTTGGTGAGCTGAAGGTGGAGTTTGGCTCCCAGAGGTCAAAGGGTCCTCCACAGTCAGCTGGACAAGTTAGAGCAGAGGCAGAGCAGAGGGAACCAATCACACCTTCACATTCTTTAATGTTTTGAGGAATGGTCTGGGTCTTACTATTATTTGTACCAGTGTAGGGGCATGGTCTGTGGTATACGGGTGTGATCTTGGGATTATTTGTATAGAGGCCTTGTCGGTGTCCTACCAGTATAGAGGTATGGTTTGTGTCTTATTTATATGATCAGTGAAGGCCCTACTATTTGTTTAGGGGTGTGGGTCTTTGTCCTACCTATATAGGGGCGTATACTGTGAACTACCTGCATAGGTATGTGGTCTTTGTACTCTGTATAGGGACATGGTCTGTGCCCTATCTTCCTATGTATGGGCCTGGTCCTTTTTTTACCTGTGTATGGGTGTGGGCCTTTGTCTTACCTGTATAGGTGGGTGGTGGTATAAGGGGGATGTTTTACCTGGTATTGGGGGGGCAGTTGTTGGAGGAGGTACATTGGTTGGTTCTGGGGGGCTGGGGCCACAAGGATCAGAGGTCAGTGTGATGTCATCTAGAGCAATGTCGTTCCTCATCCCTCCTTTTTTCAGCGCTTCAAATACAACCTGCAGGGGTCAAACGTCACGCTGATTGAGTGAGTGATCACCTGATCTAACTATATAATTTTTTTTTAAATGATGTCACTCACCACTGTTTCTGTTGTCAGGTTGAGGGTCACCTGGCCATAATTCCAGTTGTCACCATAGTTACCGTCTCTTTGGATCACCACAATTACGGGAGGTCCAGACAACAATACCCTGAGACGGTGGACATCCTCTCCGAACATGTGGTACCTGGACAGTCAATTATTCATCTTCTTTAAGGCAATATTATCAGAAAACCTACACAAACTGCCACTGTTATTCATATAATAATTGATTTTATTTATTAATCAAATATAATTAGTAGTATTACTTTGGTTATCATTATTATTGTTAATGTTTTGGTTATTATTATGATCATTATTGTTATATTATTATTATTATCATCATCATCGTTAGTATCAGTATTATTATTAGAACCATCATTAGTACCGTTATTATTATTCTTGTCATTGTTATTATTAGTATTATTATTGTTGTTATTATTATTCACTGCTGCTCTACTATAAATAATATATAATATAATAATATACTATAACATGTTCATTTACCAGAAGCTCAGACACATGAGCTGAGGTTGAGCAGAGAGACGCAGGCTGTGCATCCTGAAGCTCTTCAGCCATTGGCCAGGACTGAGAGGAGTAACCATGTAGAACCCTGTCAACAACAAGGTGGCAGATCAAAACAAAAGCCCCAGATAAGATAATGATCATTATTCTGCAGAGCAGAAATTGTTAAGGTCCTGTTTTTATCTTTGCCCAGAACTAATATACATATATATATGCGATTTTCTGTGATGAGAGGGTGATGTAATCTGCCGTCCCTGCAGGACTTGTGGCCGACCCCTCTCACCCCCGACAAAACCTGTTTGTGCCCCTTCCATCTGGCAGGAGGCTGAGGTCCATCAGGACTAAGACCTCCCGCCACACCAACAGTTTCTTCCCGTCGGCAGTCGGGCTCATCAACAGAGCCGGTCCCCCACTGACTGACTCTGACATTCCACTGGTCACTTACTTTCACACTGCACAACTTTCTGTTCGCTGGTGCATTTAATACTTTTAACTTTAACTTGTATTCCTTTATTTTTAAACTAACCCATAGCCTTATATTTTATTTTATTACATTGCCGTACTGTCTGCTGTTAGGCTATTAGGCTATTAGGAGATTCAAGATGGCGCCATGCTGCTCGGCTGGCCGTCTGTCGCTCTGCTCTGTGTTTGCTATGTGTTTAGTGATTTACCTGTTCTGTCATGAGGTATCATCTCTCCTCACTTATGATCGTCAGACTCTGCTTCAGATAGGAGGCTTCTACGATCAGCTAAAGTATGATCCATTGGTGTACTTTTCCCCATGCCCCGAAGAAATCCCGGCGTTTCTGAGGCGTCCCCCACTCCATTTTGCCCGTCAGAGACGCCGGAGAAGACGCGGTAAACGCGGAGGCCTCCGGGTCAGGCTGGAGGCCTATCTTAGGTCTGGTCGTGTGTTGGATTATGGCACTAATCAACACTTTCTGGATGTTTCCCCTGCCCTGCGACTGCGACCGAGGAGGATTAGAACTCGATGGATCCAGCCGGTGCTCCCGTGCGTTGCCGGCTCTGACAGCGTCAGCTGTTCGGCGGACTCCGACCAGCTGTTGCTGCTTCCTACCACCTGGCGTTTTCGGACCGGGAGTCGCGGCGTGGACCCTCGGAACCTCCGCACAATGGAACGTGCTTCACCTTCGGACACTTTTTTCCTCAAGTTGGCTTTGTTGAATGTGAGATCTGTCACCAACAAGACTTTTTTACTGAATTACTTTTTTACCTCACGCAAATTGGATTTTATGTTCTTAACTGAACGCTGGCTCCGCGAAGGTGATCTTGCTCCTTTTTCGGAGCTGCTCCCTCTAGGATGTAGTTTCCTCAGCTCCCCTCGCACCACCGGCAAAGGAGGAGGACTGGCATCCGTATTTAAATCCACCTTTCACGTCCAGCAGCGTCCAGTTGTCAATGGCTCCAGCTTTGAGCTCCAACTTTTTGAGGTTAAAATCCCTGTGACTGTTCTCTGTGCTGGGATCACCCACCGAAATTTAACAAGGACTTTATACAGGACTTTGCAAACTCTGTGTCAGGTATTATTCTCGAGTATGAGAGTATTTCTAATTGTCGGCGATTTTAACGTGCATGTCTGCTGTGAGACCAGACCGCTTGTCAAAGACTTTTTGAATCTAATTGACTCTCTTAATCTCACGCAGTCTGTTTCGGAACTGACGCACGAAAAAGGCCATATTTTGGATCTTGTACTGTCATATGGACTGGATGTACAAATAACTGAAATATTATTACATATGAGTTTAATGCGCGTTGAGCCACAGACTGAGCCTTGGCTGAATGAGTTCACTCGTGCACTCACACGCGCATGCAGACAGGCAGAGAGGAAGTGGAAAAAAGACAATCTCCAGATTTCTCGGGATCTCCTACGTGATCGCCTTTTTAATTATAAACAGGCTGTTAAAGCTGCTAAAGCTGAATATTTTTCCTCACTCTCCAAAAACACTCACAAACCTCAGGTTCTTTTTAACGTATTTGACTCACTAGTGAACCCTTGTGATGCTGTCTCTGTTGAACCGTCTGCTTGTGTGAGGACTTTTTGTAATTCTTTATCACTAAAATCTCTGCCCTTAGATCCTCACCCCCCCAACATGTGCAGGACCCCGCTAATCCTACAGCAAGCTCAGCTGTTTTTCACCAGTTTGAGACTGTCTCACTTTCTGCACTTACTGAAATAGTTAATCACCTACGCCCTGCTAACTGCCCATCGGACAGCATTCCATCCCACTTGCTTAAGCAGGTCTTCAGCTCAGTTTGGCCTTTTATTTTGTTTCTTATAAATCTGTGTCTCAGCTCTGGACGTGTCCCAGCCTCCTTCAAACATGCCACAGTGCAGCCTCTTTTAAAAAGGAAAAAATTTGGATCCTTTGGTTCTTTCTCTCGTTCCTCTCTGGGAACCGTCACCTTATCGTGGTGGAGAGGTTTGTGTGTCCCTATGACCCTGAGGGCTGTGTTGTCGGGAGCCCTGGTAGCCCTGTGTTGTGCTCCTGGTAGGGTTACCCTTGGCAAAGTGGTCTCAGACGAGGGGCCAGACTAAGAATGGTTCGGGGTTAGGGAAGAGGGAAGGAGTTACCCGGCCCGGAGGAAGCCCGGGGCCCCCATTTGGAGCCAGGGCCCGACAGCGAGCGTCTGGTTTACCGCGGAGCCCGGCCGCGCACAGCCCGAAGGAGTGACGCGGCAGCCCAAGGCTCTACTCCCCATGGGCTCACCACCTGTGGAGGAAACCGATGGGGTCGGGTGCGCTGCTACAAGGGTGGCAGTGACAGTGGGGGGTCTAGACGGAACAGACCTGCGCGGCAGATGCTGGCTCTGGGTACGTGGAACGTAACCTCTCTGGGGGGGAAGGAGCCGGAGCTTGTGCGGGAGGTGGAGCGTTATCAGTTGGATCTGGTGGGGCTTACCTCTACGCACAGCCTCGGCTCTGGAACCACACTCCTGGATAGGGGGTGGACTCTATTCTACTCCGGAGGGGCCCATGGTGTGAGGCGCCAGGCGGGTGTGGGGATACTCATAAGTCCCCGGCTGAGTGCTGCTACCCCGGTGGACAAAAGGGTCGCCTCCCTACGCCTTCGGGTGGTGGGGGGGAAAACCCTGACTGTTGTCTGTGCATATGCATCAAACAGCAGCTCAGAGTATTCAGCCTTTTTGGAGACCCTGAATGGAGTCCTGCATAGGGCTCCAGTAGGGGACTCCATAGTCCTACTGGGAAACTTCAATGCGCACGTGGGCGACGATGAGATATCTGGAGAGGCGTGATTGGGAGGAATGGCCTCTCTGATCTGACCCCGAGCGGGTGTTTGTTACTGGACTTATGTGCCAGTCACGGATTGTCCATAACAAACACCATGTTCGAGCATAAGGATGTTCATAAGTGTACGTGGTACCAGAGCACCCTAGGCCCAAAGATCAATGATCGACTAGTATCGTCTGATCTGAGGCCGCATGTTCTGGACACTCGGGTAAAGAGAGGGGCAGAGCTGTCAACTGATCACCATCTGGTTGTGAGCTGGGACAGAGGATGGGGGAAGACTCGGGACAGACCCGGTAAACCCCAGCGTGTAGTGAGGGGGAACTGGGAAGGTCTGGAGGAGGCCCCGGTCCAAAAGATTTTCAACTCACACCTCCGGCGGAGCTTCTCTCACATTCCTGTGGAGGTAGGGGACATTGAACCAGAGTGGTGTATGTTCAAAACCTCCATGGGTTATGAAATCCGGTGGGACTCCGGAGGCAGTTGCAGTGTACCGACAGGCTCGAAAGGCAGCAGCCTCTTCCGTGATGGAGGCAAAGCAGCGAGTATGGGAGGAGTTCGGGGTAACTATGGAGAAGGACTTTTGGTCGGCACCAAAGTGCTTCTGGAAGACCATCCGGCACCTCAGGAGGGGGAAACAGGGAACCATCCAAGCTGTGTACAGTAAGGATGGGACCCTGTTGACCGCACTGAGGAGGTTATCGGGCGGTGGAAGGAACACTTTGAGGAACTCCTGAACTCAACTACTACGCCCTCTTTGGTAGAGGCGGAACTGGAGGCGGAGGAGGGATAATCGTCAATTGGCCTGGTGGAGGTCACTGAGGTAGTCAAACAACAGTGGCAAAGCCCCGGGGGATTGATGAGATCCGTCCAGAGATGCTAAAAGCAATGGGTGTTGGGGGGGTTGTCTTGGATGACACGCCTCTTCAACATTGCTTGGAAGTCTGGGACAGTGCCAAAAGAGTGGCAGACCGGGGTGGTGGTACCATGGAACCATGAATTGAAACGAGTGCGTCGACGCAACGACACAGACGCAGAAGCATGCGCCAGCCTTTACAGTAGTCCAGGCTGGAGATGACAAGAGCCTGAATCACTAAATGCACTACTGTATTTAAGCAGTGTGTGTCTCTTGTCACTTGTCGCGTCATTGTCTATCGTCCTGGATGTTCCTGTGTGCCTTTTTGCCCTGGTTCGTGTGCGTTTTTGTCTGTTGGCCTTTTTCTTTGTTGCCTTTTGACTATTAAAGTCTTCTTTTGTTACTCGACATCTGCATTTGAGTCCTGCCTTCCCCGCATCCCTGAGACTCATGTTGGGGGCAGCTTGTACGTGCCTCATTTGGTGTGATGCTAAGGAGGCTTCATTCTTCTTTCGTCCTCTGGCACGCCGCATCCAAAGTAGTCTGCTGAAGTCCCGCTTAACTGGTTGTTTGGGTAGCTAGTGGGCTGACATCAATGCTTAAGAGGTACTTCAGGCTCGTAGTACTTCAGGCTAGTTGTAATTCAGGCTCATAGTACTTCAGGCTCCTAGTACTTCAGGCTCCTAGTACTTCAGGCTCATACACTTCAGTGATAAGTTACTTCCGGTTTGTATGTTAACGCATATTTAACGCGTTAACGTGCAACCATCATTTCATGTCATCGTTCTGTGTCACCATGGTCCCATGACATCAATGTTCCATCGCCACCATTGTTCTATGACCCCATCGTTCCATGACCCCATCTGCGTGATATCATCGCTCCTTGAGATCATCGTTTCATGACACCTTTGTCCCATAACAGCATTGTTCCATGACATTAGTGTTTCATGACGTTATCGTTTACACTCACCGGAGCTGTTGTTCAGCGTGTGGTCAACACTCGGCCCACTCAGTGGAGGAAAGGTGGGAATGCTGGTTCGGATCCAGTCTCCATCATCCTCTTCCTGCTGCTGCCTCCAGAAACACATGCCCCGCTCAAAGGTACAGGTCAGCTTCTCCTGGTCTGATCACACATACACACAGACAAAGGTTGAGTAGAGTACCACACATCACAGTTATATAAACACATTTGTATTTATATGTATTTATAGGTGTTACTAGAGAGGTTGGAGAGGTTGGCTGCTCGGTACGAGGCTTTGAACCCGGAGAGATTGTTGACGTCATCGGAGATAAACTCCACAGTTGATTGGTCGGTCAGCAGCCACACCGTCCCAGGGGGGTTGGAGCCTGAGAGCTCAGCTGCCAATCACAGTAGAGACTGTTTAGTCAGGTAGTTTTAACTATTTTGCAAATGTTGAGAATGATTCGAGAAATGTACCAAAGCAACTGAGAAAACTGTAAAACACACATAGACAGACAAAGATACAATTGTGTGGGTGTCTGTGTGCGTGTATATATTTGTCAAGCGTGTGTGCATCTGATAGTGTTTGTGTGTATCAGAGTATCTTTACCTGCCAGCTGCTTTTCTACTCCGATGTTTTCGTACAGTTTCAGAACGTTAACATTTTCTTCTGTTTCAAAGTAATGAAATTTGATCTCAACAGATAATCCTGGTTTTAGCCTGAAAAACAAGTTTTATAATCAGACAGTTTAAATATCAACAAGCGACTACTTGATTCTGGAAATGTATGTCACTGTAAAAAATATCCTAAATTTACAGAAAATAACTTCTTGCATAACATTCTTACAGTAGTTTTTCTGTTTTTAAAAAAAAAATGTAAAACTACAGATTTTGTCTGTAAATTAACAGACCAACTGTTAAGTATTATGCGAATAATGACTAATTTCTTCTCATTTTTCTACAGAAGAAATATTTTGAGCATTTTAATGTTTTCTTAAATGACCAAAAAACATTTATTTTAGTAATCTTTTCCTATATTTGCTATCAGGCGTGTCCACAGATATTTTGGGACAAAACAAAAGGGCACCCATCGGCAAAACTATTCATAAAATTAAAAATACTAATAAAATAAATAAATAAATAACACAGTAGGATATTTTCCCTGTCCTTCTGCTCTTGGCATTATGCTGCAAATTTTGTAAATAGGATAAATCAATGTTGTGCATAATAATCAAAAGATGACACTACACACACATTTTTTTGCGGCATAAGCATAGGTTAAAGCATTACACTAATAATATATCACAATATACCTCACCAGACTGACTTGTAGCTCAACTTAAGACCTACCTTTCATTCATTGAATTAAATTAAACAAAACTAGTGAACTTGTCTAATTTGTAGAACAGTAAGACTGAGTTTTTTCTTTTAGGAAAGTTGGACCAGTTGCGATGTAATGTTTTCTGCGGCATTAATGTTGTGATTAATTTATCACCAAACAACGTAGGGGGGATTGCACAAACACCGTCATCCCCTGTTTGTCTGATGCTGCAGCCGTTTGGCACGAACACTAAGCGGAAGAGGAGGAGGAGGAGGGAGGGGCGGAGCTTGTGAAATTCTCGCAAACAAATGCCCCCTCACATATCAAAACACATTTGGGGGGAATTGATGACAGAGAGAGTCATTTTTATTCTTAAATATTGAGGGGAGGGAAGTTGCTGCTGGGCACTTGCGGTGTTGTTCCGTTGTTCTACTTGTCTCTGCTGTTACCTGTTCCTCGTATGTGGCTAACTGAGTTAGCCGGATAATCTGAGATGAGATGACGTAGATCAGGCTTTTCGGTTCCCCAAAGCAGGTTTGTCTAAATCACCATAGCAACACATCGAAAAACTTGAACCTGCTCCAGCGCAGGTTCACCTGAGCTCCTGGATTAGTTCATCACTCCCCCGGAAAAAAGGGCAGCTCCCTTCCTCATTGATGAAGGAGCGACATCAATTAGATTAACGTTTTATAGGGAGAAACTTCTTCGAGATCAAAGGCCCGTTTAGCCACGTTTAGCTCACACTATCTCTACTGTCCATGTATGTACGGTGTTGCGATGCAGAGAACATCTGGAAAGCCGCTGCATGTCGTGCTCTTTGTAAAGTTCTGTTGGTTTATTTGTCGCTTCATTCGTATCAACTAAATTCTTTGGGCTTGTTTTCATCTACATACTCTGAAAGAGTTGAGATGATTATTCTCATTGGATAATGATGATTCCATGAAGCCTCCTGCCAGCAGACACATTTAAAGTAATATAATCTGATTGATTAGAGTTACGAGGCACTTAAATGAGCCGTTACATTTTACCAACACGCATAACGTTAACTTGTGTGTGATACTTTGTCGGGCTTGTAGCCTCGCAGGGGGGCGCTGTCAGTTTTTGCCATGATTATATGATTGATTTCATTTTATTTTCTATCGCACAATATCACTACTTCGCCTCAGAGGTCTTTACAGTGTGTACACATGTGACGTCGTATGTCCAGAAACCATCACATCATCACAGGAAAAACTCCTCAAACAATGAGAAAGTATTTGATGGGGAGAATAAAGGGAAGAACCCTTTAGAGACACAGGACGATCCTCCCTGGGACGGACAGACTGCGATGGACGTACAGAATGAACAACGTGAAATATGTATAATACGTTAAATTCATCTGACAGAAATGATTCAAATTAACATATTATCTCATCACATGTGTTCATGATCATCCTGCTCGTCAGCGGAGAAAAAAGACGCTCTTCCTTTAGGTTTATTTGCCGTTATACTGTTAAAAAACCCTGGTTTTGGTGATTGACTCTTCTGATGTAGGACGCGCACGCGCGATTATCCTGATGATTGACATCTAGTTCAAACTAACGAGACGGTTTGAGGGCCTTCGAGGAACCGAGATAGCCTGATGTCAATCATCTCGGTAATTTGAGCTGGATAATCGGACATTTGATCGACTTGAACCACGTACGAGGAACAGGGCCCATGAGGGACAAGATACCACCAGGTTGTGGCGTACAGAATTAAACCCAGGTACACAGGAATACAAAAAGAGGCCAAGATATACGCAGATGGGAATTGTTCTAACATAAAACCAATAATAAAACAGCAAAAATGTGTTTCTAAACATTTGTGCATAGATACACTTAAATACACACCTACACTGTACCGTAAAAACACGGTGTGTTCATTCAAGAAGCCTGTTCAGAACAAATGCTTACTGAGTTACTGAGCCAGACTGGGAAATAAAGGCTCCGATTTTTTAAAATGTTTTTCGTGTTGGCAAAAAGCAATCTTGGTGGTGCTGGTGAAACAGAGTTCCCCGCCCTTGTGTAACGGGATGTATGATTCCACAGCTAAGCCAACAATAATGCAGCGCTCTCAAGTCACTAATGTCAGGCTTTAGTCACGCACTCCCGCCACACATCCAATTTCTCACGCCAAAAAAAAATGGCGGTCCGAGCCGCGTAGGTTCCTCTTCAACCCCCCCCCGTCTGCCCTAGCGTTGCGTCCCCCCCCCGCCCGTTGACCGTAGCGTCCGTCAGGTACCGTCAGCTCAATTACCTCTCTTTTTTGAACATGTTTGCCTCACTGGCTAAATGACATGTCATGTAAGTTATTTGACCTTAATTTGAAGATTTCTTTACCGTTTTTAAAACTTTTTACAGTGTATCGTACGTGCAGTGTGTGTATTGGTGTGTGCACAGTGTGTACATCATATTTTGTTGTACCTGACGATCCAGCGACAGAAACTTTTGTTGTGCATTACGGAGACGTTTGATGAACAAAACGAACCATTCAGATCGCTGAGAATAAACTGCCCATCACACACTGTTGCTAGAGAGACAGACAGCGAGACAGGGAAACAGATAAAAAGGGAGACATAGAGACAGTAAGAGAAAGACGGAGAGACACACACAGAGACACAGGGAGACAGAGAAACAGAAATAGGGAGACAGAGAGACAGAGCAATAGTATGTAGTATGTGATACTACTGTGAAACTACTACAACAAAAAATATATGATACATTAAATAGACATTAAATATGTACTACATGGTTTTACTCAGTGTCAGTGAAAATGAATATAAACATGAATATGAATCAATCTGTTATAAAGAACTTCTCCGTCAGTACAGTATCTGATGCAGTTCAGGATTATATATAATCTATATAATAATTTAACATGAATGAGATGGGACATTATCATTTGTGATATCATCACCAGTGACTTCTTCTCTTACATTAGAGATGATGTCATCGTCATCATCATCATCATCAGCAGCAACACTGACGTTATCATCATCTTCATCACTGACATCATCATTGACATCTTCATCACCACTGACATATCACTTACCACATCGAGTTGCGTCCTCATCAGAAGCATCAGGACAGTCTTGGACTCCGTCACAGAGCCGATTGATCAGGACACACATTGATTGATTGGCACATGTTGTGTGATCAGGAGGACACAGTTCTGTTAGATGAGATTAATATGTAAATACAATATTTATATATAGTATATATAATATTAGGGTTAGGGTTTTAAGAGTTTAAATAGTTTAACTAAAGTTCAAATAAAGTTTAAATAGAGTTCAAATAATTGAAATAGTTTAAAGAGAGTTTAGAGTTTAAGTTCATATAAAAATAGTTTAGATTTCGAATTTGAATACAGTTTAAATAGAGTTTAAAGATGAAAGAACACAAGAGAGTTTTATTACCTGTTGAGGCGCTTGTTGTAGCTGCTATTGAAAGTATTACAAATAATTTATAGACAATTTGCACAGGTTAAAAAGAGAGTTAAAAGCAAAGAGAATTTAAAGTATAAGGCCATAGCAACTTTAAATAGAGATCATATGGTGGTTCTCACCTGTCGAAGGCAAACCACTTGTTCTTGCAGCTGTTGTTAAAAGTTTTTATTAAAATGTTGTAAATAAAGAAGAGGTCAATTATTACTTTCTTAGAGGTCCAAGGAAGTTCAAATAGTGATCAAAGAACGTTCTGGTAAAGTTTCAGGGAGACTTTGAAGAGTTTAAATAGCCTTCTCACCTGTTGGAGGGAAGATGCTTGTTGTTGCAGCTGTTGTCTCGGTTTGTTTCTCTACATGAACAAATGGAAATCTGACTTTTAGGGAAATCAAGAGATCAGAGAAACCAAGGATTTAATTAATCATTAATGCACATCACTAGTTCAGCTTCTTCCCCTGAGTTGTTTGTGCTTTCTCCCCTAGCAGGTCTCCGTAGATCGTGATTCCGACTCCTGCCTGGCCTCGCGGACATCTACCGCTTCTAACACCATTGATATTCCCATTTCTATCGCTGTAAACATTAATGCGCATCACTAACTTTGTGTCATGATCCAGCGCTCCCCTTCCCCAGAGAGGCCTTCCATATCTGGTCCCCAAACTCCCCCCTGTTTACTGTCTAGTTGGTCTGTCCCATTTTGTTTTGGTTTGTTCCATTGTGTGTCTGTCTGTTGTGCACGCCCACTCATCCCTACACACCTGTGTCTGGTTCCCCATCAAGATGGTCTGTATATATACCCCTTATCCCTCTGTGTTCCTTGTGAAGTCTCGTGTAGTTATCATCACATTCTGAGCGTTATTTAGATATCCTGTTTTGTACTCTTGTTGAAGACTCCTTTTTGTTCCAGACCTCGTTGCCTCCTGCCTGATCCCTGTCTGTACCTTTGCTTATCTCCGTGCTCCTGGATTTCGACCTCCTGCCTGTCTTCTGGATACGACTAAGCCTAATCCCTGTTTACCTGTTATTCATTAAATCTGCGCTCTGCGCTTGGGTCGACTCCTGTCTCCTGTGATGCGTTACAGAAGACTTCGCCTCAGCCAGACCCAGCGGAGTGTGTCACAGGCCTCCCGCTGCCCTTGAGGATGTCGGAGCCAGATCAGCATACAGTAAGAGGCCTCAGTACTCCGGGGAAGGGGAGCGCTGGGTTGCGACACTTTGTTTCTTCCATTCTATTTATGCTTTTTGGCCTCACAGGTTTCCATGGGTCTATCTGGACCCTGTTCCTGCATCTTGCCATGGCATTACTATTACTGTCATCATAAACCAACCAGTCTTTGTACTTTCTCTCCCCACAGGCTTCTGTGGATGGTAGTTCTATCTGATGCTGGTTGTCCTTTCATTTTTTGGGGAGTTTCTCTGTGCCGATGAGGGTTTCGGGACAGCGGATGTCTCATGTTTACACACCGTAAAGCCCTCTGAGGCTAATTTGCAATTTTGGGTTGTATAAAATTAATTGAACTAATCTGTTTTTCTCAGTTGCTTTGGTACTTTTTTTTTTTTCATCCTCTATTTGCAAAACAGTCCATGCATTTCTCAAATTTGTACAAATAGCTAAATCTCCTGCAGGAGCATCTTCTTAGTTAATCTCTCCACAGTAAATATCCGTGTGACTGAACATGTCAGTGCATCAGAATGTCCTCGTGTCGTTATGTAGGGACCAGACAACGTGCTGAGTCCTGTCAGTAGAACAGTGTACCCTGGAGCTTCTGTTCTGATCTAAACTAGATAATTATTGTAAAAATGTAAGTTAGTTACACCTTATTGTTTGTGGGAGATTGATAACAAGAGACTGACAAGATTCAATTTACGTTTTTACTGTTTGTACTGTCATTTGTTGACAGAATCTTCTCTTGCGATGCAGCGTGGAAAGACTGTTTTAGAGTCTTCTACAGCCTCTGCTGTGATGTCATCACACGCTGCATCCTTCCATCTACATGCTGAGACCAATTCCACCATGGGGTTTAGGAATGGGGAGTGAGAGGAACTCTATCAGCATCCTGTTGTGGGGCGCAAACCATCGCCTAATGATTCTGGAGCGATGAAACTGATCTTTTGCCAAACTATCTGGTACTTTGGCAAGTCATGTCCAATCTGAGCGTCTCTTGTTCAGGCATGAGACCCCTGTAGAGTGTAAAGGGGGGGGACAAGACGCTCCGTATTGTTTGGCCCGTTATCTGTACACAAGTGTGGCTCTCATACTTCCTCTGCCTCTTCTACCTCTTCCTCTGTTTTGCCTCAACTCTCCTCTCTGGATGTTGAACCAGTCCAATTCCTGGTCCTTCCATTGTCAGACATTGTAAAATGATGTTGTGATCTGCCTATATATACTTGCCAGTTGATAGTTCATGAGATGCTACTTCGTCACAGAAAGTCAAGATTCATCTGTGAGCAGTTTCCCAATTTTGCACTACATTATTTGACACAATTTTAGGACACATTTAGACTAAAAGTCTAATGGAGATGTAAAGAAATATGTTTTGACATATGACAACTTGTCCAACCATTTTGCGTGTAAAGACTTATGCGATGAACAATTGCCTAAATGTTGTGGGCGGTGAGACTTCAATAGACCATTATAATACATTTAGATCAACACGACATGAGCAGTTGATCATGTAGAAACAGATAATTATACATATTCATTTGCATGGACGTACCAAAGCATTTGCAACTTGTTCAAAGAAATGAGAAACTGCTTTTTTTTAATGTGCACACGGGACTCAATGATGTGAATATTGAACGGTCTGAGAATTTCAAATCTAAGCTGAGAAATGTACCAAAGCGACTGAGATGAACTGTAATACCTCAATGACCTCACAGTGACCCCACATTTTGCCCGTCACCTGCAACTGACCTGTGATCCAGATGCTGTTCCTGTCGATCACCAATTCTCCGGTTCCGCTTTCCAGAAGCCCCGCCCACAGCTGCTGCTCTGTGTCCTTCACATCGATCAGCTGGTGGAATGAAAGGTCAAAGTTCACCACCACACTTCCAAGACTGTGAAAAAACACATAAAGGAAGGAATCGGTTGGTTTATATTCCCTTGGCTATGACCCAAATATATTCACATGTTTATGATCTATATATGTCATAGCTATGATCAATATATATATCAAGGGCCTACCCACGCATTCTTTGGGGGGTCCTGTCCCCCCCCCCCAATATACAGCAGCAAATGTGTCAAATATATGTTCTCTTTTTATGAACCCTGTCAATGGATCGGTCTGTTGTCTTATTTTCGTCGCCCATAGCGTCCAGCGAACCGCCCTAATGTCTAAACCATGGTTACGCCCTTGATCAATATAGATTTCCATGGCTATGATTGATATATATTCCCATGTATATGATCAATATAAAGAGAAGAGGAGCAGCCTCGTTGGGATGAAACTGATCAGGCATTTGATTATTGATCAGATATCTACCTGAAGTACAAAACCTCACACGACTTGAACACCTGTGCGAGATCACTGTGAGTGAACGCCTTCGATACCTGTTGACCAATCAGATGACAGGCTGGGATCAGGTGACTTCACAAAGAACTTATGATCATAAGAGATTATGATCATATCGTATGTAACTGTAACAAGGATTGGTGTATTTATACGTAGTGTGTGCTTTATAGTGTTTTTTTCATATTGTCCATAGCTATTGTGTACTTTGAAACAGCTATGCTAAGGATGGATTTTGTGTAGTTAATAACATGTCATTATTACACATGCATACAGTGATCAACACTAACCGTTTTTTCTTTGCTGTCTTTGACAATAACAGTTACCTGCTGTTGGACATCGTAAGCCAAAGATTTAAACCTCAGACTGCTGGAGTTCTTCAGCTCTTCAGAGAAAACAGCTCCCTCTGTGATCGACATTCGACCGGTCAGCACCGTCGTCTTCGCAGGACCTCAACACACATACAACAATACCATGATTAATAATCTCTCCTGACACCCAGATCCGTATATTCAGTACTATGTTTACCTTCCAGCTTCAGGCTTAACCACGAAACTACAATGAGTCCGACGCAGCAGGTGAGAAGTAGCAAACACACGACGGTGAGGCTGAACTCCAGAAAGGACGGAGCTCGCTTCATAGTGACGACTGTAACATCAATTCATCGATAAATCAATCAACTTTCAGCTTCTGGTTAACAAACAGACTCGCCTGTATTTGCTGCTGCTCTTCTCTGAGCTTCTTACCTGTTAACAAACTGACAGTTAGTTCTGCAACTCTTATCTTAGGAAAACTGCTGACACACTAATAAGATAACAAAACACAAACTAACCACAAAAACCTCTGAGATGAATATATAGTTTCATTTTGAACAGACATTCAATAATCCTAAGATTTAAGTATTGATTTGATATTAACATTATGATATATACTGATCTAAATACAATATTTGTTATAATAAAAAGGGACATTGAAGAGGCCGTGAAACAACATTTGGTCATCGGTCAGCAGTTATAAAATTAAACATATGAATGTCAATCACATCAATGTCATGTCAAAGAAATGTTTTGATCAAATATTGATTATGATTAATGAGCTCACCTTCATGAACTACTTACTGCTGTGCTTCTTGTTTATCAGAGTGTGAAGTCCAGCAGCAATAAACATGTCAGGAGACCTACTTGTATGTAGCTCCGCCCCCTGCACACACCTGTCAGAAGATCTACTTTCATGTGGCTCCGCCCCTCTGCACTCGCCTGTGTAATATTATCTTTGGTGATTTGTACAACGCAATGAACACATTAATAGTAATAATATAATAATTGTTACTTCAAAATCTGGTTGAAAACATTGTTTAAATTTATATTAACTAAATATATTAATCAATTTATAAATATAACCATTTGTGTTCACCCCTTGTTTGAAATAAACAATCCATTCATGTATTTACTTTTATTTAAAGTTTGAGATTGTTTTGTTTGTTTAACACGAGGGCTACGTTCCTCGTATGTGGCTAACTGAGTTAGCCGGATAATCTTCAGGATGAGATGACGTACATCAGGCTTTTCGGTTCCCCGAAGCAGGTTTGTCTAAATCACCATAGCAACACACTGAAAAACTTGAACCGCAGGTTCACCTGAGCTGCTGGATTAGTTCATCACTGCCCCGGAAAAAAAGGGCAGCTCTCTTCCTCATTGATGAAGGAGCGACATCAGTCAGATTAACGTTTTATAGGGAGAAACTTCTCCGAGATCACAAAGACCCATTTAGCCGCCATGACGTCCTGTACGAGCGCTACATGCTGAGGACAAGAATCATTTATTTACAAGAAGAATTTCCCTGTTACGTTACGTGATGAACACCACACGCTGCAGCCGAGAATCCACTGTCCCACAGACTGTCTCACATACTGTCCCACGGACTGTCTCACATACTGTCCCACGGACTGTCTCTGTGCATCCTGTAAGCCTCCTGCCAGCAGACACATTTAATTAATCAGATTATATTACTTTAGAGTGACGAGGCACTTAAATGAGCCGTTACATTTTACCAACACGCATAACGTTAACTTGTGTGTGATACTTTGTCGGGCTTGTAGCCTCGCAGGGGGGCGCTGTCAGTTTTTGCCATGATTATATGATTGATTTCATTTTATTTTCTATCGCACAATATCACTACTTCGCCTCAGAGGTCTTTACAGTGTGTACACATGTGACGTCGTATGTCCAGAAACCATCACATCATCACAGGAAAAACTCCCCAAACAATGAGAAAGTATTTGATGGGAAGAATAAAAGGAAGAACCCTTTAGAGACACAGGACGATCCTCCCTGGGACGGACAGACTGATGGACGTACAGAATGAACAACGTGAAATATGTATAATACGTTAAATTCATCTGACAGAAATTATTCAAATTAACATATTATCTCATCACATGTGTTCATGATCATCCTGCTCGTCAGCGGAGAAAAAAGACGCTCTTCCTTTAGGTTTATTTGCCGTTATACTGGTTTCGGTGATCGACTCTTCCGCCTTCTGACGTAAAACACGCGATTATCCTGATGATTGACATCTAGTTCAAACTAACGAGACGCTTTGAGTGCCGATCCGCCTTCGGGGAACCGAGATAGCCTGATGTCAATCATCTTGGTAATTTGAGCTGGATGATCGGATATTTGATCGACTTGGTTGGACTACGTGCGAGGAACAGGGCCCAGGACAAACCTGCAGCTCTGATGACATCACACCACCTATTTAAACGACTACAGATTGGATTAAGTTTTTTAAGGCATAGAAACATGGACAAAAAATAAAGTGATAAATGGTTTCATCTCTTTAATTCTCATTTTTATATATTTGGTTGGTTTATTGATAGAGAACAAACATTTACAGTCAGGACGTTTGTTAATAAAGTTTCATTTTGAATGTCTTTGAGACATTTAGTTTTTATTGGACGAGACGATCATGACAGCTGGTAGATGTTCTTCATCATTGGCTCTATCTTTTCATTATCAGCTTTGTTTTCGTCATGGTGATCTGAGGATCAAAAAGGCGCAGTCAGAGCAGATTAATACAGGTGAACCGTTGCTTAGCACCAGCAGATGGTTAAATCACTTCTTCGGCTGCACTCTTCTCCTCTCGTCAGTGTGTTTCCTCCTCTGACCTCCTTCTCCTCCTCCTCCTCCACCTCCTCCTCCTCTTCTTCTTCTCTGCACTCCTTTATGTTTCTGTAGGTTGACTGTGGACAAGAAAGACAAGATGTTCACGCACCGCCAGACAAAGCTGGGGCCCAGTTTGCAGGTGAGTGCAGGGGTCTCACCTGCTTCCTGTGATGCAGCAATGCGTCAACGGTGCAGGGGAGAAGCCTGTCAATGAGCTGACCAATCGTCTTAAAGGTTGGTCTGTCTGTGGGCTCTAAGCTCCAGCAGAGCGTCATCAGTTGATACCTGAGAAGACAAAGCATTGATTATTGTCAATAGATTCAAAATAACTTAAATATCGGCTTGCTCACATCTCTGTTGGAGCAAAGTGGGGCTTGTCCATGTGGCGGCCATCTTGGATCATCTTGTAGAAGTTGGTATCCACGGCGATGTTTGGGTACGGACTCTTACCTGTACAGGTAGAGAGACACAATCACAGGTGAGCATTGCAGTCTGCCAATCAGAGAGCTTTACACTTTAGAATTAAATATTACAATAACACAGGAAAAATGTACATTCTACTAAAAAACACTGTTTCTAAGAGCCAATCAGCTGTCTGATCTGTGAGCAGCCAGCAGTTTGCCATTATGCATTGGGTCATGCAGGTGGAGAAACAAGCTCTAAGAATTGTGACTTCCTCACTCTGGTGAAGTAATCATTGACCAGGTGTTTCTGATGTCAGAGGAAGTCAGGATCAAGCCAGACACAAATATACCCAGCATGCATTGTGATGGACTCTGATGAGGACCAGCTAATTTGGGATGAGCCTTGTGTGTGTTCGTTATAACCTGCACTTTAACTTAAATAGTTTTCTGTTTTTAGTGTGTCATTGTAATTTTGTATAGAACTATTTCATAACTTTGTTAACGGTACACATGAGAATAAATATCCTGAATCTTAAGAATGGACACCATTAAGTATAAACTAGTAAACACTCCAAAATTAGTATGTACCTTATAATGCCATACATAGTATGTACTTTATAGTGTACATGCATGTACTGTATATTCCATGTGTTCTACAAAGGATTTCTTAGTAACCATATTTTGGATGTACTCTATTGTGACTGTACTTAGTATGTACTTTATAGTGCACATGCTTAAAATGTACTTGATACGGTCCATACATGGTATGTAGCCTATATGTATTTCATAGTGTCCATACTCGCTATATACCGTATAGTGCCAATACTTAGTTTGTACTTTCCATTACATACTTCATATGTACTTTAAAGTATCCATCCTTGTGTACGAATGGTAAATGTACGTAGTTTTTAAATGGGCCACCTGCACATCAGAAATAGTCACATTCAGGAGCTGCTGGATGAGAAGTATATTTCAATGGATGAAGGGGTCTCCAAAGAAACAGCTGCCGAGGCTCAGAGGTACCATACGACCACAAGTATCTAAAGTCCCAGTGGTTACCCAGGGAGAAGGTCTCCCACAGTAAGACTCCGTAGGACCAGACGTCACTCTGGACGGTGTAGACGCACTGAAAGATGCTTTCAGGAGCCATCCACTTCACCGGGAGACGGGCCTTTTCGAAACAAATACAGCAACATTTCAAAATAAAAGTCAGAATAAGAGTTCATGCTCCGGCCAGAAACATGATTAAAACATAAAAAAATGTTTTGATGGTTAGTTTTATGTATTTTTCCTTTTCCTTAGAAGGAATGTCTTAACAGGTGAAGCAGAGTTCGAACACTGACGTTTCCCTGGACGATGTAACTGTTGTCGTTACGGATATCTCTCGCCAAACCGAAGTCACAGATCTTTGCCACCCGACGGTCTGTCAGCAAGACGTTTCTAGCCGCTACGTCTCTGTGGATACACTGAGAGACGGACAGGCAGGCAGTCAGACAGACAGATTTTAGTCTAGAAAGGCCAATGTGTCTTTTGAGTTCTCACATTCCTGGTGGACAGGAAGTCCAGGCCCTGAGCCACCTGCTGGGAAAACCTCATGAGGTCTTCGACAGACAGACCTGAGCGAGAGACAGTCCGACAGACAGGCAAACAGTCAGTCAGACAGACAGACAAGTTGGCCAACAGAGGCAAAAACTACAGGTACATTAATTATTATTATTATTATTACCTGGACTCTTGACCTGCTGCATCTCCTGATAATCTGAACAGCACGAGATCCCGCTGTCACTACACAAAGACAAGCACACACACACAGTGACATCATCACAGGTGATAAGGTATGAAAACACATAACCGTCGAAAATGTAAAGGCTTTCTTTTCACTATACATTGATAGAGAAAGTAAAATCTTTTGATCACAAGCACAATAATAATATCAACAAATCTATTGATAGACATATTGATTCTGACCTCCTCAGGCGAGGGTTCTGGGTGCCCATGTTTTTATAGAGGACCTCCTCCTCCACTTCATCCACACTCACAACGGACGCCATGAAGTCCTGAGCATGAGCCCGCAGAAAGTTGAGCAGGTCCCCATGGCTGCAGTACTCTGTGATCATCAACATGGGACCTGGGGAGGGGAGGGGCAGAGGTCAAAAGTGAGGTGTTCACCTGATGGGCTCATCAGTTTTCTCTTCTAACGTTTAGATCAGCGGACCTCCTCGAGTGCAGGCTCCCAGCAGGTTGACAATGTTGTCGTGGTAACCAAGATGGCCGAGGATCTTCAGTTCCGACATCAGAGCTTCTCGTTCCTCCGAGTGAGCGCTTGCTGTGTATGTGCGAATGCAATGTTAATCGCCACAACCATCTGTCATCAATGATTAAGAGGAAGATTTTGAGGACTGACGTTTGAGCATCTTCACGGCAACCCGTGTGGCATCGCCGGTTCCAAGACCGTAGGCGGTCGCCTCAACAACCTTTCCAAACGCCCCCGAACCCACGACAGCACCTGACAGAGAGAGAGGACGGCAAAGTTAATCTTCTCGGTTAAGGTTGGATCGAAAGACTAATGATTCTTGCATGATCAAACTCAAACTTAATGATCCATCTTCCACCTAATTAATAATGGATTCTGATCACAATCGAGTACAATATATTCAACATGTTAAACGTTGGTACCGAGGCGGAGTTTGTCTCGAGGAAACTCCCACTTCTGTTCGTAGGGTAGCTGGCTGGGGTCGATGAAGGTGTAGCTGTTCCCGTCCGTGCTCTCAATAATCTTCCAGCGAATCTCATATTTGGGTTTCTGAGAAAGTGGAAACATTTGAACCCTTTGTGAAAAAAGTGATGAGTTTTGGTTCAGATAAGAGACGTTTACAAAATTGTGAAACTTCATATTCTTTATAACTTCACATAGATTTTTTTGTGTTTTTGTTGTAAAGTCATGAAATAAAGTCACTATTTCAGATGCAAATTGGCTTTCACATTGATTTTAACCCTCGATCCTTTTAGTGCACATGTTTTCACATATATTTTTATTTAGTGTCATTTCAATTCAATTTGTTCAATTCATTATGGCATTATAATGTGATGAAAACCAAAAAGCAACTTGGGTTGGGGTCATTAACTGTGTTGATCAGTTATGAAACATAATCTGATCAGATATGCATCAACAAACCAAAACAAGTGATTCCCGATCAGGACTCCCGATTATTAATCTCAAGAGTAATGAGGATCAATATCTCTGCTCTATGTTAATCCATGATTGGATTTGAACACAGGACATCCACCAATAATCCCAGATATACCCACTACACTACGGACCTTGCTGTACTTGGACATATGCAGATAGAGTTCAGGACAGGCTTCCAGGAACTAACATGTGAAGTACACACTATTCTGAGTAGAAGCAGACTCATGGTCATATACATGCCAACATAAATGAAAACAAGGAGTAGTAGGTGTGGGATTCAAAACACTCTACCACTAGGCTACTGGCCTTACTGTAGTGAACCACCAAAGTCACTACAATAGACGGATCATGTCAGTCAAGGCAGAGAATCCCTCCTGCTCCAGTATTAACTTCACACCTTTCTGAGCTGTGGTCAAGTGACTGCACCGACCTCTGCTTTTATCAAGTGCATAACTTCTCTCCAGTGAGGGTGTGGATAGAGGTCGAGGTCGAGTACGGAGTTAGATCAGTCTCAATAATTGCAAATGCACACAGAACGACTCAAAAATGCAAAAAGAAGATTCACAAATGCACACAGAACAATTCAAAAATATATTAGATTTACAAATTCACGCAGGAGGATTTACAAATACATTCCATTGCACACATAAAAAAATTACGATTTATATTTGTTTGTGGATGTGTTTGCATTTGTTCGCCGATCGCACTGCATTTGTTTGCGCATCATATTTGTGTGTGGGTTGTTTGAGACTCGCTTAATGTGACTAGATCCACAAATACGTTTTTTTCTGTAACGAATCAGATGTCGCCCTCATTTCAACCAATCACATGAGCGCAGCTCCCCCCCTCCCCTTCCCACGAGGCTGCCAGCGTTGCAGCTACGCGATTTGAGAAGATGAAGCGATGGGTCCGAAGTCAGCAAACAATTTAGCACTTTTGAGCCAAAACCACATCAGCTCTTTAATGTCATCACCTAGGACAATGACAACGTTTTTTAAAAACTCCCAACATTCATGGTGAACTATTATCAAAGTCTTAAGGCTTATCTGCACAATTTTGAGGTCGATCAGATTAAAGTCTAAAGCCTTCGTAATTCCCTTTTCCAAGAGGTGGCTATGTTTGAAAATCACTAGGCCTACACTAGCATCATGAATAAGACATTTTGGTCAGAAGTTTGAAAGTACCTTGAAGTTATAACATTTTACATTTTCCAGAAAATTGACTGATATCAATCAAAACAGATGCCAGGACACGTCCAGATAATTTTGACCACACAGGTGAAATAGATCGAGTTTAAACTCTCGGAGGAGTTTGTTCATTTATATACCCAAAAGACGATGAAAACTGAAAAAATAATTCAGCAAATATTCAGCAATTGACTGCAGCGCCCCCTAATGTTCACATAATCTGTTTAAATAATATGTTGGAGTAGGGGACCACTGACTGGGTCAATTTTAAACACATTTGGACACTTTCAAATACACTTGTATATATATTGTTATCTGTTTCCCTGTGCACTTTTTATTTTGGGAATTTTTATTTGTATTTTATATTCTTTTATATTGTATTGTTAATTTACTACAAATAATTAATTTTTTGTCCCTTGGATGCACCACCCACATGACAATACAACATACTTGGCAGATAAATGTTTCTGATTGTTTGTCTTTATGTTAGCCCTTCGATTGCCTGGCCTAACCATTCCGGGGTGTACCCCGTCTCTCCCGATGTTGGCTGTGATTAACAAACACACCTGTCTCCACTTGTAGAACACGACCAATAAGAGCAGGAGGAGGAGTAAAGCGGCACTCAGAGCTCCAATCAGAGCTGGAGAGGAGAACCGTTGCTCTTTTCCTGCCGAGCCTGAAACCCAGAAACACATTATTTATCATAATGTGGATCCTCTTCTGATGAGTTTCCCCTGAGCTCTTGAGACCCTCCCACGTGGTTGAAGGCGACACACTCCCCGGTGAAATCACCAAGGGACAGAGGGAGGATCAGGGCTGACCTCGCTTCCTCTTCCTGTGAGGTCACACCTGATCCTCTTTAGTTGTCGGACTAATAATATAATAAGAGGAAAAAGAGGAACAGAAAGGGAAAGAGAAGGGCAGAAGTAGAGGTGCAGGAAGAAAGCAGGAGCAGGAAGAAGAGGAGGAAATGCTTCCTACTGTAGATCCGCAGGTCGATGTTCTGCGATCCATCAAAGAAGGAGTTGTCAAAGTGGAACGAGTATTGACCTTGATCCTCCTGACGAACTCTCCTCAGCAACAAGCTCGCCTCCGACCTGTAGCAAATGCACCATCACACCTGCTGCACCTCCTCACTAGTGGGGCGGGCCTGTGTCTGTTAGCATGCAAACCTGTAGCCGTTGGCGGTGTAGTTCTCCTGGTACACCATGTTGTTGTTGTCCTTGTTGACGCCTGTTGTTGTTGTCCAGTGCTGGCGTCTGATTGGAGGATACGCTTCGATCACGAATGTCAACGTTACATCTCGACCTTCGTACACCTCCAGCTTGCTAGTGCCACTAACATTACGGCTGCTATCCCCCTTCACACCCAGCTGATGGAGACTAACGTTAGCTTTTAGCTGTGAATGTAGCATGCTGCTAACATTAGCACCTGGGGCCTCATTGAGCTCTCTGGTGTAAGTGTCAGATTCACTTAGCTGCAGGTAGATCCTCAAGTAGGGATCGTCTGGGGGAGAAGGAGCAGGAGGAGGAGGAAGAAGAGGAGAGGGTTAATATCATTCTCTTTTCACTCTGTACTTTTTTAAGCTGAAGCTCATTTGGTAGATTTTTTATCGCAGCTTCTGGATCAATTTATTACTGTTACGGTGTGGGTTTATTTCCTGTCTTATTTTGTAGTTTTCTGCTTCTGGTCTCCCTGGGTAACTTCACTTCCTGTCTTATCCTGTCATCCCCTGTGATTGTCTGATTGTTTCCACCTGTGTCCAATCACCTGCACCTCCCTAGTGTATTTAAGCCGTGTGTGTCTCTTGTCACTTGTCGCGTCATTGTTGATTGTTCTGGATGTTCCTGCCAGCATTTTTGCCCCTTGGCCCTTTTTGGAGTTTTTGACTATTAAAGTCTGTTTTGGTTTGAAGTCTGCGTTTGAGTCCTGCCTTCCCCGCACCCTGACAATTACATTCTGTAGTATTAATCTGCTCCAACAGATTATTTTCATCTTCCTTACGTATCTTTTGTTTTTTTTTCTTATGCCCACATGATATTTAGCTGTTTCTCAATTTTTCTCTGAAACAGGTTTATCGGTCCAAAATTCAAATAAATCCAGAACTAAATCTGAATTTTTCAGTTTGAACTGTGAACAAGCTTAATAAATACTCTTTATTCAGTTACAACAACAATAACTTGCTCAGTTATCAGTGTTGAATTATTATTATTACGAATCACTACTTATTTAAAATACATTTTATGCTAGTATATAGTTAAATAAGCTCTTTGGATGTGGGTGAAAAGACATTCTCATCCTGTTGTGTTATTACCCAGAACTCTAAGCTGAGTGGTTGCCATGGCGACCCCGGCCTCGTTGACAGCAGTGCAGGTGTAGGTCCCGCTGTGCGTCCGGCTGACAGCAGGCACAGTCACGGTGCTGTTGATCTGCATGCGGCCGTTGCCATAGCGACGGCTGAGGCTGGCATTCAGGATCTGGAAGGAAACGAAGAACCAATGAACATCAAGACAGCGCGTCTAGAGACAAGCAGGTGACCCCTGACCTTTGTGTTTGGGTCTGTCCAAGTGAGGTTGTAGAAGTTGGACGGGTTGCTGGTCACACAGGTGACTTCAAATCTCTCTCCTTCCAGACGGACGGATTGATGCTGACTGACAGACAGCGAAGGAGGGTTACGGGGCTCTGCAGACAGACAGAAAGGACAGACACGAGGTAGACAGATTAGTCATTGGGGACACATGTATGAATGGAGATCAGCAGACAAGCAGGTCATCAGGGACACAAGTATGAATGAATATCAGAGGGCAGCAGACAGACAGATCATCGGGGACCGGTATGAATGGAGTTCAGCAGGCTGACAGACAGGTCTTACTTGGGATCACAAACAGATCGACAGGTTTGGACCTGAACTGCCTTTGGTCTCTCCAGCCCGAACAAACATAGCTTCCACTGAATGACCTGTGGAGGTCTCGGATCAGGGCTCCTCTCCTAAGGTCAAAGGTCACGTTCATTCCCAGAGGCAGGCTCCGCCCCCGTCCCTCTTCACTGCCTGCTGATTGCAGGGTCAGGTTCGTGATGGACGGGTCGGTGAGCAGACACCTGAAGAGGAAGTCCTGGCTCTCCTCCACAGAAGGAGTAGAGAAGTAAGGTGTGACAAACACGCTGGAAGGGTTGGCTGAGTCTGAGAGAGAGAGAAGCATTGTGGGATACCAAGGTCAGATGATGACTAATGCTGAAAAAAACACTGATAGTAGAGCGAGTCCATGACAATTGAATCGGTAAGACTTGAGTCTAGTCTTCCTACTTCTTGGCTGGATTTGAATTGTAAAAAGACAATGATATCCTTATGTCTATTCCTAACCGGTAACCCTCGACCACTGTGGAAAACATCATTGGGTCAAGGAAAGATGGTTAGGAGAATTCATGAGGAGTTTGGAAAAGACAACCGCGATGATTAGGGAATCGGACTCCACTCCCACCAAGCCTCGTAGTTGTGGTGGACGTTGTGAGACGCATGTTACTGAAGTCAGTCTGCATCGGCTACAAAGAAGCATTTTAGATGCCTTCATTTGTTGTTACAGTGCTGAGCCATGCAGATGACACAAATAACTAGTTTCACAGCAAAACCTTATCAACAAGGTTGCAATATAAATTAGTTATGCTAACGGTTACTCACATGATCTGCGTTTCTACGTCATGATCGTTAGTTCTCGTGAACGGCCAAATGATACGTCACTATTTAAATATTGCCATCACAAGGAATTGTTGACATTCTAATTGAGGGTTCCTATCCTAAAGGAGCTAAGTAAGGTAGCATTGAAGCTCCTTTCCTTAGCATTTAGAGAATTCAAACAGTTCTTAACATGGCAGCCACTTCCACTACTTCCGGGTCATTCCAGTGTGGATCCAGGGCTATGACTCTGGCAGGGGAGTGGGCACAGTTACTCTTACCTGTGACATACAGGTGTATCCAAGTGTCTAGGTGTTCCAGGCTCTGGTTGATGTATCCACAGTAGTAGGTCCCGGTGTGTCTGGGGTCTGACCCGCTGACCACCACCGGGTCCTGCGGTCTATCCCGGTAGAACAAACGGAACGAAGTGCTGGTCAAACGCATGAAACGCTTCCCATGACAGCTGAGATTGAAGGCGGAGCCGGCTGTCAGATGCACCTCCGTTTGGTTTGCCAGGAAGTCAGAATTCAGGCGGATGGATGGAGGATCCGGATCGTCTGAAACAAACAGACAGTAAATCAGTCTCTCTCTGCAGCACTGATCACAAAACCTGTGATGGTGGGTGTGGTTACAATTACCAGCTGCACACCTGAGCACCACCCATGAACAGATGGGAGGATGTTTACCTTCATACCTAAGAGTTAGCCTTTTGAGCTTTTCAAATCAACATCTTATCAAATTACCTTGTGTCACCTGCATAGCATCATCTCTTCTTTGTCCTCCTAGCACACTCAAACAGCAAACTGAGTAACACCAAACAGTACCACAAGAGGCTCGAAGGTCTCAGAGAACCAGTACACAACTTTATGTACTGCAGTACACAGAAACGCAACCACCAGAAAGATAATCAAACAAGATGTAATTTATTAATAGAAACATCAGAACATACAACACATTATAACAAAAGAAGCTGATTGCTTCAGGTGAAAAGAAAGCAGCAGTTCACTTTTAAGGTTATTTAATGAAACATAGAAATCAATTATTTGATTCTAAAATGTTGTAATTTTTTTTAATAAATGTTTGGTTAAAGTTTATATCTATCATCACACTGTTAATCATTAGTAATGATTAGAGTGCATAGGATCTGTGAAGAATTAGACAATCCCATTGCCTGCCAGTTGAGCACCAGAAGATCCCATTGCTTGCAAGTAAATAACCAGAGGATCTCATTGGCAGGAGGCAGGTTTCCTGTTGATCTCCTGCAGCTGTGTGGAGATGCGAGACGTCTGCAGAAGTAAAGCTTGATGGTTCTCAACCAGCAGACTCTGGTGACGAGCCATGTTCTGCAGATCCAGGATCTGCTGAGAGCCCTGAGAAGAAGACGTTTATTGAGACAGCATCAAGGTAGACGCAATGTAATCTTGAAATGTGTAATCTAAACTTTACTAAACGTCATCTGAACGCTACTTAACTAAACTTTATCTAAAATCTACTTATGTAAAATTCATCTGAACTCGACTCTAAACACTACTTAATTTAACATGATCTAACCCTCTACTTAACTAAACTCTACATTCCTTAACTTCATCTTAAATCTACTTAACTAAACTCTACTATATTCTGCTAAACTAAACCTTATCTAAACTAAACCTTATCTAAACTGTACTTAACTAAACTCTGATGAACTATTTACATAGCCTCTAATAAACTAAAATGATAAACTAAACTTTATCTACAACTCAATTTAACTAGACGTGGGAAAAAATAAACTTTATCCCAACTAAACTAAACTTTATCTTAATTCTACTAAACTAAACTTTATCCAAATTCTACTAAACTAGACCTGAGATTAAGTACTCTCTATCTCAAGCAACTATAAACTAACCTTAACAAAATACAAACTAAAAAACGTCCTGTCTAAATTTAAACTAGTTAGTCAGTTTGTTAAACTAACTGAAGTAAACACACCTGAGTTCCCAGCATGTTGAGCAGCTGCACCACCTGAACCTGATGCTGGGCCATCTCCTTCTGGACCAGGACCAGCTGTGTGAGCAGGTCCAGGACCTCCTTCCTCCACAGCGTGTCCGACTGTTCCTGTAACGGCTCCGACACCCGGGGGGCGGGGCTGGCGTTAGATTGGTCAGGTGACTGGGCGGCGTCCATCATCATGGAAGCGGGCGGGATGTCATGGTGATCACCTGCAGTGAAGACGACTGAAGTTAGAACTCCAGAAATCCCGTTCCACGGATTTTTAAAGCAAAGTTGTTAAATGTGTGTTCTCTTTGATGGTGTCTCAGCCAATGGGTGAAAACACTACAACCATATATTTATTGCTTTACGCATGTTTTATATACTCACTGTGAAGAATAGTGAGCTTTGTTCACCTTAAAATAATGAGTAACCTGACTGCCTCAAAATGTTAAGTTTATAAAAGATTTGGTTCTTTAACTTAGAATGAATAGTTGAGGTGACTACGGTATTTGAATTTAACCAACACGTTTTTATTGATACCTGCAATACATTTCAAAATGTAAAAAACGTATTTGATGTAAAAATGTAAAAAATCATGGTTGAGACAACTTAAAACTACTAGTTTGCGCAACAAACTTGTATTGACTTCTTGAATTGTACATGAAACATGAAAAAAGTGTTTACATAAAGTATACATTATGTAAACATCTTAAAAGTTAACTTAACCAAGCATCTTGTTTTATTAACACATTTTTTAAAGTTTTTCTTTTTTAAGTCAACCAAGTTATAGTTTATGAACGACATAAAAACAATTAATAAACATCAAAGAACATTTAGAATATTTCTTTATTCAAATTTAAAACATACAGTGATATTTCTGTCATGAATCTACCTTTAAAATCATAAGCCAGAGGCTCAAATGATTATTGAAATATAATATATAATGCACTTCACCATGAACTGTTTAGCATTTCCTTCCATGAACTATGGACTATTATATTCCATGAACTATTAACCATTAACTTCAATTAAATATTGATCATTAACTTCAATGAACTATTGAGGAGAACTTCCATTAACTCCAGACCATCAACGCCCATAAACTATTTACCATTAACTTCCATTAAATGTTTACCATTAAGTTTCATGAACTGTTGACTATTTACATCCACAAAATATTAACCATACACTTCAAGGAACTTTTCACCTTACATGTGTAGAGCCTTTGGTTGGCTGACTCAGGATCAGTTGTTCCATCGTACTGTATTACTGTAGTCAGTAGTCAAACTCAGACTCAAACTTACTACTTTGAATAATGCCATCTATTAATCAAGATACTTGAGTTTTGATTATCTATGCACCTGAATAAAAAGACATAATGAGCGCTGTATAAAAACATTACGAGATACTTGAATTAATAACTAGTAATATCAGATTTTCAAGGAATATCAGCCATATGAATACTACATTCAATTAATTTTATTTGCAATAGCATAGCCAGAAATTTTACAGGTTCTTATAGTTTAGGTAATCTTACATTCCTCCATAACATGCATCTAGTTATAGATATACAAAAATAGATAGACATAAAACACTCAACTTAATATTGCGGGATATGATTTATAAAGACAAGAGGGGAGGAGTCTGTTCTTACCTTGACAATTGTCACATTGTGTGGTAGGAAGTGGAAGGTCTTGATGCGTGAGTTTATCTATTCATCTTTGCAGAGATTATCACTTTTCTCTATAACGATCTAAATAAAACGTTTCGTCACAATAATTGAAATGTTTCTAATATTTTATTGAGTCAAGTTTAAGTTAATATTAATAAGAAATATTCTGTATACAGTGTATTACTGTGTATTACTGTAATACACTGTGTATACAGTGTATTACTGTGTATTTTATTTTATTTAATGCTTTGTACTGTAATATGCCTAATATTACTACTACTACTTATAGAAGGTCCACTACCACCAGTACTACCATTACTACTAGACTTAATACGACCACTCACAGCGGTTGATGTGAACATGTTGCCATGGTAACCAGTTCCCTAACCACTCCCATAGTCCTCGACAAAGAAGAAGTGAGACAAGGAAGTGGGAGAAAGACACACACACGCGCGCGCACACACACACATACATGGTATGATGAGTTTGTGTCTCGTGGTCTGGTAGAAATGTGTTTCCTCACCCCCCCTAACCCTCCTTATACTCTCCTGCCTCCAAATGCAGCACTTTAAAGTGACTAAACTCTAAACTATTCAATCAGTCAAACTTGTATTTCAGACTTACGGTCCAGACTAGCAGTACTATTAAGGCTAGTACTACCAGTAGTAATAGACCTTCTATAAGCAGCCGTAGTAGTAGAGTATTAGTGTAAATGGGTCCAGTAAGTAAGAGTCATACCAGTAGAATTAGAAGTACACGGGACAGAAGTAATGTCCTAGTAGCAGTAGGCCTAAAATAAAGCATTCATATTGGTAGATGTAGTGCTAGTCATAGAAGTATGAGTAGTGGTTGAAGTAGTACTACTGGCAGAAGTATGTAAAAATGTACTAGTAGTGTGACTAAACTAGAAGCAGCGGCGGCTGGGGTAAAATGTTCTAGGTAGGGCAATTGAATCAATTTAGGAGATTTTTTAGTATTATTTGTTCCAACATGAAACAAGCAGTAAATACCACTTTGACAATCTTATTTTTGTCACCTTCACGGGCAAATTAGTATATTATAATCTATATATATAATAATATTAATCTATATATGTCAGTCGTCTTGTCTGCTTGACAGTTAAAAAAATCTGTGCTCGTTGCTTCCTCCGAAATGTCATCTGCCTGTCGATACCAGCCTTGACGAGAATGTGCAAGCTTGGGGGCATATATTAATGATGCTGATTGGCTGAAGTGTATGTCACCCACTATTAATTAATCAGCAATTGGCTGAATTGATTCTTAGACCCGCCTTCTGCGGGCAACCATGTGAAGCCAGAACACACATGAAGATGGGACGTGCGTGTGACAGGCAGGACGTGCAGGAAAAGCAGTTATTCTGCGCTGATATCATATTTTACAAATATTACGGGTACATTCAATGTTTTAAAAATTCAAATATTGACATTTTTTATAATTTAATATTCTATTTTCCTTTCTTTTTGTTTTCTTGAGCTCAAGGAGGGACGCAGAAGGTGGGGCGACGCCTCACTGTTTTCTATTGGCCAGCCGCCACTGAGTTGAAGTATGAAGGTTTAATATTTGTAATAGAAAGGGTTTGTATACTCATAATAAAAAAGTTGTATATTCATAATAAAGAGTTGTATGTATTTAAAATAGTTTTGAATTATAGTTATATAATAATACTAGTTATTTATACATTTATAATGTTACATATTCATAATACAATTATATGTATGATAAATACTTATATATTCATAAGAAATAGTTAAATCTGTATAAATGAGGAGTCCTTTTGGATACAGTTATGTATAATAGAGAGTTATATATTCATAATGAATGTATATCTGACCTTTGGCAGAGCAGCAGCTGAGGGCAATCAACAGAAGCAGAGAACTGAGCTTCATCTCTCTTCTTCTCAAGGTCTCAAGACACAATGAAGGAGGGAGACTTCCTCCGAGGGACAAAATGATTCACAACTACCCCCCCACCCCCGACCGACTGAATCCCCCCCCCCCCCCCAATCCCAATAGCAGACTCCACCCCCTTCTCCAGCACCCTTCAACCTGACACACCAAGCAACATCAAAACATCTGGAGATACGAGGAAGGTTATAAAGCTGTGAGACAAAAGTAGTGAGGTAGACGTACAACAAGTACCTCAAAGAAGTAATACAGTAACAAGAACTATATGTACCCCTTAGATGTAGTTCGGTATAATGTAATATATGTACCTTTTGAAGAGTAATACAGTACAAAGTACTAGATGTACCCCTGAGATCTAGTACAGTATAATGCAATACATGGTCCTCTGAGAGGTAGTAAAGTATAAAGTACTACATGGACCTACATGGAGACTCATTACAAAAAAGAACTACACGTACCTTTGAGATGTAATAAATCTACAAAATGTATTTTGTACTTCAAAATCTTTGTCTCTGAATCTCTAGAATAAAAGAGGAAGAACTTCTTGTTAGACAAACCTTTTTTCGATAATCAGCACTTTTTAAACTTCTCTTTGTTCCAGATTTCAACAGGAAGTGAGAAAAGTTACACAATCAGAAGTTACACAAATTAGTGTTACACTTCTGGGATTAAATGTTGGCTCCATGGTACTAAAGCAGATATTAATGCTATGTTGTTCTATAACGTTAGTTATAGAACAACATTGTTTTGTCTTATAGAGTTAATAACAATATATTTTATTTATACTGTACACCGTAAAAAAAAAACTCACTTTTTCAGTTCTCGGTTTCCTAAGAAAAAAAATGAGAATAGACTTTTTATGTTTTAAATGTCAGTAAGATATAATTCTTCAAGTTGATAAAAGTGCTAATTTGTTTTTAGTCTGATGCAAAAACCAGATATTTTTAATCTGGAGGCTATATCACAATTGTATCAATAAAGTTGTACAGATTAAAATGAACTATTAAGGCTGAAAGTTGAAGTCTGAATCAGTTTTTATCAAGGTTAGAAAAACAACAACTTAAACATGTGAAAGTTCAAACACAAACACACAGACACCTACATTCCTTCAGCAGGTTGAACCTGTTGAACGTTTCACTGTAAAAACAAGGCAGTAAAAACAACTGATTAGCTTCCTGAGCTTCCTGTACAGGTGTGTACCTGCTAACCAATCACAGTTTTAGTTGTCTGCTTGTGACTTAACCCTTTAATGCATAGGAATGAATCACCTCACTCATGTCCTAACAGAGACAGAGAGACACACCTGTAGGGAGTTTATCTGACGGTTCAGAGCTTAGAAGTGCAGGTAGATTTTAAAGAGGGGAACTTCAACGTCTAACACCTCAGAACCGAGGCACCAGGTAAACAGAAAAACAGGTGAACAGGCAGGTAGGTAGACAGGTAAACAGGCAGATAGTTAACCAGGTGACGAAACAGACACGTAAACAGGTTAACCGGCAGATAGGTAACGAGGTGACGAAACAGACACGTAAACAGGTTAACAGGTAGATCGGTGAAAAGTTAAACAGTCAGACAATTCGACGGATAAACAGTCAGACAGGTGACCAGGTAAACAGTTGGACAGGTGAGAGACAAACAGGTAAGGAAAGCAGCGAGAGCGACCGGTAAGCAGCAAGGATCTCTGGTGTTCTTCGACGGAAATTTTAATAAGGTAAGAGCTGTTTATCTGAAACTTCTCTAAAAACTAATCTTGAAGTTTATTGTCGTTCTTGCAGTTTTTAAATACTTTTTAACTACTATAAACGTCTTAGTGAATAAAGAAATATTAAGCTATTAATGTGAACATCTTACTGAATAATGAATTTATTGTTTATGAAAACAGGCAGCATTGAGTAATATTAAACTATTACTCAATGCTACCTGTGATTTTTTAAGTACAGACTTCCCATTCAGAAGGTCAACCATTAACCCTAATAACACCTGCATCCTCACTGGTCCCACTGCTTTATTTTTAAAATTTCAGCTCTGTAGCTGCTGAGTGATTATCGATTGACTACAAGCTTGATTCACATTTGACTAGCAGCTATTTCGAATTCCAGCAAAGTTAAGAGAGAAAGAGTGAACAACAACAAAACCAAGTAAAAAAGGGAAATTATTCAAATGTTTATGTGTAAGGGATTATTTTAGTGCCTCATTTTATGGCTCCTGATTGGTCAGGTTCTCTTATTTTTCGACTGATTGATCAGTTTCTTATCTTTACACTGTGATGGTTCCTGATTGGTCAGTTCCTCTTGTCACTAGACTGTGATGGTTCCTGATTGGTGAGGTTCTTGGACTGTGATGTTCCTGATTGGCCAAGTTTCCTTGTAATTAGAATCTCCTTTTCCAGATGACTCCTCCTCCACATCCTGTTCCGAAGCCTCGAGCTTGTTACATGAGGGACACTCTGAGTTCCACCTCCCCTTTGGACAAGTCAGCCCACTTTTTTTTTATTTCTACATACACACATGAACACGGACACACATACAGACTCGTAAATAAACACACACACACAAACACCCATAAACCAAACATGGATAGTCAGATTCAAACACAAAGTTTGTTTTTCAGAGACATGAATGGTGAAGCTCTGCAAGCAGTTGTCTCTAATGGGGTTCACCTGAGCACAGGTACACACACACACACACGGTTGTGTTTCCATGGCTTTTAGAGAACTTACATTGATTTCCTGGAGACTTACCATAACCACTATCACAACTTTAACCGAACATAAGCCTTAACTAACGTTAACCTTAACCTAATTTACCGTTAACTTAATCAAAGCGTAAGTTAACTTTGACCTCCCCCAGTCTCCCTTTTGGCATCTGTGAGTTTTATTAGTTTGAATATAATAAATGGATAAATTCAAAAGTAAGAAAAACCCCAGAAGGATTAACTTCAGGAACAATGAACTGACTAAATATTGTGTTCTCACTTATTCTAAATCTGACTCAAACGTCTTTTTTACTAATTCGGATTTGAGATCAGACTGAAGCGGATTACATTTATTTTTAGTTGAGTTGCAGCAGGCAAACCGGTTTGTAGCTTTTGTTGTTGTTGGTAGAATCAGCAGACTGGTGATCATCTGGAACCAGTTAGTCTTCTACCTGGTGAAGATGGAGTCACAGGAAGTACAGCTCACGTGACTTTCCTTAGCTAATCCACTTAATAATAAATAGAAAACTCTTCATACACGCTGGTTTGTACTAGAAACAAGAGGTGAAGTGAAGTCACCAAATGTTTTATATATATATATATATATAGAGAGCGAGAGAGGCATTGTTGAGACTGTACATATGAAATATTATTATATTATATTATAAGCATAAGGTTAAAACTTTAATACAAATTCAATTTGACTTTATTGTGAAAGTGTGACTTATGCATGTCTTGTTTTTACTTGACAATGTATAGCAGTTTTATTCTGCGTACGCATTGTAAACCGCCAGCATTTTTAAATGAATCTTATCTCCTGTCTATTTTGTAACCTCTGTCACTTGGGACCCCAGATGAAAAATAGCCTTTTGGCTAAATATGGCACATTGTAATGTTTTATTAATGTGCACCGTCCCTTATCAAATAAACCAATAAATTACAGAAAATAATGTATCTGTAGTATTTTAGAGTCTGATCAGCTCTAGTGGACGACAGAGTAAACAAAAGACACAAAGCTGTCTGTGTGATTGGTCAAATGATGTCAGGTGATGATTTCACTTGTATTTCTCAGGTGAAGGAGCTCCTCCTCTTCCTTCTTGCGTCGGGTCAGGGCATGGAGCCTTCTTCCCGACTTTGGTTGGCGTTAGTGATATCATCACCACCAGCACTGGAAACGATACTCCGCCAACTTCATCACCCCCCCCCTCCATAGACAGTATGGCTAACAGTACCCACAAATCTGGCTTAGCAGGGCCAGCTAGCGCTGTGGAAAACCCTGCTGCTGCTGAGTTAAACCCCGCCACCAATGCTACACCTGTACCTACTGCTAGCACGGTTAGCTTTAATAGCATTATTAAGTCATTAGCTAACATCACCAGTTTAGCGGGAATCACCAGCAATCCTGTTGTATGCTCCACAACCCTGTCACCCTCAGCTGATAAATACCAACCCCCCTCACTTCTGAGCAACGGAGACACTCACACAGGTACGTCCACCAACCAATCATACAGAGGCATAGCTATTTGTACGAACTGTCTTTGAGCACCTCGTCAAAGTAAAGGTCCTCCGCTACTATCAGGTTTTAATGGGGGTGGGGAAATGCAGGTGTTTTTAAAACCCGTTGGGATGCTACTTCTGCTTATGTTACTTTACACAACTATGGAATGTCTTTAAATGTCTGGGGAATACAGCTCTCGTTGCCTAAAATGACTAATGAGCTTTCACCTGATTGGCTTTTGTCCAGATGTTGCAGGGTTGTCACAGTTGGTGATGTCGGCCTTGGAGCAGGGTGCAGGAGAACCCTTGCCTCCCCTAGAGCGAGCTGCTGAGCCGATGGAGGACGGTACTCACGCAGTTAAACCTCTTTTTGTGGGTCACCTCCTGCTCTTTACACCTCCTGCATGCCTTATTATTCTTTTGTGTGTTCTTTTGGCAGTTTGTGAACTGTCTCCTCACACCATCAAAGAAGAAAGTCCCTACATCACAGTTTTGGCTTGCTGGGCAAGCCAAGACGAAGCTGACACAGATTCATCCAATGAGGAGGAAGATACTGAGGTTAGCCCCGCCCCCTCAGGAGGAGATCTTGCTTCCGACCCAAACATCAAAGAGTATGTATATCACAGTAAATACTAGTAGTATTATTACTAGATGTGATTAGTAGTACTACTATCAGTATTGAACAGTGTATTATGTGCTGCCATTTTTGGTAGTAGTTGTACTAGCTACTCGCTTCCTAGTAGTACTACTACTACTTCCTAATTGTTGGTACCCTTTTTCTCTCGTCCAGTTCTTCAGGTTGTGTGGTCCCCACTCGGCCGGCCCTGCCCCCTCCTCGTTCTTCTGGCCGTTCAGGAAAGCCTCTGAAACAAAAGACTCCGAGGTACACCAATATAACATGCCTGTGGTGGTGATGTCTTAAGTACAGATGTAAACTAAAACAACGCCCCGAAGTATCTGGTGATGGATAAGTGTCCCAGAAAGCATTTCACTTTGATGGAGGGTGCAGGACGGAGGTGTTGGTTCTCATTGATGTTACTATTAAAGCAAGACATTTTGCAAGTAGTAGAGTGGGGGCGGACATCAAAAACTGTAAGTTAATAGTAAACTTTCTCACTTTGTTGTGCTGTGTCTTCTATCTAAGCTAACTGTCCCAGAATGGGTTGTTTTTCTTGACATTGTCTTTGTCCCAAAGAGCGGCAACTATTCGAGTGTCCAGGAAGAAGGGAGGAGGTGCAATGTTAACTTCTCAGAACGCTGTAGTCAGAGCCAGCTGGTTGGATGTCTGGAAGGGTTTCAGGTAACTTTTATCATCAGGGAGGATGGATGATGGTTGATGCATGATGGTTGATAGATCATTTATGGTTGATGCAAGATGGATGATGGTTGATGGATGATAGATAGTTGATGGTATGAATCCTGTCGCACCCCGAGTCTTCAAATTTGGTACAAAACTGGTAAAGAACTTTAACCCTAACTTTGAACCGGAATCCTGTCTACTCATCACTAACAAAAGTATGAATGCTTCACACGACGCGTTAGATTCCCACAAATTTATATACTCTTGTAAAAAGTATTACAAGAGTTAGAAAATATCTTATGCAAATTAGTTCAGAATTATTGCAATCGGCAGTGCAAAAGTTGAACACTCAGTTGTAGCTAAAAGCTAACACAAAAAACAACACGCCAAATTGCTAGCCAAGAAGGCACTGAATCTAGTGATACATTGCCGAATTAAAGAGTAAAAAAACACCAAGGAACATCAAGGTCCTTGGAATGGAAAACTCATAAGTAACTCGTACTTTCGTCATTTTGAAAAAAATCACTAAATGAATACGCTCTTTTTGCACTACAATACATGCAGTAGCCATCTTGCGTGACTCCAAGATTTTAAGTACTCTAGTTTCTCTGCCATGAGGCCTTCACAAAAGCCTGTCCTAGTAATCTTTACTCTCTGAACATAACACTTCCCATGATTACTGTCCACACACTGGGCTATTAAGTAGACATGTTTTTACTCTGGTATCTCCATGTTTTGTAGGGCTGGATACCCTGTCAGTACATTTATTTCAGGCGATTCTCAAAATCTGAAGGGTTTTAAAGGGAAAAGTAACATATTAACTTTTTCTTACACATCAGAACAATCACAGGGGTTCCCCTTTATCCTACAAAGTAGTTCCAGAGTAATTACACTTTTTTAAATGGGTGTGCCATCTCTGGAGCAGAAGCCAAAAAACAGGTCAGGGTTCCTAGATTGATGCAAGATGGCTGATGGATGATGGTTCAGTGGTCAATGATGATAGTTGATGGATAATAGATGATACATGATTGATGTATGATGGTTGTTAATAGATGGATGGTTTATGGATGATAGATGATTGTTAATGCATGTTAACTTGATGGTTGATTCATGATTGCTGATCCATGAAGCATGATGGGTGATGGTTGACACATTACATGTAATTTAGCTGATGCTTCTGTCCAAAGCGACTTACAATAAGTCCATTTCAACCATAAGGATACAAACTCAAAAGAAACAACAAAGTGAAATTTCATTAAATAAGTTGATTTACAACAACTTGCTATAGAGCCATTATAAGTACAATTTAAGTGCTACAATCTGTTTTTCGTCAAGGTATAGTCTGACGAGGTGTGTCTTTAGTTTGTGCCGAAAGATGTGAAGGCTCTCTGCAGTCCTGATTTCATCAGAGTTCGTTCCACTATTTCAGAGCAAGGACAGCAGAGTCTGTCGAGTGTTTTGCTCTCAGTGAGGGAGGAACATCAGTCATCAGTCTACCTTCTCTTCAGCTCACTTCTCTCAACTACCCCCCCCGGTCTTTTATCTAGCCCCTCCCTCAATTACTGCCCACCGTTCTAATCCGTGCTCTAGATAGATGATAGATAATGGTTGATACTTGATGGATGATGGTGATGCATTATGATGATGGAGGATGGTTCATCGAAGATGATTGATAGATGATGGTTGATGTACTATGGTGTGGTTTAATGCATGCTGGTTGATTTATGATGCATGATGGTTGATCGATGATGGTTCATGGATGGTTCATGGTCGATAGAAGACCAAAATATAAACAGACAACTTATTTCATCTCTAACAGACACAATGTTCTATGGGCAACGTTGGATGGACAGCTGATGTCTCTTTGGAAAAAACGCACGGTATGTCAGTCAACGTTCTTTTCTTTATAAACTGTATCACTCTGCCTGCTTCACTGTCTGCCTGTCCTTATAGTGACTGTGTTTTTCTGCGGATCAGGACCGGTTTTCTGAGGTCCTATTTCATGTCTCTAGCATCACTAATGTGAAGAAACAGGACAAAGGCAGATTCTCTGTTAACATCAGGAAGAAGAATTATGACTTCATGGCTCACAATGAGGGTAAGCTATTGCTACTAGTGTCTACTGAGTCTGCCGGACCATCTCTAGGTCTGTGGCACCAAGCTACAGCACTCTGGCCCTTATGTACGTACATTTACAAATGTAGCTCTCTCAGCGCCACGGCCGACCGGCAGAAAGCACACACTGTGATACTTCAGCTTACGTCAAACATGGAGTTCATCGGGTAATCAGCGCTTTTCTTAGCACACTCATCCAGCTCGTCATGCTTTAACGCGCATGGTGCAAAACAAATATGGCTGAAGTGGGTGCAAAAGCCTAAGTACATGAGGCCCTCTGTTTCTACTGGTCTCTACTAAACACTACTGGACCATCTCTGGATCTGTGGTAACAAGCTACAGCACTGTGTTACCACTTGTCTCTGTTGGATCCTACTGTAGGTTCCAGACTGAAACTTTGGGTCCAGAGGTGATCAAAAAATACTTTCTTCTTCATTTGTTTCTCAGAGGTTCAAAAAGGTTGGGTAACGTCTCTGCTAGCAACCCGAGGGCAACCAAGCCCTGCTCCCCCGGAACTCCATGGACCAATCACCATCAGGGACCCAAGGAGCCGGGTCTATGCCGCCGTCTGGGGTCATGACCTATGGATTTACCCCAACAAGGAGGGCTTCCAGCTGGGTATCGCCTCCTTCTCTGTCCCCCTGAACGTGGCACTGGTGAAGTGTACAGGAAAGCACTCGTTCTCCCTCATCACTCCTTACAAGAGCTTCAAGTAGGTACCGGTTTCTCTGACTACTTGTCTGTGTGAGCACATGCCTGTCAGACTGCCGGTCCATCTGACCAGCTGTGTGTTATATTAGCTCTAAATTGCTTCTTCCCCTTTGTCCCGCACCCTCCTGTAGCCTGTCTGTTGATTCGTCAAAGGAGCTCCCTGTCTGGTTGGATGGCCTCTCCTTAAGCATTCGCAGCGCGCTGTCCAATAGCAACGTGGTGCTGCGTCTTTGGGAAAACCCAGACAACAAAGTGTGCGGCGACTGCGGCTCGGCCAATCCTGAGTGGGCGTCGGTCAACCTGCTCCTGGTCATCTGTCAGGCCTGTGCAGGTACAGTTACATGACTCGATTGACTTCACATGTTCTGTCGTGACCTAACTCAACTAAAGAGGAGTTGGTCAATGGCGGCTGACCTTGAATTGTGAAACCAGAACCTTCAGGAACTTGAGAATGAGAATCTCTTTAGATGACCAGCTATCTGAACCACCTTTGCTAGCAGTCCACATAAAAGTTGTGGAATGCTGCGATGCTAACTAGCAGAGCAACATGGGTTTGAATGCTAACAGTATCGGTTCTCAGGTCAGCATCGAGCTCTGGGCAGCAACTTGTCAAAGGTGCGCAGTCTGAAGATGGACAACAAGGTCTGGAATGAACCGCTCATACAGGTGAAAAGGGGGAAGTGAAACACTCATATGGGTTAGGGAGGGGTGTGTGTGTGGGGGGGGGGGGGGGGTGAACCACTCATAGAAAGGTGGGGGTCTATCCTCTTAGGGGGCAACTGTTCTGGAACACTGATGGCGTTAACACCCTTTTCTGCCAACTGTTTGTTGCCCCCCGAACCCGCTGGGCCATAAGGTGTGGGCGCCACCCGTGCCCGCCGCGGAACAAATAATTCGCGGTCCTCTTGAGAGGAGAGGTCAAAGGTTAACCCAGGCTTAATATTGGCTGGACTGGTACAGAAAGAATACACAATAAGACCTACTCCATTATGTCTTATGGATCAGGTCTGAAACCCAAGGTTTATAATTAAAGATATATAATAATATAAAAAGTCTCCTAAAGAGAGTTCATCCTCTGACCCTTTGAGACCTCACGTTGTCGTATGGTCTCTGAGCTCTCTGGAGGTGTCTTGAAGGGTTTCCCTGTGAACACGTGAGGCTCAAAGGTAAGAGGATGAACCCTCTTGGGAGAATTTTTGTTTTTGGTCAAAACTAAATAAATTGTGTGTGTGTGTGTGTGTTTCAGAGGCTGCGTCAGGTGGTCTGTGGTGACAACATAGAAGAAACAATGTCTCTGATCTGCTCAGGAGCAAAGGTCTGATTGTTTGAGTCAAGATCATCAACTGAGATCATCACATGACAACACACATACACACCTTTTGCAGTAGTGGTTATTTAACATGATGTCTGACATAGAGATCACCTGTGTGCAGGTGTGTCAGTCAGACCCTCAAATGCCCTCCCCCATTCTTTTGGCTGAGAGGGCCGGTCAGGCGCTGCAGACTGAGCTGCTCCGCCTCAACGAGTACACAGGTAACACACACAAACCAACACACACACACACGATATGTTAGTACGACTAGAATGAATGGTATGTTATTATACATTTGATCTTGTCTGTTATTAATAATGTCACCTGGACATGATCCTTTTGTCAAATCACTTCTTTTTCTGCTTTATAGATGTCCCACCATACCTACCCCAGAATCGTGACTCCGCCTCCTCAGGTAGGACAAATGCACTAATAAAAATTTAACTAATATGAAAGTGAAATATAATATGAAATTATAAACAAGTGATTACTATATTCTTTAACCGCTGTGTGTGTGTGTGTGTGTGTGTCCACACAGGAGGTGGAGGTGAGGAGGAAGAGGAGCTTCACGGTAAACTGGAAGAAGATCGTTTTCTCTTCTCGTTAGAAAACGAGTCGGCCGCCTGTGATGTTCTGGACCTGAGAGAAGTTCTTTCTGTGTTCCTCAAAGAAGGGTAAACACTACTGCAAATACTACAGATACACCCATTGTAATGTAACAGAGTTGGAAATATTGCATGCCCGAAAAGCATCTGTCACACTAATACACTGATACTAATGTCACAAATAAATTCATTATACTCATAAAAACTGATACTAATACGCTCTAAATAAAGATGGCATTACTAATAAATTAACTACGCTTAAAATACTGATAGTAATTCAATCATGCTACCGCTAGTACTACAGATACTACTAGTACTTCTAGCCTAATACTATTTTGTATACCTCATTGGCAACTTGGTGTGTTTCCAGACCGGCTAATCAGTTTGAGATGGTGACTCTGAACAATCAGCTGATCTGTGCTGCTGACAACAAAGAGGCTCTGCTGAGTCACTTGGTTCACATCCTGAAGGTACACAAGTCCCTCTGACGCCTTTAGACCTGATACCCTGGACTTACTGAGTCACCAGGTTTACACCCTGAAGGTCCCCTGAGTCCCTCTGAGACCTTAAAAACTTAAGACTGCCTGTGAAAGACTGCCTCATGGTGTAAATTTGAATGGGACTTATCATGTTACCATGACAACATCATAAAACGTTATGAATAAATAATTATCTCCTATCAGGAACAGCATGATGCATAATACAGTACATATGTTTAGTAGTAAGGGTCCCTGTTAGTGAGGTAAAGTGGTCCAGCACAAAATCTATGGCTTTCTTTTGGATTTCTTTTGAATCTCAATCAAATTGAGCAGTTATACAATGAATAAATTTACTTTTAACGACCACTTTTTTTATTCCTCTGACTTTACATTTTCTTACTCTGCACCGAGCCGGTTGCTAAGACAGGCGAGGTAATTTACGTTTCCAGATGATGAAGAACTTCTCTTCCACAAGTGCAGTTGTTGTACTTCAGACTGCCGTGTGCGTGTGCATGTCGTCAGTGAGAGCAACAGTTGGTGCTCGTTGTAACGCCGTCACTCTGTTTCATACAACTCGTGTGTTCTCCTCATGGCGTGTGTCTTGGGGAGGCTCTTCCGTGCTTCATTTGGTGTGATTCTAAGGATGCTTCATTCTTCTTCGTTGGTTTGTCCACAGTTCTCCCCCATGCTGCATCCAACATAGTCTTCCCAAGTCTCGCTCCATTGGTTGTTTGTAGTTCGTAGGCTGCTTCAATGCTGCGTGACGCTTCAAGTGGTACTTCAGGTTCTTAGCCTTTTCAAAAACTTTTATTTAGAAAATTGACCGGATGTTGTTTAGACAACATTTCAACGTGATTTTTAATACGGTAATGTTTCATCCTCGACTTTGTGCTACATCATTATTTTAGAGGTTTACAAAGAAACGATTTGGAACGATATTTGGAAGCTAATATTGAAAATCACGTTGACAACTGCTCTAAAAGTAGAAGTCTACATTTAGACGTTCAAAGTAAAAATGCTCGCTGGGAACTCACAAGTTAGATAGGTTTTTGTAGGACATTTTCTAAATCTTGGGAACTTCATTTTCAGATTCTGTAACAAGAGCTGGCCCTGAGTCAATTGAAGTGGGATAGTATATATGAAATCATCGTCACTTGATGATTCTTTGTTTAAAGGGAAGTCAGAATGTGCGCAACACCCCTCAGGTGCACATATTGCAGATTATTCTGGTAAACGTGTTAAGTGAATTCAAATCATTTTATTTCGTATAGCCCAAAATCACAAATTAGTGTCAGAGAGCATTGCAGTCTGTAAACATGCAACATCCTGACCTGAAACCCCCCAAATATAACCTTCATCCACAGAAACCTGTGAGGAAGACCAACAAAGTTGGTAATTTAGGTTTATGATAACCGTAATAGTAAAGTGACTAATGATAACAGCAGCACGTGTGTTAGAACCCTTGTGTGTAAAAGATCCCTCTGGTCCATCCTCAGTTATGTAGCTACAGCATCAAATTTGGCTTTATGCTTCCTCCATCTTTAAATCTTAATATTGTTAAGTAAACATTGTTTACATTGTAAACTAGCAACTAATCTGCAACTCATTGCATTTCTGGAGTAACATTTCCAAATCTATTACACAGTATCACACTTTTTCACACACTATTTTTTCTTTAAGCATGGCCCTCTTGTTTACAGACCACAACTTGTTGAATTCAACCCTTCGCCCATACAATCTGTATTTAGCCCCTGTTGCTGAAATAAGTATTTTCAATATGAAATGGGCAAGGCAATGCTATTGTATGAGTACAGCAACACCAAACACACATAAATATTGGAGGTTTACGTTTTGTCCAGGTCATCATGCTGAACGCTAGCATGCTAACTAGCAAACTACCTGCACTAACGCTAACTAGCTTACCAAAAAGAACAGTGTTTCCCGTATCGAGTGGGCAGCAAGTAAAACAACCGGTTATAGCTCCAGGTGTGCTTCATTCAAACCCTCCCGTACTTCCAGAGCATTGGAGCCGGCAGTCGTGGTTCTATCAGCCCGTTTATGTCGCTCTGCTGCGTACAAACTTCGCCTCGTGCTGCATCCGGTCGAAGCTCTGCAAGCGACTAAGAACTCGCGCATGGGCGTTACAGATGTCAGCAGAGTTACATATTTAAAAGTAATTTTTAAAATTGCCCGCATGATTATGTCTTAAAAGCATTTGCAGTTCCACATTTATGACGTTTGAAGTGAAATGTTAAAAAGGTTGAAATCACGTCTTTCAACCAGGTCATTAATTATGAAAATCTTAACATATTCTCCCTTTCAGCCTTACGTTACAATATGACACATTATCAACAGATTTATGTTTTTTGGGACGTTTCATCTACGTTGAAACTGATTGAAAAGACGTTGATGAGCTGTTCATACCTAATTTCAACACTGCTTCAGATTTTAATGTTGAAATTAAGTCTTGTGCTCACAGGGTTGTGTAACATGAGTTCTAGTGATCCCTCTTATAGTGATCACTATAACTATCACTATAAGAGTTCTAGTCAGTAGTGTAACCTGGGGTTTGCTTTGCAGGTGATCCTTCCAGGGGGTGTGTCTAATGAGAAAATGGTCGGAGCTTCTGCAGTCAGTAAAGTGCGTCCGGTTGATGTGGGCGGATCCTCTAGTCACTCTGATGCCTGGTTGTTACTGATGGAGGACGGCGTCAGTCTTCTACCCGTCCACAAACATACACAGCAGACTCTGATGATGGATCTGGACATGATCAGTCACCATGGTAACAGTATTTTTATTTCCCTACGGCTTCACCTGTACCCAGATTAAGAATCTCTTTTTGATTCACCAGCAGAATCAAAAAGGAAATATCCTCTTGTATGCGGGATTTATAGTGAAGAACATCTGATGAAAATAATGTCATCTTATTGTAAGAGCTGTACCCATATTATTATGTATCAAGGGAGGCATCAGTATCTATAAGTATTTAAAGTCATGTACTTGGTTTGGATAAACAAATGCATCTCTGAAATGTGTTTCTAAAACTCTGTTTCAGAAATGGATCCCACTGAAAACTTCATCACCATGGTGACGGCAGACAGGTGTGCCACCTCTTTGATTCTTACTGCACTACTGTGTCCTGACATTTGATAGGCTGAGGTCCTCAGGTGTACGTATCACAGGATGCGTCTTGTCCCCATCAGGAGAGTGTCACTGCGGTTTGAGGAGCAGCACAGCTGTGAGTGCTGGTTCACTCAGCTGCAGGTGGCTCTGAGGAGGTGTACTCCCACAGCCAATGGGGGTGCAGCTCGTCGCTCCCTGTACCCGGTGAAGGACTTGTTGAGGGGCTCCGTCCCGCCCGCCATCGAACGCTGCATATCCCACATCACCAGCTTTGGTAAGAGAAGGTTATTTTATATACTATATAAATATATCACATTATATTACATTCAGAGACAGTGAAGTGAGAAAACTACATACCTGCAAAGAATCTGTTTGTCTGTCCGTGTGTCTCTCTGCCTGTCTCTCAGGACTAAATGTGGACGGCATATACCGCCGCTGTGGCCTCGCAACCAAAGTCAGCAAATTGGTGGAGTCTCTGATGACATCACCTAGCTCCACCCCTCTGGAGAGCGATGAGCAGGGCGTATTAGATGCTGGTTCCGCCCTCAAACAATATGTCCGCCAGCAGGAGGGTTTGATCCCTGAGAGAGAGAGACAGCAATGGATACACACTGCAAGTTAGTACCTTCTGTACTTCTACTACTGGAGTAGTATTACCACTGGAGTACTACAACTGTAGTATTGCCAAGGTTACTATTACTAGTATATACCAGAAGTACTACCAGTGGTAATACTATAGTTGTAGTACCACAGTATTAGTACTACTGCAGTATTAGTAACCGTAGTAGTAAAAATGACAATACTAAAGTATGGCACTTTTTCTCTTTCAGTGATCGCAGATGAACGCTCCAGGTTTTCATCTTACCGACGATTGCTCCGGCAACTGCCTGACGACAACCGAGCAACACTGAGCGCACTGTTTGGACACTTTTACATGTAACGCATAAACACACACACACACACAACAGACACACTGATGTTTGTCCTGCAGATGTTGTCATTTTGAGTGTCAATTAAGTGCAAAATTACACACAAAAAACATATTGCTTTTGGACTGATGTGTTTCTATTAAAAATGTGTCTTTTGAAGAAACCGAATTCTCCCCATTAATATAAGATAGCATTTGTGTACTTAATACATCTATATAAAACTGGCATGTGCTGCAAGTCTACCTGAGCACCAGGATCTACATGAGCTCACCTGGTTCTCTTCCTTAGGGTCCAGGTGTTCTCTCAGGTGAACCGCATGTCGGCTCAGAACCTGGCTCTTGTTCTGGTGCCGACTCTGTTTCAAACTCTGAACCAGGATCTGGTGAGACTCACCAGAGAGTTCATCATCCACCATGCGCTGCTGTTCATGGTAAAGTTATTTACACGTATAGATTTATGCTGTGTGTGTGTGTGTGTGTGTGTGTGTGTGTGTGTGTGTGTGTACCTACATACATACATACATACTAAGGCTTTGCAAGTTAACACATTATTATTATCTCATTCGTTAATTAAAGCCGGCAATTATTCCATTGAGCGTCAAGGCAGTTTTTTAAATTATTATTAGTTTTAAAGTGCGTTGCTCATCGTCTCTAAATACACAGACACACCATGGGTCATGGGGGGGGTTGTTAATCGGCTTTGCCTTGGGGGCGGCAGCACGTGTTTTAACCAATAAGGAGCATTTGGTTGTTTGTAGCTGCACAAACTTCAATGCTACAGCAAGGACAGAAACGGGGACAAATGTGCCCAACTCTTACGTGGATATTTTCTTCTTAAATCCCTTGCAGGCGGAGTTGATGAAACTAAAGTGATTGTTGAAGTTATTGATAAGTTAGCTGCTAAATAGTGGAATGAGCTCCCTATTGACATCACGACAGCAGAAGGCCTCTACAGTTAAAAGCACACATCCACTATACCTGGACTAGTTAACCCTAACCCACTATACCTGGACTAGTTAACCCTAACCCACTATACCTGGACAACGTGGTACTTCACAAAACTATAGCTGCAATAGCGAGATACAATAACTGTTACTCTAGTACAGCTCCCTGTCTCACTGAGACACGCGGAGGAATTCCTCTGCACAGTTCTCTGCTATGTGTCTCTGTTGGTTGTCAGTTAGTTATTTTACCGCCACCTAGCTGTCCTGTTTTTTTTTTTTTCACAAAATGTCACAAAAGTCAAAAATGTCTATTCTAAAAGTTGTATTAGAAATGTTTGCATGCATGTCTGCATATGACAAGGTAATACAGTTAAATTACCCCAAAATGTCCTGTTAATTCCTGTATATTCCCGTTAATTCCCGTGGAAAGTTTCCAATTGAATGATCCCGGAATTTATACAGAACCATCAAGCATAATACCAAGAAAAGAGACTCCAAAAGCAGAAGGACAGAGAATATATCCTACTGTGTTTTTTTAATTTGTTTACTTTATTATTCCTATTTTTTGGTCAACAGTGGGGGGTGGTTGTCCCGGTGGGTTTTTCTTAACAAACAGAAATAAAGTGAAAATAAATGTGATGACAATATATATTTTACATAACTTCTGCTGTATATTGGGGAGGACAGATTGGTATTTTCTCAATATTGGGGGGGGGGGCGCGACCCCCCCCAAAGAGTGCGTGGTTACGCCCTTGTCACACCGGATGACCGGAAGTAAACAAAGATGCATTAACTGCGTTAAAATATTTTAATGTTGCGTGTGTGTGTGTGTGTGTGTGCTGTTGAGATCTATGTTTACATTATTTGCAACACATTAAATTAATCATGAATGTATATAAATACTTTATAGAATATTTTAGACATTGTTTGTTTTGTTTACAGACTCCTGAGAGAGAGGAGGAGGAGGAGGAGGAGGAGCAGATCACCGTCTTCTGAAGAGGAAGACCTATTTCTTTGCGTTCTCACAGCTGATATTTATTCATAAACTAATCTCTTTTATCGGACCTTTTAATGGTTTATGGGTTAATAATGATAGTTTGATTTCATGTTTAAATATTTTCAGATCATTTCTTTTGTTGTAAGAAAGTGTCACATTGTGCATCCTTTGAATAAATTGAATTACAATTCATTATCTTATTATATTTTACATAATATATATACATAATATTATTTTAGGTTATCTTTATATTTTATGATCTTATATTTTATTAGTTTTCTGTTTTTTCAATTTCATCACAAGGAAACTTGTGACGTAATATACTCGTCATTATTTTTTATTACATCATGTTTTCTTGTTTCTTGTATTATATTATCTGTTATGGTTTTATCTTTTATGTTAGACGTTATAATTGGACATTTTATTTGACTATCTTTTGTTAACTTATCTATACTAGCATATATTTTATGATATATCTTATCTTTATTTTCTTGTTTCATTATGTTATCTTTTATTATATATGTATATCACAATTTTACGTTATGTTATCTTATATTTTATTATTACAGTTTTTCTGTTTCTGTACAGTTTTTTTGTTTTTGTTTACCAGACTGTTGATTGTAAAATGGAAGCTGTTCTTGTGTTCAGTGAAGATGAAAATAAACTATGATGTGGTCTATTGTGTGACAGTTCTCAGGCTCCTAAACATGACTTTATGTGAACAGGTAGCTGGTTTGATTCCGAGTGAGAACCGGACTGCCCAGGGTCTTTGAACCAGGCACTATTTGTGTCTACTTACTCTCTACCAGTGTTGGGCAAGTTACTGAAAATGAGTGTTTAGTTACAGTTACTAGTTACTTCTTTTAAAGGTAATTGAATTACTTACCAGTTACTGTGTATCAAAAGTAATTAGTTACTCTGGAAAGTTACTTTTATGTCTGCTTTTTAAATGTAATGAATATAAATAGTACTGAACAGTCAAACACAATAAACATATTTTATTGTAATCAACAGGGCAACAGACCTTCAAATCAAGCAATAGTACAAAAGTCCTTTTTAAAACTTAACTTAATACAGAATAACTGTTTGAGGCGTTTGCCTGAAGGCAACTGACTCGACAGTTGACAGGATGCATCTCATCTCCAACACAGCGATCGATCAATCAGCTCGGCCGGTTCATCGGCTGCTCTGCAGTCCGTGTGAAGAGGAGCGCTGGTTGTTTGCGTGGAGCGACGCCTGCAGCATCCTGCGCTCTTTCCTCATGAGCGACGCGATGCTGTTTACGTGCACGTACGCGACTATTCTGTGACGCACAACTGTTTAGTGCTGACAGGCAGCTGTTTACTAACTATTTGCCGGCCCTCCGCTTCGCGTCACAAAAGAGAGTAACGCGAGTAACAAACTCATTTCAATTTCAGTAATTGTAACTGCGTTAATTTCTTAAAAGAAATACTTTGTTACATGCTCGTTAGCGCTAAAAGTAGTGGAATTACAGTAACGCGTTACTGCCAACACTGCTCTCTACAGACCTGATCTCTTTGTTTGTTTTATATAATGTATGTAGTATATGTATGCATCAACATTTGAATGATATGAACCATATTCTAGTCATCTATACATATTGGCTAAATGACATGTAATGTAATGTCCAGCTTATTTAATGAAATTGCACTTTGTTGTTTCTTGTTCTTTTGAGTTTATATTCTAATGGAAAAATGTATGCAAACCTTCAAAATGTTTAATTGAACGAACAAGGTTATACACTGCCAATGCTGGGTTGGTGTGGCTGGAGTGTCTCACACCGATAAGATGTCTCCTGGCTGTAGAGACACAACAAGTTGGTTTGGAGGCCACCTGTAGGTAGAAGAACTGCCCGGCCTGTTATGGGAAGAGGAAGGTTCTTGGTGGTCTACTAAGCACGTAGCTGTTGTCACCTTTTTTCCCTTGCAAAGAAATAAACGGAGAAAGACAGAGCCAGAGTCTAGAGTGGTCCCCATCAGTGAGACAGGGAGCTGTACTAGAGCAACAGTTATTGTATCTCGCTATTGCAGCTAGGATTTACTTTGAGTTTTTACCTCCTACCTTTTGTTTCATTGTTTTACCAACAGATACACACATCCTTTGACATTTGACACCATTGATCATTGTATCCTGTTTCAGAGACTAGAATATTTGATTGGTATCAAAGGAACTGCACTCAGCTGGTTTGAATCCTACTTATCGGATCGATCCCAGTTTGTGCTTGTAAACGGTGAATCCTCAAAGACCACCAATGTTGGTCACGGAGTCCCACAAGGTTCTGTGAAAACACTGCATAAACCTCCATTGTTATGCAGACAATACTCAACTGTATCTCTTGTCAGACTTCAAGGATGTCTTGGATGACCTGCAACTTCCTGATGCCAAACTCAATTGTTTGAATCATGTCTGTCATAGGAATTGAATGTATTATACATCTTTTACATTACTAGAGTAGTAAGCCAGGCGCACGGCAGGACCCCTGCAGGGACAACCACCATCACATAGAACTACCATCACATAGAACCACCATCCACAGAAGCCTGAGGGGAGGGAAAGCACAAAGACTTTAGGAGAGGGTAATGTTAGTTTATGATGACAGTAATATGATTCATATTTCTAATAATGATGATGATGATGGCAGCAGCAGGTGTCAGCAGGGCCACGGCAGGTCTCAGGACCAGGGTCCAGAAGGAGACCTGCTAGGGGAGAAACCACAAGAGACTCCCAGAAAGAAGCTGAATTAGTCATGTACATTAATAAAACGCGGATTATTGTAGAAAGCGAGAGAGGAGCTCGGTGTGTTCTAAGAATGTGTCCTTCACTAATATCTACACATATCCATATATATAGATATGTATATAGATATAGACACATATTTAGACATATATACATTATACTGACTTATAGTCAGTTATAGTTTGTCCACTAGATGGAACTATTGAGCTCAGTTTATATGCAAATATATATATATATATATATGGATATATATATATATACATATATATATTTGTAATGTGTATACTCAGGCAAACATTCATTCAGACAACAGTCACTCTTCTACTTTGAGGGCTGCTGCTGACCAGGGACATGCAGGCAGACAGACAGGCTGACGGGGAGGAGGGACATGCAGGCAGACAGACAGGCTGACGGGGAGGAGGGACATGCAGGCAGACAGACAGGCTGACGGGGAGGAGGGACATGCAGGCAGACAGACAGGCGGAGGGAGGAGGGACATGCAGGCAGACAGGCAGGCTGATGGGGAGGAGGGACATGCAGGCAGACAGACAGGCGGAGGGAGGAGATAATGAGACGGAGTGAAGGAGTCACAGTGATCAGTCTGCAGCTCTTAGTCAGTCTGTCTTTCCTTCTGGGTTTCTGTCTCTGCTTGACTGTCTCTCTATCTGTCTGCCTGTCTAACCCTAACCCCTCTGTCCCCCTCTCCCTCACAGGATGGATCACTTTCGTTATGGATTATTGATGATTGTCTTTATGATACCGATTCACTGTTTACACATCAGTGACGACACAGGTGAGACGCTGCTCATGTTGCTGTGACTACCTGTACTACTGCTACTACTACTGCTTCTATCAGCGCTACTTCTGCTAACACCACGGCTACTACTACTACTTGAAAAAGACAGCATTTTACTTGGAATTTTACGTGGAATTACATCAGCGACAGCAGGTGGGACTCTACTACTCTTACAATATCTTATACTACGAGTGGTATTATTACTACTGTTAAAATAACTTCTACTACTGGTAGTCATTTTACTACTGTACACTACTGCGTGCCCAGTTTCCCCAGTCTCCTTAGTATCTTAGTCTTTCAGTCTCCCAGTCAACCCAGTCTCCTTAGACCGCTTGGTGTTAGTTTAGTTTGGCTAGTATCTCTAGTCACTTTAGTGTCCCAGTCTCCCAGTCTACTCACTGTCCTTAGTCCCCTTAGTGTCCTAGTCTTCCAGTCTCTCCAGTCTTCTTATTGTTCGTGTCCTCCAGTCTCCCCTAATGATCCCAGTGTTCTTATGGTCTAATGTTTCCAGCAGCAGATGGAAACTGTTCTTTTTGTCTGCTTTACACATTTTTCCATAAATCTTTGTGTTTATGTGTCTGTGGCATTGAGGAATTTGAAAGATTCAGATCATATTTCACTTCCTGTGTGTTTGTGCGTATGCGTGCGTGCGGCGCGCGCGTGTCTGTGTGTCTGTGACCTCTGACCTCCATGACCTCAGACAGAAAGACAGCAGACTGCTTGCTCGTTAAATTACTAAAGAGATATTCTGCTCCATGCGGATATTGCACGCACACTCACTAGTGATGTCACTCTGCCCTGCCCTGACTAGCTCCGGTTAAGATTCAAACTTTTTTACAGATTCTGTTAAACCACATCCACGTCAATAAAGTGTAATAACTGAAGCCGTCAGCTGGTTAACGATTTTGTTTTTTTCTTTTTATTATTATTTTTTTAGGGTAATAATTATAATATTACTATTGGTATTATCATTGTTATTTCTAGTATCGATATAATATTAATTTTATATAATATAATATATAATTTAATTATCTATATTGTCATTGTTTTTGTTGTCTAAATCATTATTATTATTGTTATAAGAATATTAATAAAGAGTATCTTAATTATTATTAGATGTCAAACAATCCGTATAGTTGTGGTATATACTTTACAGTTGGTAAGGTTTAGATTTCCTCTGTTTTCTGTCACAAGCACAGTGGCATCACTACAGGTGATTCTGACGTCTCTCTCTTCCAGATTTCCTCCACCAGATGTTGTCGGAGTTCGATGTAGTTCGTCCAATCCGGACCAACTCAGAGGGGCGTTTCCTGCCGGCTACTGTCTCCGGGCTTCACCTACCTCGCAGGAAAAGACACTACGCCTCACCACGCCCCCCCAGGCTGGAGGGGACGGAGCTGTTCTACAACGTGACGGTGTTCGGTCAGGAGCTGCACCTTCGTCTGCGACCTAACGGTCGACTCGTCGCCCCCACCGCCATCATGGAGTGGTGGGAGGAGTCAGGACACAAAACCTCTCAGCCGATAAGAGACACCGACTGCCTTTACACAGGAGAGGTGTCCAACATGGAGGATGCATCCATCGCCATCAGCAACTGTGACGGGTTGGTAGGTGTGACGATGTCTCACCGTCTCACTGTCACCATGTCTCACTGCCTCAACATCTCACCGTCTTAACGTTTCAACGTCTGATCATCTGTCTCAATCTCTTACCATCACCCTCTAACCGTCTCATTGTCCCATCCCCTCACCGTCTCACTGTCTCAATTCAATTCAATTCATTTTAGCCCATGATCGCAAATTACAAATTTGCCTCAGAGGGCTTTCCAGGCTGTACATATGTGACATCCTCTATCCCGAAACCCTTACTTCAGCATAGGGAAAAAAAGAAAGAAAACCCTTTCATGGGGAAAAAAGGGAGAAAACTTTAGGGAGATGTCAGAGGAGGATCCCTCTCCCGGGATGGAGTAGAATGTCATGTGTACAGAATGAACAACGTAAAACAATTCCTATGACAGGAATGTATCAAATATTGCAAGTAGTAAACCAGGTGTACATCAAGACCACTGCAGGGACAACCACCATCAGATAGAACTGCCATCCACAGAAGCCTGTGGGGAGGGAGAGCACAAAGACTTCAGGAAAGAAGTAATGTTGGTAAAATTGTATTATGATGACAGTAATAGTAATGTGATTCATATCTATAATAATATTCACTAGCAACTAAATGCATTTAACGATTTTATATGCGAGCCATGAGCGTTAGGATTGTAAGTCGATCCGCCTAGTCGGTCGGATGGGTTGTAGGGAGCTACGTCGGAGGACCTGCCGTTGTACCCGGGCACGGCGAACCCCTTCTGGACCCTATGAAAAAGGTAGAAAAGCGTTGAGGTGGGGTTTGGATTGCATCAACAGGACGGGGCAAGGCTTAGTGAGGTATTTACGGGATACCAAAATAGGCGTGCTGGAGGCGGGGTCTTGCTCCTGAAATTACGCCAACTAGCTTCAAATAATGATAATAGCAGCAGCAGTTGTCAGCAGGGCCGTGGCAGGAGGAAGGAACAGGGTCCAGACAGAACCATGAAAACGTGTGAGGCAAGAAAGCACAAATACTCTGTTGAAGATGCGCATTAATGTTGACAGTAATTGTAATGGGAATAATAATGTTTTTTACAGAACCACGATCTACGGAGTCCTGCGAGGCGAGAAAGCACAAAAACTCCTGGGAAGAGGCTGAATGAGACGTGAATTATTGTAAAAGAAGAGCGTGAGAGTGAGAGAGGAGCTTGGTGTGCCCTAAGAAGTCCCCCAGCAGTCTAGGCCTAAAGCAGCTTATCTAAGGGCTGGTCCAGGCTAACCTGAGCCAGACCTAACTAAGCGATATTTAAGAGGAAAGTTTTAAGCTTTATCTTAAATGAGCTGACCGTGTCTGCCCCCCGGACTGAAAGTGGAAGCTGGTTCCACAAAAGAGGAGCTTGATAACTGAAGACTCTGGCCCCCATCCAACTAAGACTCTAGGAACAACAAGTAAAATATGGTATTATAAGCTCCTTAAGATAAGACGGTGCCTCACCAGCAAGTGCCTTGTAGGACAGGAGAAGTACCTTAAATTATATTCTTGATTTAACAGGGAGCCAGTGCAGAGAAGCTAATACAAGTTTTGATGTCTCCAAGACATTCTTGAAGTCTAACAAGCTGGTCGGTCTCTCTGACTTGATTGAGTGTCGTCTGCATAAGAATGGAAGTTTATGCAGTGTTTTCAGATAACATCGACTAAAGGAAGCAGACAGGGGGGTGAATAAAATCGGACTGAACCTTGTGGCACTGCGTGACCAACATTAGTAGTCATCGAGGATTCACCGTTTACAAACGAGTTGCCGTTTACCTGTCTCACCATTTCACCGTTTCACTGTCTCACCCAGTCACCCTCTCGTTGTCTCACTATCTCACCATTTCACCGTCTCTCTGTTGTGTAGAGCCGAAAGCACAAATCACAAAGTTGCCTCTGAGGGCTTGACAGTCCATACATATTTGACATCCCTTAACCTTAGACCTTCACTTCAGTGCAGGAAAATGTAACTGTTAGCAGGAAGGGAAAAAAGTAAAAGACCTCAGAGATCCACACAAGCGGGATATACTCTATATTGTATATTCATTATTAATAAATAATAACCCTCTACCAGGGCCTAGAGAAGATGTGGTCATGTGATCAGAATGAACAATGTAATGGATTAAAAATTCTTTCAATGCATATGATATAGATATTTATATAACAGGAGTAGGAGGCAAAATAATTATGTAAACATTATGACTATTGATAAAAAATAATAATAACAATAACAATGGATACAGTTGAACAACAATGACGATGAACTGTGTAATGCTGTCACTAAGAGTAATGTTACTATTGTAATAATAATAACAATAAAAAATAAGTAATGCTGTGAGTAGTGTGACTTATAGAATAATATAACTAGAAAATGCATTATCTGCTGAAAATGCGTTGGAATGCAAAAAGCTGAAAGCGGAACTGAATTTTTTTAAATAGCTGAAAATACAGAAAGTTGAAGGGAATTTTAATACATTTGCTTAAATTACAGATATTAGAAAAGCTGAAATGAATTTGAAATTGCTGAAAATACAGAAATGGGAGAAGATGAAGTAAATTTCGATAGATTTGCTGAAAAAGCCGGAATGAAAACAGCTGAAACAAATGTGAAATATTGCAAAAAAAATACAGAAATTAATATTAAAACATTGCTGTTAATAGAGGCACAAGAAAAGCTGAAATTATTTTAAAGACCTGCTATAAATACAGAAACGTGAGAAGCTAAATTTCAATAGAATTTCAAAAAAATACAGAAGTTGCAGGAGCTTAAATGAATTAAAAAAACTACAGACATAACAAAAGCTGAGATGAATAAAAAGAGGTTTAAAATTGTTTGTAGTAATATTAGTAGTAGTATTAATTATAGTTGTAATTGTGGTATTAGCTGTAGAAGTAGGTTTAGTATCAATAGCAGTAGAAACAGCTGTAATACTAATACTATTAGCCATAGTAGTATTTGTAATAACATTAGTAGTAGTTGTAGTATTAATAGCAGTAGAACTACTAGTAGTATGGTAGTAGAAGTATTAGTTGTACTACTAGAAGTACTAGTAATATTCGTAGTGGTTGTAGCAGTATTTGAAAGAGCAATACGTATTTCAACGAAACCGCTTCATTCTGAACTTCATGGTTAAGGTACAGATAATCATTGAGGCTTTTATTTTGAAATGATGGAATTGGGTTGGGGGGGTTGGGAGACAGAATGCTTGTTATTCAAACGTGGTTACTCACACAGCGTGTGTGTGAGTAACCACGGCAACGGTGCACCTGGGCTCATTAACGAGCTGCTGCAAAGGGCAGACACAGGACAGCGAGTTACACAGAATCCACACCTCAAACAAGTGTCCACCAGCGCAAAACTATAACAGCTATATAAAAAAGACAACGTTTTTACGAGACCCAAGACTCTACCGAACGCATGGATGTGTTTTTTATGTCTGTCCGGTAATAAATACGGCTCCTATCGCAGTTGACAAAACGTGTACCTTCTGAATTTTTTGAGAATATGTCAGCAGATTTGTATTGGAGCCTATGGGGCTTTTAGCAGAGGTTGTGTGACTGTTGGTCTCCGTAGACCAAAACTAAAGAACTCTGGGATTCCATGAACACATTAATCCAATCAGCACAACCATGCCCTCATTAATCTGAAGAAATGAAGCCTCAAGAGTGTATACTTTGGCTGCAAGAACAGAAGTTCCATATTTTTTAACCAGATTCTGACGCTGCTCCACACTCTAGCCCTCGAGGTCCCCACTCTAGCAGACGCAATACACACTCATGTAAAAGTCAGAAACTGAGCGAAGAACTTGTGAAACATAATCAGTGATTATGAAAAAGTAGAATAGATATCAACAAGCAGTTTTTTTCATAAAATAGTTGAGACTTGTGTCAACATTTGAAAGTTAAAATGGTGTCTGTAACTTGACAGACTTGTAACTTGGCGAAGCTGAAAAATCTGAAAGTTAAAGAAGTTTAAGAGGATTTGAAAACATACTGGAAAACCATGTTAAAATATTAATGATTATTGATTTATATAAATTCAAGCATAAGAGGTAGAAAGCTGAAAAGTCATAGCCCCCCTCTCTTGAATGAGCTGAACATTTTAATATTTGAACGGTTTTAATAGCTGAAAGTGTGAAGGAGTTGAAAGGTGCAACGGAAGAAATAGAAGAAGAAGAAGAAGATGGCGGAATAAAGAATAGAAGAATAATACTTGGAATGCTTAATGCATTCCAACAATTAGTAATGCTGTCAGTCAAAGTAATATGACAAATACATCGGGAAGTGTCTTGTCTTGCGCTCACCAGACTGATGGCCTGCGAGTAGAAACTGCTCGTTAGACTTGGTTCTGGACATCAGACTCCTGTAGCGTCAGCCTGATGGCAGGAAAAGAGTTTGTGCTGGGGATGGTTCTGGCCTTGAGGATGTTGCGGGCTCTCCTGGTGACCCTGGTGGAGTAAATGTCCTGTAGTGAGGGGAGGGCTGCTCCTGAGATGAACTGTTTTTATCACACGCTGGAGGGCCTTCCTGTCCTGCAGTGGAGGGTCCAAACCACACGGTGATTGATGTGATGAGGGCGCTTTCCACCGTACCTCTGTAGAAGTTGCTGAGAATTTGTTTTCATGTCAAATGTCCTCAGCCTTTAGGAAGTACAGCCTCTGCTGGACCTTTTTAGTGGTCTGGAGTGTGTTGCGAGACCAGGTGAGGTCCTTACCGATGTGAGTTCCCAGGAATTTAAAGGTTTTAACCCTTTACACCTCAGTCTCATCAATGTAAAGAGGTGCGTTCGTCACCTTCGTTCTCCTTGGGTCGATGATCATCTCCTTGGTCTTGTCTGTGTTCAGGCAGAGATTATTATTTTGACACCAGGCCACAATATTTTGTGGTTCCGGTAATACGCAATCTGCAGCGGGTCTGCGGTGCCTGGGATGATTTTTTTGATGTGGGTCACAACCATCCTCTTGAAACACTATCACTATTGGGGTGAGTGCAACGGGACGATAGTCCTTCAGGCAGGTCACAGTGTTTTTCTATGGGAGGGGCACGATGGTGGTTGACTTGAAGCAGGTGGGCACATGAGGTAGTGCTAATGACAGGTTGTAAATGTCAGCAAATACAATAATAATAATTATAATATTAATACCAGCAGCTGTGGATGTTGGTGTGGACCCCAGTGCAGATACAGATCAAACAACCACAAAGCAAAAAGACTATTTCCGTTTCATTGCTGCAGTGATTCACTGTTTCCCTTCACATTTTTCTATGAAAGGACACGCAGCCTCTAACCAAACCCAGTGAAACAAGTCGAGCCAACACAATTTAAATCTTTTCGAACTTTCTCAGCTCTTCCAGAGCGAGCTGATAGAAAACAGATGTGAGGAAAGGCGAGACGAGACGTCTTTCCTGACAAGAGAGAAGAAGGAGGGAACGTTTTCCTGCTGCACTCATGTGACTTAAATCAACAACAATTACACAAGGGCACAATAACGCAAATGCCTTGTACAAACGGACTTCATAAAACACTCAGGGATTTTGTGATTATTAGAGTATGATTCCCTAAAGAACAATGTATTGATTCTAGGCCGGAGTGATCAGGACGAGTCAGGAGGAGTTCTTCATCGAGCCATTGAATCCATGGAGGACGAGAGGCAAGGAGGAGGAGGAGAAAGGAGATCGACCACACATAGTCTATCGCTCATCGGCCGTTATCAAGAATCAATCGGCTATCAATCAAACAGCTCACGACTTCGTCCGAGGTGAGTCAGATCAGCTAACTTCAACACAGACAACATTGTTATCGATGTTGTTGACCCAAACAGACCATGTTATCCTATACGTACAATGTATGTATTTCACTTGCATATAACATTTCCATCCATTTGGAATACATAGTTTTAACATGAACACACTAATAAAGTTCATGTGATGTATATTCGAGTCAAACATGAATCGGTCAAGTTTGATGTCTCCAAGACATTCTTGAAGTCTAACTAGCTGGTCCGTCTCTTCTGGTTTGATCGACAGATACAGTTGAGTATCGTCTGCATAACAATGGGTGTTTATGCAGTGTTTCCTGATAACGTCTCCCAAAGGAAGCATATAGAGGGTAAATAAAATCGGTCCAAGTACAGAACCTTGTGGGACTCTGTGACCAACATTGGTGGTCTTTGAGGATTCACCGTTTACAAGCAAAAACTGGGATCGATCCGATAAGAAGGATTTAAACCAGCTGAGTGCAGTTCCTTTGATACCAATTAAATGTTCTAGTCTCTGCAACAGGATACAATGGTCTATGGTATCAAATGCGGCACTGAGGTCCTGCAAGACAAGAAAAGAGATGAGTCCTTGGTCCGATGCAAGTAGAAGATCATTCATAATTTTCACCAGTGCTGTTTCTGTACTATGATGCGCTCGAAATGAAATCCTGACTGGAAATCCTCGAACAAAGCATTGTTTTGTAGAAAGTCACATAATTGATTTGCAACGGATTTCTCAAGGATCTTAGAGAGGAAGGGAAGATTAGAGATAGGTCTGTAGTTAGCCAACACCTGGAGCAAGAGTAGGTTTCTTAAGAAGAGGTTTAATTACAGCTACCTTGTAGGACTGTGGTAAATGTCCTGTCAACAAAGTTCATAATATCCAGTAAAGATGTGCTAACTAAAGGAAAAACTTCCTTAAGCAGCTGAATCGCAGCAGTCAGAATCGGATCCAAGAGACAAGTAGAAGATCGAAATTAAAGAAGTCAGTTGATCAAGGTTGATGGAAGAGAAGGCATCCAAACAGGCATCAGGGCCCACTGCTGCATCCAAGGTTCCTACATCTGAGGACAGGTCAGCACTGGTTGAAGGCAGGAGACCATCAATTTTCTCTTCGATAGTCAGAATCTTATCATAGAAGAAATTCATGAAGTCGTTACTAGTGAGGTCCAAAGAAATACACGGCTCGTCAGTCGGGCTACAGTGCTGAAGAGAAACCTGGAGTTGTTTTGATTTTTCTCCATTAATGATGAGTAATAAGATACTCTTGTGTTACGGAGATATGTTTTAAGGCTGTCTTGCCAAACTGGCCTAGATCCTTCTGATTTGGTGGACGGCTAGCAGGAGCGAACGCTACGTCTATGTGGCCCGCACCGGCTACCCGGGTGGGCTGGGTAACTACAGCGGCTAACGACTGAGCTTCCATGGTGCGGAGCCGTGCTTCTAACTCACTGAGCCTCGCCTCCAATTAATCAAATATACTACACTTCTTACATGTACCATTATCCGTAAGGGAGGCAGAGGAATAGCTAAACATGTGATCCACCGAGCAAGACAGAGCAGGAGAGGTAGGGAGGGAAGACATCACTATGTTAGCTGCTAAGCTAATGCTAATTGAAGTAACGTTGACGCTAAACAACGTCTAAGCAACTATTCGATTGAACGAAAATTTGCCTCACATAGATAACAGATAATTCGCTGCTTGTGCTGAAAAATATCACGCTACAATCAACTCAGTATAGCTAGAGCTGTGAAAAGTTTGATGATGTCAGACACGCTGGCAACAGGAAGTGACGCAACACGATTACCGTCAGAGAACGGTAACAGCTTTTAACGTTGACAGCCCTGACTCGATTGGTTTACAGAAGCTGCCCCCCCCCCCCCCAATCAGCGTATGGCATACCAACATAGACAGCTGGGTCCCCATGGCAGGCATTAGCTTCTCCAGTCTTCCTGACTGAATTTACACGTAAGCTTCATTTAAAAACACAACATCAGTTACCAACATCACGTTAACGTTACATTGTATGTCTAACATCTTTGGGCAATTGGCCACGTCACTTTTACTTTCTGTTCGCTGGTGCACTTTTTTTTATTTTTCTGACATAAACTGGATGGCTTATTAGAAGCTGTAAAATACAGTGTAATTTCATGGTTTTATCTTTCGTTCCTTTCTGGAATTTTTTTCCTTTAATTATATTTTAGGGAAAGATATGAAACACTCAAGTATGGTTTAAAAGTATGGTTTGTCATTTCAAGTCTTTAGGGTTAGGTTGCAGAAAACAATAACCTGCTGTGTTTCTGATGTGTTTCTGAAGAAGGAAAACAATCTCACTGAAAACAGAAAAATAGTTCCAGGAAACCTGGCAGAGATGCAGCGCTTTACAACACACTCAAACTCACACACACACACACACACACACACACACACACACACACATACACTACCACGTGGCAAACCAAGCTTCAGTCTGATTCTCAGAGGTTTGTAGGGTTTGGGGCTCCAAACCTCTGAATGTTCCGTCCTCTTGGTCACTGACACATCTGTTTGTCTTCACATCTGTTTGTCTTCAAACCAGCAGATGGCAAATGAGGAGCCAGTTTTATTTTACCTCAGCACAACTGGTACATTCTGAGCTCAGAGGGTCTGATGTCAGATATTTATGTGAGGATAATTAAACATTTGGGCGTGTCGATGGGGGAACAACATGAAACACTTCTTGTCTTTGACTCATCAACAGAGTTACAGAACATGACTCCTGCTTATTCTCTGTTCTTCTGCAACTTACTGAAGGTAGTGAGGTTGTCCTGAATCTTTTTTTTTACTTTGGTCTGAACCTTTGTCCTTTACCTTCGTCCTGAACCTTCGTCTGAACCTTCATCTGAACCTTTTTTTTAAACCGTTGTTCTGGACCTTCGTCAGAACCACGTCTTAGACCAGTGTCCTATTTTTGGTCTCTGTGGACTGCTTCGCTCCACTGAAGAGTTTGCGAACTAATGGTGTTGTTCTGATGTAAACACATGAATCTTGGTCCTCCTTCTGAAGACAAATATATGTACCCTAACATCCTCTTTTGTTCCTCTGCAGGTCCTCTTTTAGGTTCTCTGGACTGGAACCAGACTATGAAGTCACCAGGATCAGCTCGACGGAAACGCTACATTGAAGAGGCTGAACTGTTTAACATAGAGGTTAATTCAATTCAATTCATTTTATTTTGTATAGCCCAAAATCGCAAATAAAAATGTGCCTCCGAGGGCTTTACAGTCTGTGCACATACAACATCCTCTGTTCCGAAACCCTCCATCGGCACAGGAAAAACTCCCCAAAAAATGAAAAAACCCTTCCAAGAGGCAAAAAAGGGAAGAAACCTTAGGGAGAACGTCAGAGGAGGGATCGCACTCCCGGGATGGACAGACTACAATGGATGCCATGTGTACAGAATGAACAATGTATAATACATGCAATTCCTATGACAGAAATGATTCAAGTAATTGTGAGTAGTAAGCCAGGCGCACAGCAGGTTAATGACCTGTATAGCATAGAGGTTAATTAACTTGTTTAAACTCTTGTCCTGCCTTCTTTTCCAACTGCAGGTGTTGTTGGCTGTGGATTATTCTGTTCTTCTTTTCCATGGCCGAGACCACATCCAGAAATACCTTCTGACGCTCATGAACATAGTAAGTTGTGTTTATTTCAGTGTGAAGTGCCGGTGACGTTTGACCTGTCGGTCTCAGTTAAACTCAGAGATGACCTGATAATGTTCAAAAACCCCAAAGCTCAAGTAGACCAAAAGGTCAAACTCCTCCAGTATCTTAAAGTAAAAGGCAGGTCAAGCTTGCCCCACCACTCATGTGCCATGGCCCATGAATATCCAAAACCTTCTGCACCTGGTTACTATCTCAACAACCTCTTAGGCCAGAGCCAGAGAAGTCCTCCATTAATATCTTTTCGCTCATCCCTTTGCAGAATTTCTTGTCTTTTGCTACCGGAGGTGTAGTGCTTCCAGCCTCTTTAACTATGTCACTCAGGTGTCTCTGGGTTTTTTGAGACTGGAATATTTTCTCCTTCAGTCTTGTCTCTTTATTGACAAACTGTCCCCTTGTGGGTTGTTGTGCCTCCACCACAAAGTGCGACGAGGCTCCTGAAATTTTCTTCTAGAGAAGCCTTAGCCAGATGTTCCTAATTTCTCTTCACGACATGTTTTGGATTTGAGTCTTTGGTGAGCTTTCCCTCATTAGAAAGGAAAGTGGGACAGAGGAGGGAATCAATCCGAGACAGGAAACAGCCAACATCTGGACATCCAATAGGGCAGCCCAAAAAAGGAGCTCCACCTATACAAAGTTCATCAATAGTTCGAGCATCGAGCTAAACAACAGTGTGGAGTCTTGGTTCTTTGATTTTGGGCTGAGGCCACCAGGGTCACCTACAGGTATTCACCACTGAGCCCTGATTTACTGTCTTTGTTGTCCGGACTCTCAACTGCAACCGGTTTCACGCTGGTGACCTCAACATAAACACACCGGGAACCCCTTTCTCTCTCCAAAATTAGGTAGTAAATCCAATGAGAAAGGTTACATTTGGGGTTTATTTTCTTGTATTTCCCTTAATTAACAAAGGATGGCTGAAAAAAGAAAAAAAATATATATATATATATTGCAATCCGGAGAGACCTGTTGAAATTTTAACAATGCTTTATTATAACAGGCATGAATATTTACATTGCAAAGTTGTTTGGGGCTTGGATTCCATCCTGCCGTAGGATAGACCAGGGGCCGGGATGCCGAGATGAGGCATATCCTCCCCTTTGGGAGTCCAGACACTGGTGGGGGTGGTGGTGGTAGAGCCTAAATTGCTCCAATCTCCAGATATGCCAGGTTCTGCTGTAGATTGGAAGTGTCAAGGGTGGCGGCGGGTCACTTGTGCGTGCTGAAATGACAACTGACAGCAAAAGAGAGGAGAACAGTTTTTAACGTTTGCTTACACCGATGCAATCGGTTTACGGTAACGACATCCACGTCTGGTTGGCTGGTACTACCCGACCCCGCCCTAATCAGCCGGCCGTGCACTCCCAGGGAGAGAGGAGGCCACCTGGGAACGGCACAGCCTGTCCGGTCTTCCTGACTGAATTTTCGCCTAAGCTTCATATAGTTTTTTTACAACACCTATCTTTCGGTTTCAGTTGAATGAGATCTATCAGGATCATTCTCTGGGTGCCAACATCAACGTTGTTCTGGTCAGGATCATCATGTTGTCTCCATCCAAGGTATTTAACCCTGCCTCAGAGCTGATGAAGGTTTTTGGTCTGGCTACTTTTATAAATATGTTGAATCGAGTTTGAAGTACCCTTTGTCACACAGCTGCATGTTGGTTAGGAATAAACATCAGTGTCCCTCCACCAGTCTCAGGAACTGATTTCTGTGGGGAACCCCCAGAAGAGCTTGGAGAACGTCTGTGGATGGTCGTACCTCCAACACCGCGAGCAGAACGACGCAGAGCAGCACGACCACACCATCTATCTGACCAGGCAGGAGTTTGGCCCCTCTGGCATGCAGGGTACTTCTGCTACTGCCGCCACTAATAGTACAAGTACTCCATTCAACACCCTACCTACCATAACAACTACAGGCGTCTACCACCATCAACAACCTAAATGTTACCTTCGACAACCCCACCCTGACTGCTAGAAACCTTGTGTGACACTCCAGAGTCAACTATTCCTCAGGGCCAACATTACCCCAACAACACCTTCCTGTAGATACATGCTGCACCTCAGGTGAATACATCCCTTTCTCACTCAGAAGGCGGTGCAGGTTCTAGTTAATGGCTGTGGTCAACTCATGCCTTGACTATTGTAACTCCCTCCTAGCAGTACCATCCAGAATGACCCAACCTCTGCAGCCACAATGCCTGTTTCATAACATTGGTTCTCGGTACCGTGCAGCTAACAGATCGGGTGAAGGCTACATCCAGAACATGGTCAAACCTTACATCACTGCCCGCTCACTTCACTGTCATCCATCTGCTTGTTCCTCTCTCGCAACAACAATGAACATCCTGAATGTTTGCTGTTCTGGCTCCTATATGAGCTACCCAATGACTTTAGGACAGCAGAGAAAGTCTATACATCTTCAAACAGAAACTATATAACACAAGTCTACCGACTATACTTGGACTAGTTAGCACTTTATTAGCACTTCCAATGTCACTTACTTATAACATTATAGCTGTAGTTTGGCTTTCGTAGTAATTGTATTTTCTTGATTCTTGTTGTAAAAATGTAAATGTACCTGAAGAGATAGGCAGAATACTTCTGCTACTATCTCCACTAATACTATCAATAGTACCATTAATAAGAATAAAGTTACTACTACTAACGACTTTGCCTGACAACTGACCCCTGACCTCTGACCTTTGACCTCTCTTTGTAGGTTACGCTCCGGTTGAAGGGATGTGTCAGCTGCATCGGAGCTGCGTCCTGGTCTTTGAAGACGGGTTTTCTTCAGCCTTTGTAGCTGCTCATGAAACAGGACATGTGTGAGACACATAAACTCAATGTACACTCACTGCTCATCAACAGGACTTCCAGGTGTCCATGTTGAGATGATAGAAACTTCCATGTGTTACCAACGAGACCAAAGTGACAATACTGACTTCCAGGTGTAACCATGAAGACAATGCCATCTTACACACGTCTGAAAGAGCTGATCGGGACTTCGAACACTCATTTCCAGACAATGACATACTCAACTTTAAGGACCCTTATGTTTGTACTACCGTCTTCCTGTCTGTCTGTCTCTCTGTCTGTTTGTCTGTCTGACTCTGTGTCTGTCTGTTTCTCTGTTTGTCTGTCTCAGGTTAGGGATGCAGCATGATGGTGAGGCCAATGACTGTGCTGACGACGTGCCTATGGGCAGCATCATGTCCCCCCGGGTTCAGGCCACCTTCCAACGGTACCACTGGTCCCGCTGCAGCTGGAGGGAGTTGCACCAGCACCTACAGTGAGTCGTGCAAATACGGCAACATGGTCATTCTACATCAGGCACCAACTGAACCCTGTCTGTCTGCCTGTCTGTTCCACTCAGAACCTATGACTGTCTCCGAGATGACCCTTTCAACCATGATTGGCCTGCTCAGCCTCCGTTGCCGGGGTTTCAGTACTCGATGGACCAACAGTGTCGCTTTGACTTTGGACCAGGATACAGCCTCTGTACCGTATGTCTGCCTGTCTATCTGTCTATGGGTCTGTCTGCTTTTTATTTTTCTTCGGTCCTAAGCTTGTGGCTATGCTTGGCCTTTTTAGGCAAAGATCTTTATTGCCTCTGTCTCTCTCTAGTCATTGAACCTGTCTGTCGGTCTTTCTGCCCCAAGTATGCAACCCATGACCCCTGTAAGCAGCTGTTGTGCAGTGAATACAACAACCCCTTCCACTGTAAGACAAAGAAAGGGCCACCGCTGGACGGAACAAAATGTGGCCCAGGGAAGGTGAGATGCCTTCAACAGAAAATCAGACACGTTAAAAAGTCAGATGACTTCAATAGGAAGTCAGACTCCTTTAACAGGAAATCAGAAGCATTCAACAGGAAATCAGACTCCTTCAACTGTGATAACTTTATCAATGCTCAGGTCAACATGTGAGTTTATCCGATACCTCCATGCTTCATGCATCAGGTTAAATCTAGGATGGTAACATCATAGCTGCTGACCATTAATTCAATTCAATTCAATTCATGTTATTTTGGTTAGCATGTAAGCATGTTGACAGTTCCAGTTGAACTCCTTGGATACCTGTTTACACGCATGAATTAAATGTAACAAATGGTTTGGCTAGATTAACCTCACGCTAGCTCTCCATTGAAGTGCAGTCACTGATGAGTAATCTTGGTTAAAATATTGTTTAGTCTAGCCAAACCATTTGTTACATTTAATTCATGCGTGTAAACAGGTATCCAAGGAGTTTAGGTTGGAGCACAGGAAGTATAGATGGAGATAATTCTGTTGAGGGAAGTTCCCTTCACCAAACAGCGGCATCATGCCACTTGTTCCCCCCTGCCTGCTGTCTTTATACTAAGCTACACTAACCTGGTCTCTATGCAGCACTGTTTTAAAGGTTTCTGCCTGAAACTGACCCCAGACATGCTGAGACAAGATGGAGGCTGGGGGGCATGGAGTCCCTTCGGCGTCTGCTCCCGGACCTGTGGGGGCGGGGTCAGGTTTCGGGCCCGGCGCTGCGACAGTCCAGCGTGAGTCAGCTGACTTGGTCTGTGATGTCACAAATGAAAGTCACATTAGAGGCCTCATTAGTGGCTCTAACTTGTCGTTTTTCTCAGTCCAGCCAACGGGGGCCGCACCTGCTTTGGGAACAGCTATGAGTTCCAGATGTGCAGCCAGGGAGAGTGTCCACCTCTGACTGACTTCAGGTCAGTGGATCTACTGTGTTCTCCGTGGCCTGTGCCCTCTGACCGACTTCAGGTCAAATATTTGCTTTGTGTTTTTGGACTGTTTTATGTTGTATGTGATTTTCTTGTAGGTTTGTGGGTTGTTTATGTGTGTGTGTGTGTGTGGTTGTGTAATTTATGTATTTTTCCGAAGAGAGGATCAGTGTAAATTATGGAATCCATTTCTGGAACATGAAGGAAGGAAACATCACTGGCTGCCGTACCAACACCCTGACCGTAAGTACACAACCTACAGATGCACTTTTAATACACTATATCCTTGTGTATAAATACATTACATTACACTACGGGTCATTTAGCAGACGCTTTTATCCAAAGCAACCTACATTACACTTTAAACCCATTAGGGCAATTAGAGGTTAGGTGTCTTGCTCAGGGACACTTCGACATGGAACATGGGGCAGCCTGGACTCGAACCACCAACCTTGTGCTTCCCAGCACACCTTCTCTAACCCCTGCACCACAATGACCCCAAAAAGCACAGGGGATGGATCCCGGGTCCCCCCCAGTTAGGGTGGAATGCCTAAGCACTGGTCTAACAACACAGACTTGATATCCTTGATATATATGCTATATGCATTATATACTTGGTAGTATTAGTTTTATGGAACTACTTTTATTCTTGTCTATTTTTTTATTAAAATCTGCTGAAAAATGCAAAATTTGCTAATAAGCCTAATATACAATGGGGGTTGAATATTTTGACTATATACCTTACTCACTTTATATCAGTAATGACTTAAGTAATGATGAAAATTTCCAGCGCCAGTGTTGCAAACTGTACGCACAAGCCGATATGCTGGCCCGTAAATTCCACATGTGCACAGGTGATGTTACAGAGCCTGCTGCACTCTGTACAGCCCGCTTGAGGTGCAGCTAGAGTAGAGCAAAGATGAAAACGCCTCAGGTGGCCTTAAATAATGCTTAGATTCTTGCTTATGTAACTCGGAATAAGTGCCAAAAATAAATCGGCTCAGTGTTAAATGCACTGTACGTAGAGTTAAACCCAACACCAAGAGGTTTGACAGTGGTGTACAGTTACATTTCAAACCTATCAAAGAGTTAATTTAACTCTACTTGTGTTGCAAATTAATCGGGTCAGTGTTAAATACACTCGATGTAGAGTTAAAAACTAGAGTATTTTGTGTGTGCGCGCGTGTGTGTGTGTGTGCGTGTGTGTATATATGTGTGTGTTTGAGTTCACATGTTAAAGTCATCAGCCAGGAATCTGTTATTGGAAGGAAACTTACGGCCTCTCCTCTCTTGAACTCCTTAACTCTTAATGTTCTACTTAAAGTAGCTGTGAAATATGAATATCACATTCATGATATATATACATATATATATATACATTCTATATGCACTATGATAGTGTCTGTGTCTGCAGCTGACGAGCGCTGCATACTGCACTGTCAGTCCAAGGAAACAGCGGCGGTGGTGTCCATCAATAGAATGGTGCATGATGGGACGCCGTGCTCCTACGGCGATGCCCACAGCGTCTGCGTCCGAGGAGAGTGTGAGGTCTTTATTTGTTTTAGTTACACACATGTTTCGTTCCTCATATAAAGTAAAAGCATTCCATATTCAAGCATAGTGAAATTCTCTGTACCGTAGAGTACAGAAAAAATGATAAATGGTGAAAATGATGAATTTCACTATGCATTTTATTTGTATACTTAATATCACAGTAAAGTACAGCATGAAGTATACTTTGTACTCTAAATAAGCATCAGCTTATTCCTCCCAGATAGAAGAACAGATCTGAGATCAGAGATCGAGATGTGAAGTAGCCTAAGATCAGCACCCTCCCCCTCCTGTCCTTGTCTTGTCCCTCCTCGTGCAGCATGTGGGTTGTGATGGGCAGATTGCCTCGGATAAGCAGGAGGATCGATGTGGAGTCTGTGGAGGAGATAACTCCAGCTGTAAGATCATCAAAGGCAACTTCACCCGCAGCACCAAGAAACAAGGTCTGAGGAGGAAACCCTTTGGTTGATGTTTGAGTGAAACTGTCTGCTGGTTATTAAAGGGTTGTGGTTTCCATCGCCTAGGTTACCTGAAGATCCTGGAGATCCCCAAAGGAGCCCGACATCTGCTGATTCAGGAGTTTAAAGGAACTCCTCACATCCTTGGTACTAGGGGAAGGGGAACCGCCTGTTCTCTCCAACAACACCAAAAACGTTGGTCCTTGATTTCATTGTTTCCTGTTTTCAGCGCTGACGAATCAGGAGACAGGCGAGCTCTTCCTCAACAGTGAGGACAAGGTCCCTGCCTCCCGGGTAGTGATCCAGAGGGGCGTGTTCTGGGAGTACAAGAACACTGAGGAGCAGGAGTCTGTGCAGACCACAGGGCCGCTGACTTATGATGTCCTGCTCCTGGTTAGTCCCTCGCCACAGGAGGTCCAACATGCCAACATTGTATTTGAGCCGAGATCAGAAATGACGCCCCCCTAATTTGTATGTTCATCAGGTCCGTTCCCATGGAGACTCCAAGCTGACGGTGTCCTATAAGTACATCATCCAGGATGGTCTCCGCTCCTTGCTGGAGTCCAACCTGCTGCAAGACGACGGTGTCTTCTACGAGTGGGCGCTGAAGAAGTGGTCACACTGCTCCAAGCCCTGCGGAGGAGGTAGGCAGCCTGGTGCTGGTTGTCGGGGGGGAACCAGGATTACGGTGGCATGGTGGCGGTTAACGTAGCGTTGTCCTTGTCAGGAAAACAATACACAAGGTTCGGCTGCAGGAGGAAAGCTGATGGGAAGATGGTGCAAAGGACTTTCTGCTCCAAGACAGGCAAACCGAGAGCCATCAGCCGCAGCTGCAGCACCGACACCTGCAACTCCCCACGGTACCCCCCCCCCCCCCCCCACCTCCAGAATAGTCCGAGACGACCCAGAGGAATATGGTACCGGAATTACGGCCTCTGCAACATTTTAGTTGCAGAGAGTTGATCTGAGTGCAGAAACATTAGACTGACAGTTACGTTTCAGGTTAAGTCTTCCTCAGTATCAGGTAACAGACCTTTGACCTAATCAGAAACTGGTTAACAAAATGTCAACATGTGAGCTCCTCTAGAATTGGTGTTTAATCAATGTGACGCTAAAAAAATGTCACATCACAAACAAATAATCATATATTGTATAAAGACACTGTAATGGATTGACTAGACCCATTGAATAGGTACTAAAGGAGAAGTGTGGTGTGATGTTTGCTCCCATCAGCTGGTTAACCGGTGAGTGGCAGGATTGCAGCGCCACCTGTGGGCAGACAGGGTGGCAGCGCCGCTGGGTGTCCTGCCAGCAGACCTCTAGCAGGGGGCAGCACTCGGTGCCCAGCAAACTCTGTGGGGAGGAGCGGCCGGAGGGGAAACAGACCTGCAATCGTTTTCCCTGTCCGGCGTCCTGGAGAGCTGGACCCTGGACCCCGGTACGAAGATCGCTTTGTCACAAAGTCGTTTTAACAGAAGCCATTTTCGGGAATTAATTTCTCATTCTTGATTACCCACTAAATCCTTCCTTCTGGACTACCAAGTGCCTTCTATTTCGACTACCTCTTAATTTCTCTTTCTGGACTACCAACCCGGTCCTTATTTCCGGACTGACTCTAATTTTGTACTCTAATCTACGTCTATCAATACTTCCCCTTCTTCTTCCTACCTTTTTGAGGGAAGTTTTACTTCATTATTTGTTAAGTGGTCAGTTTTTTGACTACTTTTCTGGACAACTTATAACTTCCCTCTTTTGGAACTACTTCGAACTTTGCTTCCTTCTGGACTATTCCTACCTTTCCTTTCCATAGACATCTTTTACTACCATCTTTGTTGTCTACCTCTACATTTCTTCTCTCGACTACCTCACCTCCTTTCTGGATGGACTTTACGCAACACAAATTAAATCCAGATCACTCACTGATCAGTGCAGAAAGGCAACATGTGTTCATGTTTGTAGTGTTCAGTATCGTGTGGAAATGGGACACAGGAGCGGCAAGTTGCATGTTTGAGTCCTGATGGTTCAGCACGTAACTGCAGCGATTTTCCACCAATCAAGACCCGGAATTGCCACCCACCCCCCTGTAGCGGTAAGCATCAACCAATCGTCACAACATGAATGGCTGTGGACTAGACAAGAGAGAGGGATGCTGGGAGTTGTAGTCTTTGTGCAGCCAACTGTGGTGTTCTCTCCCCTTGCAGGTGACCAGAAGAACGCAATCATTCAGTGGCTCTCCAGGTCCAACCCAGACTTCAGCGCTTCAAAGATCTTCTCCAGTAAACCACCCTCATTCCTTCTCCTCCTAATTCAAAGATCGACTGGTGATTTTAGGAGTGTTTTCTAAGGTTGACTTTAATATGTACAGAATATTCAGAGGGAGAGAGAGAGAGATCATTCAGAGGGGCAGCAGGATTTTATCTTTAGCCATTCAGATCTTGTCATCTGAATCAAGAGCATCAAGCAGCTTAGATGAAGGTCGTACGATTGGCACTAAGGAATCTTTATAGAAAAATAAATCTGCCAGAGAAGGTGAAAGCTCAGCTGAATCTGCCTCTTCCTGTTATCTCACTTTGCCTGTCAAGCTTGAATGTAGAGTCTGAGATGTTAGGGACAAGGTTCAAGCCTCCACTAGTAGGATAATGTGATGTTCAGCTGGTCTCAAACTCGTCTTCAGGCCAGCGCTGCCGTGGTGACCGCTCCGTGTTCTGCCGGATGGAGGTGCTGAGTCGGTACTGCTCCATTACCGGGTACCGCCAGATGTGCTGCAAGTCCTGCAGCGAGGGAAACCTCAACAACCCCATTGACTCCAGCAACTCCACCAAACACGGCAAATCTGGCAACTGGGGCAACTCTGGCAATTATAGTACCTCAAGCGACTTGTTCCCACAGAGAACCACCAGCAGGTGGGAAATGGAACACTCAACTAAAAAGCATTACTGCGTCTAAAACTGATCGAAAGTCACGGATCCTCTTTTATTCCTTGTTGTCTCGCAGCGCCTGGAGTTCAAGCACGGAGGCGATGACATCACCAATGACATCATCGCCCACCCCTTCCTGGTCTGACAACGCTTACATTACCAGTGAGGTCATCAGCAGGCCGACCCCCAGCCTCCCGGGGACTCCGCCCCTGACCAGCGGAAGCGGAGCAGACTTTGTGTACGTGGAGTACAACGACTACAACGAGTACTACGAAGATCCTTCTATTCCCTCAGACACAACTACTAGTACTACCGCTTGTACTACTAGTAGTACTCCTACCACCACTACTACAAGGAAACCAAGAAGAAATGCTCCCCCACATTTATTCAAGAGAACAACTCCCACAATGCCTCCAGCTACCGCCTTCGTGGTAATTGCTGGGAGTCAAAGTGCAACCGCACCCCCCCCCACAACCCCGTCCACTGATCCCAATGACGTTTTCACGGTGACGTTGGGAGGGAGGAGCCTCCGAACGGGGGCAAAGCCTTTGCAGACGTCGTCCTCCTTCTTCCCGCTCTCCAAGAGGGAGAACTCTGTGGACGTGGTCCCATACCGGATTGTGGGACTGGACCATGACACCACCGGTGAAATCAACAGTGACGTCAACAGTGACGCCACTGATGTCATCAACGGTGACGTCACTGGAGAAAAGCAGAGCTATTTTGTGCCGCGGATGCCTCCCATCCGCGAGCGGACACAGAACAAACGGATCCAGCAGCTTCTGAACGAGAAGCGACGGAAGGACGTCGCGAAGCGAGCCGGCGGGACGAGAGGAGGGCAAACAAGATTATAAAAACACACGTGATGACACATGCTCACTTTATGCTAAAACTAACCACCTGTTAACGAGAAGACGGACCACAGAGCCAAATGGACAACCAGAACATTCATGATGTAACAGACTATCCTTTTTTCAAATAAAGCTAAGTCTCATCCAGCCGATGATGTCATCGTGACTCGTGTTAAATTGGCAGTTTAACCGTTCAGTCACATGTTCAGATCAATACTGCCTCTCATGTCTGTACAACAGTCAGTTAGCTGAGCTAACAGAAGGACTGGAAAAAGAGGGAATCCACTAGTTTAGATTCACCTAAATTAAGGTGAGGAAAAAAGCTATTATAGCTTAGCATGAAGACTGGAAGTAGAGGGAAATGAGGAAACAACTAGTTTAGCGTAATATACAAACCATAAAAAGAGGGAACGGCCAGCTATGCTTTGCATAAAGACAGGATACAGCTAGTTTTAGTTACCATAAAGGCTGGAGCCGAGGCAGCTAGCCTGTCTCTGTTTTAAGGTAACAACTGTAATACTTTGCATATTTTATCTATTTTGCATCATCTGAACAAAAAATGTTGAGACAAATATAATTAACTGGTCTTAACTAGTAAATAATCCATTAATTAAAGGCTATAAAACAGAAGTGACTTTTGCATTGTTTCAATTATCTCAGCAGCTGTTGGTCTGTTTAACATCAAACTGACTCCAGATCATTACATTAAGTCACAGCAGGTTATGGATTCCTGTCCATCAGTGGAAACCGCTGACGGCTTTTTTAAATTAATGTAAATATGTAAATTGTGATTTTTTGTGAAAATAAAAAAACAATATAATTTGATAAAGGAAGGTTTTTATTGTTGAAAATAATGATTATTTGAATAACTGTTTGGTTTCTAAAATGATGTCGCCAAGATCTAAAACGCAGAGATGTATGTGGTTTATGTGTTATTTTTTATTCATAACAATGACCACAATAATAATATAACAAGAAAAGGAACACCTGTTCTGGCATTCTGACAGGGCTCAGTGAATAATTATTTATCTAAACAGTGGTAGTGTTTTGTTCTGATTTTATAATATGTGCAAGTATGAAGTTATTATGCAAACATAGCAAAGCGCAAATTTCTTGCATTGCAAACAAAAATCTAGTTTGTAAGTAAAAATATATAAACTGAGAAAAAATGATGTTAGTTTTGCTAATGAAGCTAGGATTTTTGGCTGCAATAAAAAACTTTTGCTCTCGAAAAAAAATCTTTGGTCTCAAAAAAATCTTTTGGTGGTTGATTATATTAAAAATACCTTTTACAAACAGTCAATATTTGTGTTTTTGAAACGTGGATTATATGCAAGAAATTATACCTTCATACCTGTGAGGTAGAACTCGGGACTCAATCACGCTTCGCTGCCTGCCGGTCAGCGCTCCGGGCTGAAATAACCTCCGGCTGTCCTTGAGAGACACCCAGGCTAAGATGGCGGCCGCAGCAGTGAGAAGCCTCGGTTCCAGTCTGGGTAAAAACCTGCGAGAGATCCGTGTCCATCTCTGCCAGAGTTCTGCGGCCAGCAAAGGCGCGAGGTGAGTAACCGAGGCGGAAAGAGCTGCTACGGTACCAACTCATACCGAGTTTACAGTGTCTCCAGAACAACGCTAATAGCTAGCTGCTAACACCCAATAGTAACTTGTATAATAGGGAGCAGCTAATGGATAGCTGCTAAATGCTAATAGGTAGAATTCCATTGAGAGTGAGATAAAAAAACGAGCCCAAATATGTGATTACATCAGATCAGATCTTCTGTCCAGTCTGTAATGTTTCTAAAGAAGATGAAGAGGGGCAGCTAAACTATAGCATACTATCATACTGACAGGTTTATATCTCATTTGTATTCATATTGGATGGAGGAAATCGGTAAAACGTTACAGAGGTGTTGTATTGCATCACACTGCATTACATTATAAAATGTTGTTACTCAAATATCAAGAGGGCAATAATCAGTGTGGTGACCTCGTCCAGTTAAAATCACAAACTTCATCTGTGCCTCTACATCATTAATGCTTCATCTACTATTTAATATATATGAGACAGTGATGGACCAGTTAAATCGGTGACATCATTAGTGATTAATATAATGTAGAATATTACAGAGAAATATAGACTTTTTTATTGATATTTATTATTACAATTTAAGTCCCTTTGAAGCTGATGTCCTGCTGCCGGTTTAGTGTCTCCTCACATGTCCTTTTTATTAATGCATCGTTAGTTTTAATGCACAATAATAAGCCTCAATGTGAATACAGACAAAATGTTACCGTTGAATTAAAACAAAGTGATGAATCTAAACTCTGTAAGTTATAAGAACTGCAGCTTAGTTATAGAACATTATATATTCCACAAAGCCGAGATGAGTCTGAGCGACGGTCCTGTTAACTACTCCTCATCCTGCAGCTCAATGTTGATTAAACAACTAACTTCTCGCTTGAAAAGGTCCTAAAATTATATTCTGTGACTTAATTAAATTTGTATTTATACAATTTTAATACAATTATACGTTCTAGGTAGAATGAGGGGGCGTGTCACAACCAGGCATTGAGACTATTCTTGGTGAGACTTTTGAGGTCCACAAGGACACTTGACACCCTGTCCACTCCAATGAAGCATCAGGGACAGGAAGCATCTGACCGTGTGTCTGCTTCACAGAGACTTTGTGGAGAAGTACTACGTGACTCTGAAGATGTCCAACCCTGACTTCCCGGTCCGGATCAGAGAGTGCTCTGGAGTCCAGGCCGTGGTCTGGGCCCGGTACGGTGAGTCGACACTTTAACTGCTGTCATTTACAGTGCTATTGCTCTCTGAGCCACATGAAGATGTTTGAATACTTTTATAGTTACACATTCAATTTGATTCCATTCCTGCTGATCACAATCAATACTCAACACAAGTTTTGCATTTAATACATTGATGGCTAAACTTAATAATAATAATGATGATGTTTCTTTTCAGACTTTGGAAAAGAGAGCAGCGTCTCTGTGAACAACATGTCTGTTGATCAGGTGGCCAGCGCAGTGCAGACTCTAGTTCAGTCCAAACCCTGAAGCCCAAGAGGTTCACTTCAAGCCTGCTACATCCATTCACTTTGTATGTCTGTGTTCTTATGAATAAATCCTACTCTTAATGTCACTTTTTCCTGCTTCTGTATGTTTATTATGTATTAGGATATTAACCTCTGGATTCAATCAGTGGAAGTCATCCGAGTAAGCTAAGGACCAAGAATGTCTGGAATGCGTGTGAAGGTTCGCTCCTTCTGACCTACGAGAGGCTCCTTGTTTCCTACAGCAATTTGTTTTACGCTCGCCATTTTGCTGTTGCTCCGTTTGGTTATTTATTTAGTAGTTGAGAGAACAGACCTGCCGACGGGGGGTGGGGGGGGGGGCAGATTGCCACCACTTGGTTAATGTAAAAAGTAGTGTGGGCGCCCCTGGTTTAAGGGGTGTTGTGTTAAATAAACCTGCTACTAAAACAGCTCCCCGACGTTGGAGCTTTTCTCCACATTCCTGCGGGCTCCTTGTGAGCCGTTGCTTCAGTGTCTCTACTGGACAGCGTCAAGTTACATAAAAACACACAAGTGCTCGTGTGCCACAGCTTTACTGGTGTTTGGTGTTTACTGTGGGGTCATTTCTTGCAAGCAAAAATTACTTTTTTTTTAAAAAGGGGGTTTTGGGTAAAATCAAAATTTTTTCCTCCCGAAAAGAGGGAAACTTTGGGTTTTTTTCCAAAGGGGGGGAAATAAAGCCCAGGGCTCGGCCACATGGGAAATAAAGGCTCGGGGCCGCCCCCCTTGGAACTAAAAGTCAGGGGCCCTCACCCTGGGAACTAAAAGTCAGGGGCCCTCCCCCTGGGAAACAAAGGTCCAGGGCTGTCCACCGTGTAACTAAAGCTCAAGGGCTTGTCCCCTGGGAACAAAAGCTCAGGGTCAGTCACCATGGTAACTAAAGCTCAGGGTCAGTCACCATGGTAACTAAAGCTCAGGGTCAGTCACCATGGTAACTAAAGCTCAGGGTCCATCTCCATGGTAACTGAGCCTGTGAACATCACCTGGTCGGGAGCAGGTTTTCTTTCTCCTTCCACAGGCTCCTCCCTCTGACAGCAGCCCAGCCAATCACACAGCGCGCTTTACTTTCCTCATTCATTCATTCACTCTGTATCGGTTTCCACATATTAACAAAATAAGATGTTACGTTAAAGACCAAAGTGTTTTCTGGAACACGTTGCGTCCTTTTATGGACGATCCTGTTAATGAAGAAGCGCTTTTACTTTGCAGGGTGTCAAACACGTCAGGAGAGAATTAGAATTAGATTTAACTAGAATTAGAAAAATATATTGTAGATAGATTAGATCGATATAATTAGATATATTGTCATTTCCAGATGACTACTTCTTTGAACAGTATCGTTTTTCCTCACACTCCATCAAATATGTCCATGACCTCAGCCGTCCTCATAGAAGTAACGTCTCCCATCGTGAACGTGCTCTCACATACGAGCACATTCTTTGTGTAGTATTACGTGTTTTCCTTTACAACATATTTATTTATTTATTATACCAATGGTATTGTTCTTGTGATTAAATATGAGCATGTGTGTGTATTTCAAGCCTGTGTGTAGTGCATTCTAACAAACACTGGGAATTAGTAAAACGTATGGATTATGATTAGTGTACATTAAATATTAACTGACATCACTATATTAGAACTTACTCACTTTCTCTTGCTGCAGCAGCGTCTTGCTTTTCTTTCTAATTACGGGTTGATACTCGTATGCTTGCATTGATATTTAAACATCATACTTGAAACGGACCCCCAGCCAAATACGGCTTACTTATATGTTGCTGATACACAACGTCATAAGGCTGTTCCAAAGTGAGAAACGACAATGTCAAAGTATAATTTACACTTTGACATTGTTTTATGAGCACACAGTATGAGAAGATAATTATCACATTCTTCAGGGATTAATCTGATTTACGGTGTTATTTTGTAATTATGTGTTGACTGTATTACTTAATGATGAATCTTCATACACAGAACCTTCAGTTTGAGAGGCTTCTCTGATAATGCATATATTCATAATGATGAATTAAGATTAAACGATATCTGGTCGATAGGTGAGAACTCATGTTGAATATTTGATGTCTATGTTTAATGAGGTCTCATGTTAAATAGTTGATATCTTCGTGTACATGGTTACAGTTGTTCCTGCTGTCAATGGGATAAATGGATGGAATGAAAGTTCAACACCAGCTGGTCCTGTAGAACCTTCAGGAGCAGTGACTCTTTGGACCTGAAGGGGGCAGCAGAGTCACTGGGGAGAACAGAGTGTCTCATAATGATAACTAGAAAATACTTCGGCCACTAAATAATAATTATAATCAGCATAGTGGCATTGAATATTAATAATAATAATCAGCAGTCAGACACTTCAATAAAAAGTCACGGCAGTATTCCCAACTATCAATAAAAATCAAACTAAATCTGAATAGGTAAAATTAATTAGTTAGTATTACATTACATTAATTAGTAATATTAATGTATTATTAATAGTATATAATAGGATGTTAGAATTATTTAGGTATATGCCTTTAGGTAATTATCCAACTTTAACATGAATGTAACTTATATGTAATAATATTCTTCGGATCTCATTTATACAATCACAGTTAATCACAGTTACGGAAGGAACGTTTTCCTGTAACACAGTAAGCTTTCTGCAGAAGAAGAACAAGTCTTTACTTTTACATTTTAACTTCATAATATCTGATCTTGCTCTTTATTGATCTCTATTGCAAAAAAACAGGACATGACGCATTTTCCGGTTACGTCACAACAGTGTGAAGTTCCGGTGAGGAGCAAAAGATCAGCAGCGCCGTTAGAAACGCGGCCGCTTTTGTTCTTTACGGGAACCAGCTCATCTCCAGTCCGAAGGAGAGCAGCGACGTGCCGCCGCAGATATGCCTGAAAGTGAGTCCGATCTCCGGGAGTCTGTTAGCGAGGTTCCGTTAGCACGCTAACGTATTAGCATGTGTTAGCAATACGCTAGCCAGTGTTAGCTCAATATATGCAGTTAAGTTCAATAATAACACAAAAGATGAAAGTTGATTTAAAAATACGCTTTTTTATTTATTAACCAGAAGAAACGCCGAGTAGTTGCTTTTAATGAAGCAAAGTTAGCTACATTAGCTTAGCTTAACCGTACTCTAGCATCACAACAACACAAGTCTTGCTCGTCGGCAGAGGCTCGGATCACGTGATGAATATGATTGTTATAACAGACATATTACAAGTTAATGTACAGCGTGGAGTGCTATTGTACGAATACACAATGTCACACCACGATAGAACCCAAATATCGATCGGAGCAGATCAATCGATCAGCTAATCTACAGAATATCGATTGATCTATTCTGGAATCTAATTTTATACATTACTATACCTCAGAGGTACATGTACTACTCTTTATACTCTGCTGTACTACACCGTAACAAACATATTATGTTTTACAGTACTAATGTCACAGACGTATATATATATAGTACTTGTTAAATACTCCTCTGTGTACAGCTGAGAGTTACTCCAACCCTTTGGCCCCTGAGGGCCACGAGCTAGACGACCATCGAGCCGCTGCTCAGTGAGTATTAGTACATGATTTGTGTGTTTCCTGGAAGTCAGGTTTCACCTGAAACTCGGAGAGTGTCTCATGTTTGCTAATGATGCTCCTCAGATCCAAACTGACCAATGACGACTTCAGGAAGCTCCTGATGACCCCGAGGGCGACGCCCTCCTCAGCCCCGCCATCCAAGTCCAGACACCATGAGTGAGTATCTACCTGGTCTGGTCCTCCAACAAGGCCACAGGCTGATCCCAGTGGTCCGTCCTACGGGGGACTTCCTGCTTGTGTCATCAGCCTTAGCCCTGCTGCTCCCGTTGCCTAGCAACCTGCTGCGCTTAACAATAAAAGCCTTTAAAGCCGAAAAACTTACACATAATGAAGATAATTTTCTTATTTCATTTAATTTAGGAAGATACGCTTCTCCTCCGGAGCATGATAGCGGATATTTCAGGCTGAGATGAGAACATTTTTCGGTTATTTTAAAATCAATTAAAATAGGGCTGCAACAACGAATCGATAAAATCAACTATTAAAAGCGTTGGCAACAAATTTCATTATCGATTCGTTGTGTCGCGCGATTATTATGTCACTCAATGAGTTGCAGAGATGCGCGCGGAGCAAAAAAATAAATAAAGGCGCCAAGCCGACGTGGAGGAAAGAGCAGCCGGCAGTTGTTGTGAGTCACATGACGCAGGGAGAGACGTCTGTTCGACTAGTCGTCTAAGGTGTGCGAGCATGGGGGTCCCGCTCCACGTTGCCCCTTTTTTCAATGTGTTGTAGGATATTTTGTGCTTTGTCCCATATCGGTTATTGTTGACAAATATATTTATATAATAATATATATATATTATTTATTTATATTTATTTATTTATATAATAAATATATATTTATTTAATATATCCTGTGGGTTATACGGTAGTTGATGTTACGCCTGTAAAGGGAGACACATGTGGTGATCCATTAAATCAAGAAGCCTCTAATGCATTTATTTACAAATGCCATTTTAAATTCATATCATAGCACTTGGTTGTTTTTTAGCTGTATACATTTACTTAACTTGCACTACAATGATGGTAATAATTTAATGAATATGCTTCAAGTGAACATGAGGGTGTGTTTGTGAGTGTAGTATAGAGAACTAGTTCTGACGAATTGAGGTTCTGTTTTAGAATAAAGGGTTGGAAATTAAAGCTTTTTAATGCCGTTTAAAAAAGCAGCCAAACAATTAAATCAGTTATTGTATAATACTTTACTCATTTATAATTGCTTTCAGTTAATAGTAATATTGCAATCTTAAGGCAGAGGAGATTCAAACAATGTTGTCAATAAAAACCACAACAGCAAACACATTTATTTACTACTTTTTTATTGCATAGGATACGAGCTGTTTTCACTGTAAAATATTACAGAATGTGTCCACGCTACAGCAGCTGAATGTCAACACACACACACATCGTTCTCCTTCAGCTTGATGCTTCCTGCTCCATAAAACACAACTAAATGTAAAGTTAGTTTATAATAACACTACAAAACAAAAGCAGCAAAGAGTTCAGTTTCTTTGTGTATTTATTCTGTAACATTACTGACTTCAACGCGCCTCATCTGTCAGAGGCGACCGCGTATGCGTGGGGACCTTTCTCTAATTCTCACAATACCAAAGTCATCTGGCGGGCCGCACAAACCCCTGCGGCACGCCAGATTTGCTCGTGGAGAGCTCGTCCCTCGGCCGTGTTCGGAGGAGCCAAAGCAACGACCAAGTGGTACGAAATCAGAAGTGACTTATGCGGTCAACAAATGCGTCCTTAAGGATGCAGCCTGTCAGCAAGCGATGATGATGATGATGATAATGGTGGAAGTAACTAGATCATTATTGTCCCTCCCAGAATGCCAAAGGATTACAACGAGGATGAGGATCCCGCAGCGAGGAGGAGGAAGAAGAAGAGGTTAGCGTATTGATCAGATAACTTCTTATTGATTTATATAATAAATCTTGACACTCAATCTATTCCTCAGAGCCTCATGAGTGCCATTTAATCCCATCATGTTATTTTCCCTTACAGCTACTATGCTAAGCTACGTCAGCAAGAGATGGAGCGGGAGCGAGAGCTGGCCGAGAAGTACAGAGACAGAGCAAGAGAGAGACGTGACGGAGTAAACAAAGACTACGAAGAGACCGAGCTGATTAGTACCACTGCTAACTACAGAGCTGTAGGACCCACCGCTGAGGCGTGAGTAATGCTACTGCTAACAGAGCTAACACCGCCACTAACTACAGAGCTATATGATCCTGAGTAATGCTAATGCTAACAGAGCTAACACCACTGCTAACTACAGAGCTGTAGGACCCACCGCTGAGGCGTGAGTAATGCTACTGCTAACAGAGCTAACACCACCGCTAACTACAGAGCTGTAGGACCCACCGCTGAGGCGTGAGTAATGCTACTGCTAACAGAGCTAACACCACCGCTAACTACAGAGCTGTAGGACCCACCGCTGAGGCGTGAGTAATGCTACTGCAAACAGAGCTAACACCGCCACTAACTACAAAGCTATATGATCCTGAGTAATGCTAATGCTAACAGAGCTAACACCACTGCTAACTACAGAGCTGTAGGACCCACCGCTGAGGCGTGAGTAATGCTACTGCTAACAGAGCTAACACCACCGCTAACTACAGAGCTGTAGGACCCACCGCTGAGGCGTGAGTAATGCTACTGCTAACAGAGCTAACACCACCGCTAACTACAGAGCTATATGATCCTGAGTAATGCTAATGCTAAGAGACCACTATGGCGTGCATGTATTCGTTATTCGTACTTGTAGATTTACTGTGTACGTTTCAGAGACAAGTCAGCGGCAGAGAAGCGGCGTCAGCTGATCCAGGAATCTAAGTTTTTGGGAGGTGACATGGAGCACACTCACTTGGTGAAAGGTCTGGACTTCGCTCTGCTGCAGAAGGTGATTATTTAATTCTAGTTTATGCTTCTGCGTTTCCAGAGCGACGCAAGGAAACGCAGACCCAAGAGCCCCCTGCGTGTCCCCTGCGTGTCTTTTCACGCCTCCTTGCGTGCGTCGACCCATTTTTCTAGACTAGCGCCTAAAGCGACGCAGCACCAGGCTGTGATTGGTCTGCTGACTACGTCCTTTACGGAGTCTCACGTCTCCGTTTTCACAGCACAATACGGCCGTTATTAAAAGGAAGAACGTTTACGAGAGAACGGATCAGATTGAAGAGCTTTTGTGTGAAGAAATGCCTTTACACTTAATGGTACATTTAGCTTCATGGTCCACAATAAAAACGTTGCTGCTATGATAGCTACTGTGTGTGTGTGTGTGTGTGTGTGTGTGTGTGTGTGTGTGTGTGTGTGTGTGTGTGTGTGTTACAGGTGAGAGCTGAAATCACTAGTAAAGAGAAAGAAGAAGAAGACATGATGGAGAAAGTCCAGAAGGAGGCAAAGTATGAGTAAATAATAATCGTCAACTTGTCAATAGAGATTTTTTCCAAAGAACTGATGAGACTTTGACGTCTGACTCTTTAAGGAAAGACGTGGAGCCGGAGGAGAAGATCGAGTTCAAGACTCGTCTCGGTGAGTTTAGTCAGCTGATTATGATGATGATGATTATTGGTCCTCAGCCTCTAACCCTCTCAATGTTCCTGACCATGTGTTCCTCAGGGAGGAACATCTACCGCGTGGTGTTCAGGACGGGACAGGTGGAGAGGAACGAGCTCTTCCTCCCCGGCAGGATGGCTTACGTGGTCGACCTGGACGACGAGTTCACCGACACTGACATCCCCACCACGCTTATCCGCAGCAAAGCCGACTGTCCGAGCATGGAGGTACCGACTCTCCTACCACTCTGCTCCTGAGCGCTTATCAATATGATTTCAATAGGGTAACTTCTCGTTGTCTCTCAGGCTCAGACGACTCTCACCACCAACGACATCGTGATCTCTAAGCTGACTCAGATCCCTGTCCTACCTCAGGCAGGGAACACGACACAAGAAGATCAAGAAGAAGGACAAAGGTGACATTCATGGTCTGAGCCTCTCGGAGTGTACTCATCCCTCTGGACACTTTGACTGAGGAGAGCAGTCATTAAGGAGGAAGCGAGGAGACGTGAAGGATAAGGAGTTAGTGAAAGATGAGGAGACACCGAGGAGAGAAGGCATGAGTGATAAGGAGACGTGAGGGGAGGAGTTACTGATGAGGGATGAGGAGATGTTACGGGAGAATAGAAGACATGAGAAGATGTGAGGGGAGGAGTCACTGAGGAGACCTGATTTATTAATTAACTGTTTGTTGCAGGTAAACTGGATGAGAAGAGAGCTCCTGAGGCTGATCTGAGGTCAGTTTGCAAACAACGACATGTGACTCCCCGTGGTTCAGAAACCCTCTTTTAATCTGTCTCCCTGTTTGTGCTTTAGTATCTTTGAGGACATCGGTGATTACATTCCGTCTGCCACCTCCTGCTCCAAACCTCCCAAAGACAAAGAGAGACACCGGGAGAGGGAGAGGGAGAGAGAGAGGGAGAGAGAGCGGGAGAGGGAGAGAGAAAGGGAGGAGGACAGCAAGAACAGGAGACACAGTTACTTTGAGAAACCACAAGGAGACGAGCACCAGGTGAGATTTAATGTCATTGATGTTTGTATTAATGTCATTGTTGTTGTTGAACTAACTGTCTGTCTGTGTCCGTAGGTCCTGGAGGTGGATGAAGGTAAATGACTTCATTTAAACCACCTGACATCTATATAACATATATAATCACAATGTTCATAGATAACATCTATAATATTGCATTTATGTAACATATCTGTAAAGATACTTGTATAACATATTTTAAATGATATACTTCTATAAGATATATGTAAACATTATACTTATGCTATTTTAGTGTTTACAGATATGTTGTATATGTAACAGATATGATTTTCTCCACATAGTAATAAAAACAAAGAGTAGAAGACGCCTTTCCTGGGTCACGGGTGGCCCTCGGGTGGTCGGGGACATAGTTTTATTTGCGGCGTGCTGCCGAGCTTTGCGTTGGGACTTGAAGGAGCGAGCGGTTTGTGGAGTAATGAGTCGTTGCAGCGCGGGAGGTGCATGTGCAGTGATGCATTTGAGGAGGAGGACTTTGGTATCTGGAATGAGACCGGGAGCCAGTGTAGTGCGAGTAGGACAGGAGTTATGTGCCATGTTTCCTCTGATCAGACTCCTGGCATCACTGTTTTTCTGGATGCTCTTCCAGTGATCACTATCCGCAACACCCTCGATTTACAATTGTGATGTGTGCCCATCGGGGAGGAACTGCCATGCGCTGCAAAAAGAACTTCACATGATGAAAGGGGGTATTTGATATGGTCATTAAAGGTCAGGTGAGGGTCTGATTAGTGACGGAGGCGGAGAGGGATAAGACCGGACTGTCAAAGGTCCGGTGAGTGATGGAAGATGACTGAACCTGGTGTGCAGAGCCAACAAGGAGAGCTTCGGTTTAGACACGTGGTGAGACGTGGCTGCACAGGGGCTTGCAGCAGTTGTGTGTCGTCAGCATAACGGTGAAAGGACACCGTATGTCTGCTGATGACACGACCGAGAGGGAGTAAATAATGTATGAGTACATGTAAATAATGAATAGGATGGGGCCGAGGACCAGGGAACACCACAGGAGACGGGGAGCTGTCTGGACTGGCATCTTCCCAGTGAGACATATTCAGTTCTGCCAGAAAGGTAGAACTGGAACCATTTGGGTGCAGAGTCCAATGGTGGTGTGGAGGCGTTCACGCAGCATCGTGTGATCCACACAGCCGGACTGAAGGGAAAGGTTAACGACTGGTGATGGGAGGACTGACTGTTGGTATATGTGAGCAGAGCAGAGCAGTGGCGGCCAGGATTCAATTTTTCGGAGGATTTCCTCAACCTCAGTGAGATGTAGAGGAGACGGCACACTGGCAGAGGTGTTGGTGAAGATGAAGAGCTGAACATCACAGAGCGAATGTAGTTGACCGTGGATCTGTAAAGGTCAATGAAGCTGTTGTACTCCTTTGTAGCCTCAGTTGAAGAGGATGCAGGCTTTCTCCGTGCAGGTCTGGCCCGGATGGAGTAGTCTCCTGGTTTATGCCATGGAGACGGTGTGTTTAGCAGCTCCACAGTGATAGGAGACGGAGCTGGGGGGGAAGTCTGCCTAATACACTGCGATCCACTCCATGTTTCCCGGTCTGTTTTTCAAAATCCCACAGTCCTGATCGCTATAAACGCCTCGTCTGATGGAACCAAGAAGCTGCGCAAACGCCAAAGGTGGCATTTTTTGAGCACCTTAACAAATTCTGCCAGGGTCACGGATGCGATTAAGCCATGCGAGTCTAGTAGAACCCGGCTGGTACAGTGAAACTGCAAATGGCTCATTAAATCAGTTATGAAACATTATTATCTTTAAACATCTATACATTAGAATTCCCTGTTAGTTTGGTATTTTTATAACTTATCTAATAATATTTTATTTTTATTATTAAACATTTACTTTAATATGGATTATTTGTGAACATGAGTTACACCATTAAAACCATGTTGAATTTGTGGTTAACATACAATATATATAAAAATAATAATACATAATATTCAAAGTAGGATTTCATTCACTGGTTTTCTAGCTTGTGACATGTGATCCGACTGAAGACGAACACAAAAAGATGCTCACTAACTCATGATTGTGTGCTTGTGACCCACAGGTCCTGGATCAGTCAGAGATCAGATCAAAGTAATCAATGAGAAGTTTGCTGGAGCAGCCGGCAGCCAATGGCCTGGTCAGGAACCATATCCTTCTGGGACACATCTGATCTATGTTCTGTCTTTGTAGGCGTGACTCTGACTCCTACTGCTTCATTTAACATGTCTAGATATTAAACGATTAGGCTGGAATGAAGCCACGCCCACTTCTTGTTGACTACCTAGCTTTACATTTATTTGTTGTTGTCCAAAATCATTAATTGGTAGTACTGCTGCTGTATTGGTCCTTAACCGATTTGAACTGGAGAGAGGCGAGGCGGCAAAGAACAACTGGGCGATTTCTTTGGAGGCTCCAACTCGTACGCGGAGTGTTACCCGGCTACGTAAGATACCCACACGCATGCAGCACGTAGACCTATAGCGTGTAAAGTGCTTCTTTACATGTGTGACTGAGCGTCTGTGTGTGTACAGCATGGACGACCTGGCTGTGGACAGTGATGAGGAGGTGGACTATAGTAAGATGGACCAGGTACCTTTTTAAACATTTTCTAACCTGAACAAACTTAACCCAGTACAGCGTAATAGTACTAGGTTATAGTACTTCTTGTACTACATGTTACCCCTTTTCCTGCGTGTGTCCTTGATGGTTGTTTGACCAATGTTGCTTTTAAACCTGCTTGTGTGTTTTAGGGAAATAAGAAGGGTCCTCTGGGTCGATGGGACTTTGACACGCAGGAGGAATATTCCGATTACATGAACAACAAGGAGGCGCTGCCAAAGTACGTCTGCTCTTAGCGACGACCTGCTGTTTTGATGATGGCGATGATGCTTAACTAACTTCTCCGTGCAGGGCGGCCTTCCAGTATGGCATCAAGATGTCTGAGGGCAGAAAGACTCGGCGCTTCAAAGAGACCAACGAGAAAGCAGAACTGGACCGACAGTGGAAGAAGATAAGTGCTGTGAGTTATTTGTCGATCACTTTGACATCATTGTTTACAGTCTGAGCTGAGAACATATCGTTTTAGAAAAATGGACCCAGAGTTTCTATGGTAACGAATAAACTGTATTTCAGATCATTGAGAAGAGAAAGAAAATGGAAGCTGATGGGTGAGTGGTTCCTGTTTATTCATGTATACAACCAGAATAAGACCACTACAAGGGGTCCGTTTCAAGTCGGAGGTTTAACAAACTCTGAGTTTCTGGTGTCAGAACAGCTGTTCAGAGCTGGTTCGATCATCTCGAGTAGGTTGACTCAGAGTTGAGCGGCTGCACCAGTATGAAGGCAGCATGAATAAGCGAGTTACCATGGCAACAACCACAAACAATACATTCACCCCTATTGAGCTGCACATATTAATGTAAGCGTACGAGTATGAACCCGTAATTAGAAAGAAAAGCAGCTGCAGCAAAAGAGAGAAACGGTGTAAGTTCTAATATAGTGTCAGTTAATATTTAATGTACACTAATCATAATCCATACGTTTGACTAATTCCCTCTGTTTGTTAGAATGCACTACACACAGGCTGGAAATACACACACAGGCTCATATTTAATCGCTGGTATAAGCTGTACGATGGTGTTGGACCTGTAATGTGTCCTTCAGGTGCGTCCTGTGGGACTCCTCCTTAACGTCTCACTGGTTTGTGTCCAACAAAAAGGTTTAAAAGACGTTTCTCACGGCTCTGCATGCAGCAGCTTTACTGATATTCTAATGTTGTAAAGGGAAACACGTGATACTACACAAAGAATGTGCTCGTATGTGAGAGCACGTCCACCATGGGGACGTTACTTCTATGAGGACGCGTGAGGTCATGGACATATTTGATGGACTGTAGGGGTGTGACGATTCATTTTAACAACGATTCGATTCGAATCACGATTCATGGTTGCCGATTCGATTCATGGACGATTTGGGTTAATTTAGAACGATTCGATCCGATTCAGTGACTTGAAATCGATTCAGTAACTTTACTGGACATGTCTCAGTGTAGAACTGCCGTGCGTGGGGAAAATGTATTATATTTTTATTCCATACTTTTTCTAGTGGGGTCGACTGCTGGTGTACCGCCAGGAAAAGACTGGTAGAAGATAAATAAATGGATGGTAGGCTGTTAACACATTTAAACTTGTTTCTGTTTCAGGGTGGACATTAAAAGGCCCAAATACTGAGGACGTCCTCGTACTCTGCTGCTCTCCTTCAGGATTAATAGTGATCAGTTATTTATCTGTGATGTGATTATTAGTTCTAGTTGAAAACCTTTAAAGATCAGCTGTGGTTTTAGCGTCAATAAACTCTTCAAAGTTTAAAAACTCCTTGTCTGTTAATAACCTGAAAGCTATAATATCAACTTGTGATGTTATTGATTAGTTTGATATTTTATGTTATTGAATCATTAAACTTGTATGAGAGCGGTTTTGTTTTTTCTCAACTACTATATCTTCGCTATTCTCACAATACAAAACATAATCACAGTAAACTCCATGTGTGTGTATCCATCCATCCATCCATATATATATATATATATATATATATATATATATAATCTCGTCATCACTGACTTTTGACCCTAACATCGGCACGGGAAAAAAAACGTCCCCAAAACTGAGTACGTATACGTACGTGATATATATGACACAAGTAATTGTACACGTTTATGTACAGGTTTATATAAACGTACCCTGATTCTGATTGGATGACTCTGCGTGTCACGTGACGTGTTTTACCGCTGTCAACATGGCCGCCGAGGATCTGCCGTCTGAATTTGACGTCGTCATTTTGGGCACAGGTATGTAAACGAATGCGTTTTATAATCTATTACTACCAGAGTTATGTATCTGAACGAGCCTTTGGGCGGTCTGGCTCCTTTTTGGTTCCTAAAAATCCTTGAAACCCGGTTTAGATCGGCCCGCAGGCCCTGGTTACGCTGGGTTGTAGCTGGAGGCTAATGTCCTATTCATTATGAATGACAGAGGCTAGCAGCTAACGCTAAGTCTGCCGAGTCAGCTAATGGGAATAACAAACATCCTGTTGTTGATATTAGCAACGAAGCAAACGTTAGCCTCATACTTTACAGTATTTCATTCCAGTGCTTCAGCTTAATGCTAAGTTTAGCTACTAAGTTAATGAGAGCTGCATTGTAACTATAATGCTATCAGTTAGCATTGTGAATACGCCGTACAGTGACGTGAGGCTAATCATTGAGTTCTGGTGCTTCCTGTTACAGCGGTACTGTTACAGAACAACATATTGACTCAATTACTGTTACAGAGGAACTGTCATTCTAGTACTGTTACTATAGTATAACTACTGTTCCTGTTGTACTAATACTGCAGTATTGTCACTACAGTAGTGGTATGAGGTACTTTTACTTTACTCTCTTATCCTTAATAAATCTTTTTACTGTATTACATCTTCGAGGCACATGGTGTTGTTTATACTACTTTTGTCTTCCAGCTTGAGTTTCTTCTCAGGTGAAATATGTCTCCAGGAGTGTTGATAGAATCCAATAAAATGGAAGAATGAAGTGTGAAGAGCCCAAACTACTGCGTAGTATAATGTGTGCTGCACTTTTCCATTATACATTATTACTTGTGTTTCCCAGGTCTTGCTGAGTCGGTCGTAGCAGCGGCTTTCTCCAGAGTCGGCCAGAGAGTTCTTCACATCGACAGGTCACTTCTCGGCCTTTTAATTACACTTTCAGTTTTGTATGCATTAATATGATGATATATAATGTACTGTGAAACGTGTGTGTGTTCAGGAGGAGTTATTATGCTGCTAACTGGGCCAGCTTCACCTTTAACTCTCTACTGACCTGGATACAGCAGCACCATGTGAGTACGTAGCTGCTCTCTGATTGGCTGCTGAGTGGGTCCAATTCATATTCTTTATATACTTTGTATGCATTCATTACTAGGATTCTCACGATAGCAAAAGTCTGACTTTGATACAATAGCTGCCATAAGAATCACGATACCCGATCCGTACGATACACAATACTGATACGATACTGGTATATTTAGCTATAATAGTAATACATAAAACATCTGTATGTCGTCATATATGCTGCCATCATAGTTTATTATAGATTATACATTATAAATCAAAGTACTAACCAAAGTACTTCCACATTTCCCTTCTGGCATCCTTTTTACCAACCAATCTCCCCCTGAACCCGACCCTCGGACTTAACGGTCCCCTGCTGAGTGGTTGATTGTGGGGCTGTCTACCAATATTCTATATTTGAATATATATTTAAATAGTTGTTAAAAACAACTATTCGAATGTGAAAATGAATATTCAAATGTAAAAAAACAACAACACAACATCGGCAGAGGCGCGGCTGTCTGCTTAGCGGGTGGACGCGCGCCCGTACTGACTGTATATCGCATGAATACAATATACTAGATCGGCTACAACAGCTTCATGCACTAGTTTGGTTCTTTGCCGTTTCATGCCAATGAAAAGTTCTGTGTTTACAGCACAGCTCGCTCAGCGTTCAATGTCGCTACTGTAAAACCTTCAGTTTCAATCACTGAATGAAGCCGAACGTATTTGGGACAAGAATCGCGACCTTAAATTGCTGACACAAAACTCCTGATCAGAACTCAGCATTCGTTTATTGTTGTCGTTCATTTAAACCGCACTTGCTGCCCCATATCACCATGACAACATCCCAAAATATGATTTACAATGGAGGGGATTTAATTTAATTCTTTTTACTCTCTGATTTAATCGTCGTTCTGGCTCATAAAATCAGAGGTAATTTAAAATGTTTTAAAAGTTTTATATTTTATGAATCGGTGAATGAACATCGTCAGATTATTTTTTCTCCATCTTTGACCCCTGATTATTTAAATGTGTACATTTTCTTTCGTCAGTCTGAACACACGTGTGCTGTCTTCGTTGTTTACCTTTTGTTACACGGCTCATCCCCATTTGACCTGTTTGGCTGTTTTTGGCCTCTGCTCCGAAAATGGCTTAACAATAATAAAACGTGTAATAATTGTAACTACTTTGTCTATCGGGACATTTTTATTCCGTGGGGATAAATTGAACCCCTGTGATTGTTCTGATGTGTAAAAAACAGAATCTGGATATTTTAACTCGGCTCTGGGAGGCCGATTTGCCCCTTTTACCACTTTTTCTGAATTGCCTAATCCCATTGAATCCAACTAAAGCCACACAGAAATGATTGACAGCTTCCTCAGCCACTTGGGCAGAGCGTCCCATGAGGCTGAACCTTCCCCCTATTTGTGCTCTGTTTTTTAGTACTGATACACCGTACAACATTATTCATTAACGTTACATTCTTTACTGCCTCTACCTTATGTACTGTGCTAAGTACACACTACAGGTAAATGAGTAACTCAGTTAAATACAGTGAAGGAAAGTATACAATTAGGAATATGAAGTAAACGGCTGTACAGTCATCAAGGTTTACGGAGCTTTTCCTCATGCGAAGGTCACAATAACGTCAATTACTTTGAAAGTACTCTGTTGCATTAAAAGTACTCTTTTAAAGTACTTTGTTAGAGTACAAGTGCTACCACACAGAGTACAAAGTTACTGTGAAAATACTTTGTTACCTCAGAGGTACTATAGGCACAGTCAAAGTACAAGTACTTTTTTATAGTTAAATTACTCTGTTAGAGTGAAAATACATAATCAAATAAATCTATTACATTAAAAAAAGTAATGTAGTGCTTTCAAAGTAATCCGTCATATTAGATTTATTCTGTTGTATTAGAAGTACTTTGTTGCAGCAAAAGTAATCTGTTACTTTGAAAGTAATTGATTATGTTGAAATTACTGTACTGTCAGTAGTCACACAATGATACTACTACTACTACAACAGAGTACTCTGCTACAAGGAAAATACTTCAGTGAAAGTATCAAATCAACGCAATCTGTAACATTATTATTTTGAAAGTCATTTATTTTCCAATAGTATATTAAGAAAGTAATGTTACACTGGAAGTGATTTCTTACACTAATATGTTACTTTGAAAGTGATCTGTTACATTATAAGTCATTTTTTTAAGCATTCGTTTTTTATCATTTCCGCTTTACTGAAGAACAAATTTGAATCGTCATAACAGCCAAAGCCGTCGTATAAGTACTCTTTTTTTATTTTATTAGAACTAATCTGTTATTTATACACATACAAAGTACTCTGTCACAGTGATAGTAGTCTGTTACATTAGAAGTACTCTGTTATATTAGAATAGGGGTATTTTTATAGAAGGTAAAGGAGGTATAATTCATCCCAAAGTGTTGTTATTTTTTTGAAGTAAACTACAGTCAACATCCATCCATCCATCCATCTTCAACCGCTTATCCGGGGTCGGGTCGCGGGGGCAACAGCTCCAGCAGGGGACCCCAAACTTCCCTTTCCCGGGCCACATCTACCAGCTCTGACTGGGGGATCCCAAGGCGTTCCCAGGCCAGTGCAGAGATATAATCTCTCCACCTAGTCCTGGGTCTTCCCCGGGGCCTCTTCCCAGCTGGCCGTGCCTGGAACACCTCCCTAGGGAGGCGCCCAGGGGGCATCCTCACCAGATGCCCAAACCACCTCAACTGGCTCCTTTCGACGCAAAGGAGCAGCGGCTCCTTTGACTACAGTCAACAGATGATACTAATCCTACGTGTGTGTTGTAGGAGGAGCCTCAGCCAGAAGAGCTTCAGGATTGGTCCAGCCTGTTGGAGGAAGGGGAGGAGCTGATCTACCTGTCAAACTCTGACTCTGCCTCCATCAGAAACGTGCAGGTGTTCTGCTTCACCAGGTGATCCTCCTCCTCCTCCTCGGGCTTCAGTTGATCAAATGTTCTGTTCGAGAGCTCAAATAAACCTGATGATCTACAGCAAATTGTAAATTGGCTTATTTGATGAAATCACACTTTCTTGTTCCTCTGAGTTTGTGTCCTTGTGGTTAAATGTTCTTATTGTAAGTCGCTTTGGATAAAAGCGTCAGATAAATGTGATGTGATGATTGAAGACCATCTCGGTTCCTCAGACCCTTTTAAACAGTCTCGTTAGTTTCAACCGTACGTCAGTCATCAGGATAATAAGTTGTTAATGTTGCTCAGTGAAGAAGACGAAGAGGAGGGAGCTCCAAGCACCAAAGAAGACGACCGAGGAGCAGCCGATGGAGACGCTGTTAAAGAAACGCCAGAAAGTCAATCTGCAGGTTTGCTTCTGACCAAATATTCAGTCTAAAACATTTAAATACAATCCAAATAACTTTCTTTGATTGGTTTGTTTCCTTCTAGATGCAAAAGATAAAGCAAAAAAACAAAAAGCAGAGGAGGAGGAGGAGGAGGAGGAGGAAGAACAGGTGAAAATTCATTTCAGCTGTTTTCATTTCTGCTTTTTCAGCAAATCTCTGGAAACTCCTTTCAGCTTCTCCCGTTTCTGTATTTTCAGCAATTTTCTGAAATTCATTTCAGCTTTTAGCATTCAAACGCCTTTTCAGCAGGAAATGCGTTTTCTTTATATAACATATTCGTTTTTAAACTGTAGGCGTCCCTGCTGTATGTTATACCACTATTTTTCACAGTTCTGAATTATGTTTTGACCAATCACACAGGCCTCCCAAACAAAGGGGGAGGAGCTGTCCGCTGCTCAGAGCCAATCGGAAGCAACCAGGAAGAAGATCAGCTACGCTCAACTGGTGAAGGAAGGACGCAGGTTTAACATCGACCTGGTCTCCAAGGTAACGCCATTTAATACAACACAACAATGATTAAATGAATTCGAGCAATGTTACAACATGATGTTAAATCATGAATATTATTGTAGTTATTTAGTTGGTAAACGTTCTTCCTCCAGCTGTTATACTCTCGCGGCTCATTGGTCGACCTGCTCATCAAATCAAATGTCAGTCGCTATGCAGAGTTCAAGAACGTCACCAGGATACTCACGTATCGCCATGGAAACGTGCAACAGGTTTGTACAATATCTCTGTATACCTGTCTGTTCACCTTTGAGGTGACTTTTTATTTATTTGTGTGTGTGTGTGTGTGTGTGTACATACCTCCCTTTATCTCTCTGTGTATGTACATCTCTCCTCACCTGTCTGTCTCTCAGGTGCCCTGCAGCAGAGCTGATGTGTTTGCGAGTCGTCAGCTGTCTGTTGTCGAAAAGAGGAAGTTGATGCGTTTCCTGACTTCTTGTGTCGAGGAAACGGACGAGCAGCGAGGTAAGACACCTGTCTAAAGCCTAGTGTATGCTTCTGCCTTTCCAGAGCAACGCAAGGACACGCAGACGCAAGAGCCCCTCGCGTGTCGCTTGCGTGTCCCCTGCGTGTCCCTTGCGTGTCTTTTCACGCCTCCTTGCGTGCGTCGACCCATTTTTGTAGACTAGCGTCTAAAGCTTTGCAGCGTCCTGCAGCACCAGGCTGTGATTGGTCTCTGACTCCGTCCTTTACGGAGTCTCACGTCTCCGTTTTCACAGCACAATACGGCCGTTATTAAAAGGAAGAACGTTTACGAGAGAACGGATCAGATTGAAGAGCTTTTAAATATGAGCGCTTGTACAAGCCGTCATTGGCGGACTATGAGGACGCCGGATGGCCTCTGATTCATGGAGGGAGATCTCCACCAACGAGGGGACAAAGTCGTGGAGGAAAATACGGACAAATGTGTCCTTGATGAAAAGCAGCAGTGTGGATACACGGGGCAATAAAGTCTATGATCAATAAATAAAGCAACCAGCGACTTCCACACACAAAGACGTGACTCTCTAGGTCGTCTTCAAACACGTGACTCCACCTGTTGTTCTGGAGGTGAATCGCTCTGCAACACACGCACGACTTTACAACCAGGAAGTGAAACCAGTGCGCGCCAGCCTTAACTGCTTACACGGCAGCTCCAGAGGCATTGTGGGTAATGACGTCCTTACTTTTTGTTAACGCCAGCTTACAAAGCTCGTCCATATTTGGAGTTCCTGTATGACCAGCGGCTTGGTGAGAACTTGCAGCACTTCCTGTTCCACTCTATCGCCATGGCAACAGAAGACACAACCACAGAGGAGGGCCTCGCCTCCACGCGACACTTCCTGCGCTGCCTGGGTCGCTATGGAAACACACCCTTCCTGTTTCCGGTCTACGGCCTTGGAGAGATACCCCAGTGCTTCTGTCGGTAAGAACCATTTCACCAGGTCATTCTACCCGTGTGTCTGCCTGTCTGCCTGTCTGCCTGTCTGTCTGTCTGCCTGTCTGTCTGCCCGTCTGCCTGCCCGTCTGCCTGTCTGCCTGTCTGTCTGCCCGTCTGCCTGTCTGCCTGTCTGCCTGTCTGTCTGCCTGCCTGCCTGCCTGCCTGTCTGTCTGCCTGTCTGCCTGTCTGTCTGTCTGCCTGTCTGTCTGCCTGTCTGCCTGCCTGCCTGTCTGCCTGCCTGTCTGTCTGCCTGTCTGTCTGTCTGTCTGTCTGTCTGTCTGTCTGCCGACAGGGTTTACTCCTAAATATCTCACTGACGCAACAATGACCACATTTTTCTATGGACTCCTAGTTGATGACCTGAAGAATGCAAAGGCTCATCATCAGTTACACCCCCCCCCCCCCTCCTGTTTTTCAGGATGTGTGCTGTGTTTGGAGGAATCTACTGTCTGAGACATTCAGTCAACTGTCTGCTGGTGGAAAAGGACACAAACCGGTACTAATACTACAGATACTACCGTTGGTACTGATGGTACTTCATTGAGCTCTGGCTCTTTCTGTATGTGGTGTCTTTTGTTTGCCTATCGGTCTCCAGCCCTTTAAGGAGGCAGAGCCTCTTCACTAAAGCATGTTCAGCAGACCCCAACTTATGATCAGTGAAATATTCTATTCATGGTCCTCTCCCCTTTCTCTCAGGTGTAAGGCAGTGATTGACAGCCGAGGACAGCGAATTAGCTGCAGACATTTTGTTGTGGAGGACGGCTTTGTGGCAGTGGATCGTAAGAAGCGGGCCACACCCCCCAGGTCAGGGCCCATCAATCATCATCATCACATCTGCTGTTTAATGATACCCTAGCAACCAGCGACCTGCTGTTTACTGATACCCTAGCAACCAGCGACCTGCTGTTTACTGATACCCTAGCAACCAGCGACCTGCTGTTTACTGATACCCTAGCAACCAGCGACCTGCTGTTTACTAATACCCTAGCAACCAGCGACCTGCTGTTTACTGATACCCTAGCAACCAGCGACCTGCTGTTTACTGATACCCTAGCAACCAGCGACCTGCTGTTTACTGATACCCTAGCAACCAGCGACCTGCTGTTTACTGATACCCTAGCAACCAGCGACCTGCTGTTTACTGATACCCTAGCAACCAGCGACATGCTGTTTACTGATCCCTAGCAACCAGCGACATGCTGTTTACTGATACCCTAGCAACCAGCGACCTGCTGTTTAATGATACCCTAGCAACCAGCGACCTGCTGTTTACTGATACCCTAGCAACCAGCGACATGCTGTTTAATGATACCCTAGCAACCAGCGACATGCTGTTTAATGATACCCTAGCAACCAGCGACATGCTGTTTAATGATACCCTAGCAACCAGCGACATGCTGTTTAATGATACCCTAGCAACCAGCGACATGCTGTTTAATGATACCCTAGCAACCAGCGACCTGCTGTTTACTGATACCCTAGCAACCAGCGACCTTTGCAACCTTTGAATGAGACTAACCCTTTTGACACTTTGATCTCATAGTCACCTGTCTGGCTCTCTTCAGGTTTCTCTCCAGAGCCGTTCTCATAACTGACAGCTCTATTCTGCCCAGTAGCTCTGACCAACAGGTAAATCATCTCAATAAAACATTTATTATTTTATTGGTTTGATGTTCTGTCCGCTCTGTATTGTCATGTGGTAGTAAATTGTAATTCATAAGTCAGGTAAACAGGAATTCGATTAAAACAGCCTTGGAGTCCTAGGCTGAGGTGTGTGTGTGTGTGTGTCAGCCTGCAGTGTTCAGTAATACGATTAAACAAATCTGCTTCACACACTGCGGAGGTTTTTCATTAGAGGCTGTCTGTCTGCTGTCAGGTCTCCATGGTAACGGTTCCTCCTGTAGCAGCAGGTTGTCCCACGGTGAGGATGGTGGAGCTCTGTCCGTCCACCATGACCTGCATGGCAGGAACACGTGAGTCTCTCTGCTCAAAATATTATAAGAACAATATTACAAAGATGAAACGATTATCTGAGAATCCTCGAGGACAGCTGATTAATGACACACACACACATTGTTTTATATTATGTTTCATATAATATATTATAAGAGCAGTGAGTCGTATAGCAGCGACAGTCAAGGAGCTCCGACTGTAATTATCGTGTGTGTGTGTCAAGAGGTTATGGATGATCTTTTGTATGCATCTTATTCCTTAATCGTTATTAAGTATAGGCAGCAATGCTTCTGTGTGTCTGTGTGTGTTCCGCCTGTCAAATCACCATCATCATCATCTGCTGCCATGTGATTGGTTACTGAGGCAGTGAGCCTGAACGCTTTTATTAGCAAACACCATTTATCTGAACGTCTGCAGACACGCAGACCGAGAAAACAGGCGTACACAAAGAAACACACACACACACAAGGATATAGACACACACACACACAGGGAAATGAAAACGCCCCACGTGACAGCTGATCCTTCAGGGCCGTTCTGATTGGTTCTTACCTTCATTCACACCTTGATGCTCAGACAAAGTCCCTTAAGCGGTAGCTTAGCAACCAGTACATTTCATAGCAGTCAGTTGATTCATATGTGAGCTCCTGAACTTCACATTTCACTGTTGATCAATAACAGAACCAACTGCTGCTCTGTTGCCACGGAGACCACTGACTTCAGACCATGTTGTTTATTGGGCCTTTTTTTTCTGTCTGTAGATTTGGTCCACCTCACCTGTCAGTCAGTTGGCTCCGCCTTTGAGGATCTGTCACCGTTGGTTACCACAATGTTCCGCACTACAGAGTCACCTGACCGAGGTAACTTACACAAACTCACACATCAGTAATAATTTACTAGGCCTCGCAACATAATCTGTGATTAATGTGGCCTAGATCAACGCAACAAAATATTTTAACGTAGTTGTCTACTTCCGCGGAAACGAAACGCTAGCTGAAGTGAACCGATCGGCAACACACGCAAGACTTTAGAACCATGAAGTGAAACGAGTGCGTAGAGACGCAGAAACTTAACGTTAGCTTGCGCCTTCGAGTCTGCAGAGGACCACCGTGTCCCTAAAGGGCCGCCGTTTAAAAAACGTCCAGGAAAAATGTGGGGACATTGTTGTTCAAACACGTGGCGAGTTGAGAGTAAAGTGCACGAGGACACGAGGAAGAGTCGCTAGTTCAACATGTTCTGCCTCCAAGATCACATGTGTGGAGTTTTGTGTTTAAAATAACATTAACAATTACACTTTATAAAGTGATTACTCATTACTTTTAAAATGTTTAGAAGCAACAAACATGAATTATAAACAACATTGTAACAACAATATTCATTAATCGAGATTAATGAATTTCAAAATGTGCAATTAGTAAATTTTTTATAATTTATCTGACATAAGTTCATATATTAAAACTGTATTTTAACTAATTCATCATGTCCTGCTTTAATTCTAACTCTCACACACACACATGAAGTAAGCAGATTCATAACAGCTGTTAAACTGCAACTTTCAGCTTCTTTTTTTCATTATTCACACTTTAATTATTATAATAATCTTTAGCCCTTTTTTAATAAAATAAAAATGATAATCGGTGTTGCCGTTAACCGTCTGTCTGCAGAGACAAGTCCGTCCGTCCTCTGGTGTCTCTACTTCAACATGGCTGACGGCTCGGGGTTGGACGTCAAAGGTCACGACCTTCCGTCCAATGTGTTTGTGTGCTCCGGCCCCGACGGAGGTCTGAGTCACGAGCACGCCGTCCGACAGGTAGCATTAGCATTGAGCTAACCGGGTCGCAGCATACTAATGTATCATCTGATAATCAATAACTCGTTGTTGTCAGTATATAATTCCATTTTTTTTCTTCAGGCTGAGTGGATTTTTAAGCAAATTCTTCCTGAAGAAGATTTCTGTCCTCCAGCTCCGAATCCCGAAGACATAATCTACAACGGAGAAAACGCCTCCTCTACAGGAGAGGAGGAGGAGGAGGAGGAGGAGGAACAAAACAAGCAGGGGGAAGGAGGAGAGGAATGGAAGGAGGAGGGGAAAGAAGAAGGAGTGAAGCAGCAGGAGGAGGAGAGGAGGGAGAGAGAGGGAGGAGAGGAGGGAGGAGAGAATAAAGAGTGGAGGAAGGAGTGGAGGGAAGGAGTGGAGGAAGGAGTGGAGGAAGGAGTGGAGGAAGGAGAGGAGGGAGGAGATGTGCTGGAGGAGCCTTCAGACGGAGGAGTAATGTTTTCATCTACAAACCTTACGACAACTCCTGCAATGCATTGTGGGTTAAAGATGCCTTCATTTATTGTTTAAATTTCGTATCAAAGTTGCATAATTTGTTGCTCTTCTGCTTTATTTTATTTATATATTGTTTAGTTTCTGTTCTGTGGAAACATTAAAAAGCTTCAACGTGAAAAGAGTTTATATGAAAACAAACACACTGCTGCTACCCATAATCCCTAGGGAGAGATACAGATGCATGATGGGAAACTGAAGGTTATCCAAAGCCCCCAAACACTCCGACCCCCTTCTCAATACTAAGAAAAGAATCGACTCGGGAGACTCAGATACGGGAGAATGGTTACAAAAAATTCAGTCAGAATATCAGTCAAGAACTGGATCAAAATTCATTAACCAGACGAGCTGACATTATCAATATATATATATAAACACATTACATGTAGCTGACGCTTTTATCCAAAGCGACTTCCAATAAGAACATTTCAACCATAAGGAAACAAACTCAGAAGAACAAGAAACAAGTGTAATTTCCTCACATAAGCCGATGTACAACTTGCTGTAGATAAGAACCATTATAAGTCCAATGTAAGTGCTACAGTTAGTTAGTGTGTTAGTGGAGGTAGAGTGTGAAGAGGTGTGTCTTTAGTCTGAAGATGTGAAGGCTCTCTGTGGTCCTGATGTCTTCAGAGACCTCCTTCCACCATTTAGGAGCAGGACAGCAGAGAGTGGAGATCTAGTGGAGTGTTTTGCTCTCAGTGAGGAGGAACAAGCAGTTTATCACATGCAGAGCGGAGAGTGCGGGTCGGGATGTCGGGTTGGACCAGGTCCTGGATGGAAGCTGGACCCCATCCATTCACAGCATGGTACGTGAGCACCAGAGTTTAGAACTGGATGAGCCACCGGTACCAGTGAAGAGAGCGGAGGAGTGGAGGAGAACTTAGGAAGGTTAAAGACCAGTGGAGCTGCTGCATTCTGGATGAGCTGCAGAGGTGGAATGGTGGTAGCAGGGAGAAAAAAGTCCTTGAAGTCTTTATATGACAGTTGAAGGTCATATCCTGGTCCAAGAGAACTCCAGGATTCCTGACGGTGCTGCTGGGTACCAGAGACATTCCATCCATAAAACGTGTATCACGTGACGGCGCTCTGGGCCTATCAAGATAACTTCTGTTTTTTTAGCATCAGGAAGTTGCAGGTCATCCAAGTTTTGATGTCTCCAAGACATTCTTGAAGTCTAACACGTCTAAATGTAACAACCTCATTTGTATCTATATATCATTACTGCTTACATAGTATTTAATATCTATGACACAGTGACAATGTAAGATTTCACCTACACGTAGCCTCATTGATCAAACAATGAAATAGAAATATTTTCAAGCATCTGATCACATGTAAGATCTTATTGAAGTGCTGCTGCTGGTTTAGAGCCGTGATGTTCTCGTCCTTTAATTTGAACTTTGTTTTAGTGATAGACAATAAAAAGCTGCACACTGGATACAGACAAAAGGTTAAAGTTCAATTTAAACATGAAGTTATGAATCTAAACTCTGAACTCCAACAAACGTAATGTTACCGGTTACAGATTAGAGGTTATGAGCACTGAAGCTGGGTTATAGTAGATATCTTATGTACATTGTTACAACAAAAACAATGTCAAGATACAAGTTATATCTCATCTATAACCACTAGACGTGAAAACCAGCATTTCATTCTATTACGTCATTTAGCTCAGTGGTCCAACCTTTTTCACCTCGCGGAGCGTTTTCATGTCAGACCACCGATTTAGCTGATGCTTAAATCAGGCGACCACCTGGTGGGAGGAGTCAACAATCTGAAGTTTGACAAATGAAACGTGGCTGAAACATGTACTGAGAAAGGTTTACGTACATTACTTATATATCAGCACCCTCCTGGAGGTTTGGGATTAATAACCAACGACCATCTTATTGATTGACGCTCTGAACACAAACTGGGACTTTAATCTTTTTATTGTCACAAAATGTTGAAGCAGTGTTACAGACGACGGCCGCGGCGGCCTCCCTTCCTCCTGGTGGAGTCCGAGGGGATCGGAGTCACGTCCTCTGGGGGACAAGAACACATCTTTCAGATTCAAATACACTCATTTGTAGAGGAAACTAACAAGAGCGAACTGCTGATTACGATACATTTCCTTTTTGACAAAGCACATTGTGATACTCTAATGTACCCGTTTGCAGAAGTACTTGAACTCACCGATACGTCCGATCTTCATGCCGGACCGAGCCAGCGCTCTGAGAGCAGACTGAGCTCCAGGACCCGGAGTCTTGGTCCTGAAACCATCACCGATAATACTTATTAATAAAAGGCATTAAGATGATTGATTACGGCAATGATTATTCAAGTCTCAAGAAGTTCCCTTAAAAAAAATCAAAATTGATCAAAATACATTTTTTGTTAAGTGAAATTGTTTCTGTTGAACTATTTAACGCCTTAAAACCTCCCATTTTAGAATCTGCATACCGTTATTTAAGGGTATTTGAATCATGTGTGCAAAGAAAATGAGACCTTGTCTGAACTGAACCAAACGGCCACGTAGTCACATCTGTGCCGTATTCTCAGGAACCAAATGACACATTTCACTTGTGTATCACCGATCGTGTTCAATACAACCAAACACACACGTTTGGGGATTTAATATATATAGTATATACCCCCCGTTTGTAAATACACACGACAGTAACTTTGCGACCCATGACCCGATCTGAGTGATTGGCAGCTTGAATGGTTGGAGCCAATAGATTTCAGCTACACAAACCCAAATCTGATAGCCAATGAGTCAGTGGAGCCATTCCAACTTCACCTCGACGGTCTGAGCGCCGCACAGGAACTAGATGGAAGTATTTTAATGTGGAATTACTGGGAAAATCTTTTAGCTACAGCTCAGGGAAGACCTTTGACTGTTTGATAGATTTCTGTTGGCGTTCTTGGTCTCCTACCTCGACTCACTTTCTGTGGGTTGTCGGTTTTAATCAAAGATATTGAGTCTCTCTACAACACAACGTGTCGTAGCGTTACAGCGAGGCGGCGTCATAAGAATGGTGACAGCAGTTATTTGCTATGTCGCCTTCTCCCAGCCCCCCATCTCTGGATATGTGAACTTCCACAAACAGCTGAGGGGATTTATTGTATTGGAGGAAATGAAGACAGCGGTTTCCATGGAGATAAGCCCCTTCCCCTGAATGTGTGAATAAACCAGCTGTAAAGCAACGTAATTAAAAAGAAGATCTATAATACAACAGAGGGACATGTGGACAGAGACGGGTACCTGTTGCCCCCCGTGGCCCTCAGCTTGATGTGCAGCGCCGTGATGCCGAGCTCTTTGCAGCGCTGAGCGACGTCCTGCGCGGCCAACATGGCGGCGTATGGAGACGACTCGTCTCTGTCGGCCTTCACCTTCATCCCGCCAGTCACACGGCAGATTGTCTCCCTGGCAACGCACGGGCCAGTCAGAAGACAGGTACACCACCACCACTAGTTCTCTGGGTTTAAAGGGGGCTTCACACCACCAACAACAAAAGACAGGGACTCACTTCCCGGAGAGGTCGGTGACGTGGACGAAGGTGTCGTTGAAGGAGGCGAAGATGTGACACACTCCAAACACGTTCTCTCCTTCAGCCACCTGAGGACCCAGACTGATGACCTGCTCCTCCTTCTTCTCCTTCCCTTTACGAGGAGCCATGTTCTGAGGAGGAAGACACGTCAGACCACCAGAGCAAGAGCACATTGACCTAAAAGCTTATGGAACCACTGCGCCAAGTGGTGCGTTCAAGGCCCTTTGACCATGTGGTTTATTCGTAGTTTGCACAACTTCAGAACAATTTGATGTCTTTCCGATAAAACGGCACCAGAGGCGGTCACGTGGCGGCGGAAGCTCGGGCCGAACTCCCGTTAACGTAACGAACAGCAGCAGCGAAAATAAGCCACTGACGTTAAATAGTCTACGTCACACAGGCAGGTGAACGCGTGCGCCGGAGACACGCCAACGGGCCAGAACATTAGCACATTAGCTTAACTCCGGGTGTAACTAACGCACCTGGTTTCTCGTGAAACCCGTATAAAGACGCAATGACTTAACCTACGTTAACGGAATAACAGAACGGTTTCCTGCTGTTTGAGCTAAAATGGCGACATTTAAGAAGCAGCGCCAACGACACACAGGCAGACGCAGCGAAAACGTCTAATATCGAGAAGACTTTCACTCAGATTAAACATTTCTTCACAAACACACACGAAAATAAACGAACAGCAGAGTTAGACACGTTAAATCATTGGATGTTCACCCAAAGAGCAGATTAAAGGCAGATGAAGATGAGAGCAGGATTCACCTCAGTATGTCTCTAAGCGGAGCAGAAACAAGAAAGGAAGGAACTTCCGCTTCCGGGGGCAAAGTTGAGGCGTTTTCAGCGCGGGAACGACCCGCTGCTGCGCCCACGTGGTCACTACAGGAAACGCAAGTTATTTATTCAAGTAACGTTCTATACAGTGAGTACGGAAAGTATTCATACCACTTTACATTTTTCACTCTTTGAGTCATTGCAGCTATTTGCTAAAATCAAAAAAGTTAATTTTATTTCTCATTAATGTACACTCAGCACCCCATTGACAGAAAAAACAGAAATGTAGAATTTTTTTATTGGAACTGGAGAGGATCTGCAAGGAACAATGGCAGATGATCCCAAATTCTGGTGTGAAAAACATCATTCCCAAGAAGAGTCGTGGCTGTAGCAGCTCGAAAGGCTTCTACTCAATACTGACAAAGGCTCTGAATACGTATGACCATGTCATATTTCAGGTTGTTTTTTTACTACATTTGCAAACATTTCTACATTTCTGTCAAGTGTACATTAATGAGAAATAAAATGAGCTTTTTTTCACAAATGGCTGCAATGAAACAAAGAGTGAAACATGTAAAGGGGTCTGAATTCTTTCCATCCCCACTTTATTCATTATTTATTTTGGAATATAAAGAAATACAATATAATACATATTTTGGAGATGTATGAAATAGAAAATGATAAAATAGGAATAAATTGTTATATTGTTGAATTGTTATTTTAATTTTTTTGTGAATTAAACACAGATTTCTTAATTCTCCTCGTATTTTTATATTTTTGCAGCATATTTTCTGCACTAATATAATTCCTAAAATATGTTTCAAAGAATTTATTTTTCCTTTTATAAAAAGCAGTGTAATCTTTGAAAACCTCAGGATCAATATTCAATTTTAATAATCTGTCACATTAGAATAATCGCCTTTTGCGATGATTCTGCAGATTGTTAAAGAATGTCAGTGTTAATGTCACATGTTGTGTTCCTTTATATGTTGTGAAAGTGAAGCAAAGTGAGCAAAGTTAACTCCTAAATGAAAACAGACCAATCAGAAGCCTTTAAACACTTCCGTTTATTTACAGAAACACTATGAACACGATACAGAAGCAGAAATACTTCTTTAAAGGATTAAAAACTCTCTCCCTCTCTGTCACTCACACACACACTGTTACATAATCACACACGCCCACTGTTATACACACACACACACACACACAGTTATACAATGAGCATGCACCATTGGAGTCCAGTGAATACAGAACATCACAATATCCATCATAGAAAAAGCTTAGCTTATTGATCATTGGTTATTGATTACGGAAGGTGGAAACATGGCTGACAGGAAACATCACAATCCAGTTTGACCTTTGCTTTTATTTTGATTTGTGTTTCTGGAATGAAACCAACAATCGATAAATGAACCCGGCGAGCGTCAGACTGTGATACCAATACTTACTTCTGTTAATACTGTAATGTAACTTAATCCCTGATTAAATAACGAGGGACAAGGTTGTTTGTTTATTACACTATGATTCGTCACTATGCTGTGATTGATCGGCCCTCCTCCAATAGAATCAGTTCTTCTTCTGATAATTAACAACCTTGGTTTTAAACATCCAATCTTCTCTAACAAAAAAAGAGTAAAATGAGTAAAATAAATTGAATCTAATCTATATATATAAATATTTCGTCAGCCCGGATCTCCTGGGTTTGTTAGCGCTGTTAGCATGTTTAGCATTCCTGACTGTGGCCAATCAAATGCTGTCAGCCACAAAATAGCACATTAGCTCGCTGCAGACGTGTCAGCTTGCGGCCAGAAGGCAATTTCCCGCCATGCAGATGAGAAACACGGCAGCTGCTGAACATCTGCTTCAAACAGGAAACACATCTGGAATCTGCTTCAAGATCAATTGTGTAGTTTCAAGCATCAACACCAACATGCTTCATTTGCATCACTGCAGAGATTTTCCACCTTCAGGCTTCTTCAAAGGTCAAAGTGGATTTAGTCGCGTTAGGAAAGGAACACTAGAAAAAACATCCGTTCTCTCTGCCGGCGCCATTTGGGGTCCTCATTGTTTACCCCCCCTTTACTTAAAACGTGAATTATCAGATGCATGTCCATGGTTAAACATTCCCAGCGGTGCGAATGTTAACGAGATTTCAGCTTTCACTTCCAGTGCAGACAGGATGCCAAATGGCAGAAACAAGCGAAGAGTAACTGGAGTCACGAGAGAACACAACGCGGCTAATTATACTCAGTGTTGCACTGCACGCCTGCGCCAAGGTCAGAAAGCTTTCAAATATACAAACGTGATATTAATCCACAACAATAATAATGACTATAATATGCTGCTAATAATCTGATTGTACAAAGTTCTACATTCTCCGAACAAAAGCAACTCAGAGACAAACACAACAAGCCAAAACTCGCAGAACATCAAAGACGTCTTGTTAGCTCGCGGCTAGCAGAAGCCATTGCTCCGGTTGAGAAATGCTAGCCAAGCTAACAAGTCGGAAAAACAAAAGTGCAACAGAGACCCAAGCGAGAAAAAAAACACGAGAAGGAAAAGTCCCGCATGCAGAAAATCACCGAAAGAAACTCTAATAATGAAACACAAGCCGACGGCCTTGTGTTTCACCTAAAAATACTCAATGCAGCTTTTGTTTGTAATAAATGTTGAAATGAGTGAGTTATTGAATCCTGAAGTACGGAAGCTCAGAGGAGCCAAAACGCACCAAAAACACACCGATGTTCATTAATGAAGTCACTTTATGTTTTGGTTGACCTGTTATTGCTTCCCTCAGTGGATGTAAATAACAATAGAACAATACATCATCAGTGTACATAATATAATCCAATAATTGATTGCATGAAGGTATTTCATAGATGTTTATGCCCATCTTGGCTATTGTATTATTATTAATAATATGCCAACGTTTTTTAAACTGGAATAAAAATGTATAATTTGCATTAATATGAATTTTTTAATTATGACCTCTGGGCCTCCGTACCGATGAGACGGATTATCGTTGCTCACGGCAACAGATGAAGGGTCGCTAATTCTGATTGGCTGTCAAAGCGTCACTATGTTTAGTTGTTTCACTTCAAACCCTCAAGCGCTCCGATAACAATCGAACAACAAACCGATTATACATCCTGGACACATAAATAAGTCTTTCATCCTCCTCATGTTTCCTTCCTTCCTTTCCTACATCCTTTTTCCTCCCACAGATTCTCTAAAATCTAAAAGAGTTAGCGTGGTGAAGCGGCTCGTTGCTAGCGAGGTCATGGAAGATGGCGGGTCGGAGAGCAGGAAGCTGGCGGAGGTCTCCGAGGCCGACGGAAGCAGAGAGATGAACATCCAAACCTCGATTCCTCGACTTCGTAGACTCATATTAAATATTATATTTAATCTGTTTAACCAAGTCACAACTTTATGAATTGATTGTTCAACCTTTTTGACTCTAAACAATCAAATTTGTCTTATTCTCTAGTTATATATGAATAATCTTAGATGTGTAATACATTAAATATTCAACAGAATAATTGAGCAACTTTAAAGCCAATTTAAATCACCTCTTGAGAATCATTGAGAAATAATAATCTTTATCTTCGTCATTTTTGGGAAATATAAAGAGCAGAAATAGAATAATTATCAATAATTGCGTTGTTGTTTTTTGACCTCATGAATGAATGTAAATAGCTAAAAACTGTTAAAATAAATTAAAACAACATTAATGTGTCCAATAATAATCTAATAAACTTGATAAATATTTTGATACTTCATGTTAATAAAATCGAATAACTTTGTTGAGCTCTGAATGAGGAGTTTTAAGGGGAAACCTTTTCAGGGACGTGAAGGAGCCGTTGATCCTGTCAATCATCCCGACGGACGACATAAGAGGTTTTCATACAGTATCACAATCGGAGCAGCTGAGTGGCTGGTCACAAGGGGGCGTGAGGTGGAAGCTGATTGGTTGATTGTGCATTTCGCTGCTCTCTGGCTCCGCCCCCCTTGTTCAAACTTCCTGTCTGGTGTCGCAAGCCTGGCCCTGCTGTCAATCAATCAGTCATCAAAGCGACAGTGAAAAGACCCGCCCACGCTGGAGGTTAGCTGGATGGAGAGAGAAGAAGAACCGTCAATAAAACACTCAGGTTCCTGGTTATGAGACACAACGCACGAATAACAAATGTGCACCTGGAGAAGGCGCTCTTATTTTGAAATAAGTCTTTAAACTGACCTGTTCTTACTTGGTCAGTGTGGAGGGGGAGCCCGAGCGGTGGAAATGGACGATCTGCCACTTCCCGTCGCGGCGGTGCCACACCCGGGTCTCCTCTGATTGGGCGGTGCGAGGCGTCCCGTTGGCGTCGATGTACTGAGTCACTCTAATGTAGGCGATGCAGGCGGCCTCGTCTCCCACCAGGTGGATGTGAGGGTTCAGGATGGTGGTGTGGACCGGTTTACTGTTCTTAGACCACACTGAGGACAGAGGACGAGTCGAATGAGGACTAAACGTAACGATCCACGACTATTATTGTTTCCACACAGACGTCAGTCTCAGTAAGTTATTTGTGCAGGAAGTTTTGTTCCGCTCACAGTTTTCAAAATAAAAGCGGTGGAAGTCAAGGCCTTCAACCAGATTCCCCAGTGCCTCAGGCTCGAACGCTGTGACAGCTGGGTCGCACATTTTACTGAGGGGACAGAGACAAAGGTTTGCTGAGGGGAGACAGGGTTATTGAGTTTGCTGAGGAGAAAGAACACATTCATTGTCAGCCTCCATTAATACCACAAAGGAACTTTCAAAATAAGAGTCTCTGGTGTTACATACGTGTAGCTCTCAAAGTCCCCGTTGCTGATTGCCTCGATGAGCTGCTCTGTCACTTTAATAATGTCCTGTTTCCTCACTGACAGACAGGCAGGGAGGGAGAGACGGAGACAGACAGGGAGACGGGTTAGTACACCAATCAGTGGTCATTTTTTGTCATTAATCATTAATGAATAGTGATGGTAAGTGTGTGTGCCTCTGGTGTCTTCATCCTCAATGGTGGTGTTTGTGCTCTCAGATGATTCCTACAACAACAACAACAACAACAACACGTGCTTATTCAGGAAGCCGTTGTCACGTCAAAACATGATTGCCTGTCAAAACAAACTCATCCAATGCAGCATGGTTAGAGTCCTCCTTAAACATGAGCACAACAACAACAGGCAGCGGTTACCTTGACGCCGTCGGCCTTCTTGTTGCCGCTCTTGCCTCCTGAGCGAGGGACAAGAACGAAGAGAAAAAGAAGCAGCAGAGTCAGAAAGAAAGGAACAAACGCAGAGAAGAGGAGCGACGGCATCGCGCCCACAAGCGCCGCTTACGTGAAAAAACGTCAAGACGGAATAAACGCTAAATAAAAACAAAGAAGAAGAAGAAGAAGAGGAGGAGGAGAGCCTCCTGCCCGGGACCCTGACTCGTGCTGATCGTTTCTGTCAGTCAGCATTCAGACGGAGAGACTATTAGAGACTAATAATAAGTAATAAGAGTTTTAATTTGTAATGCTCTATGATCCAAGAGGAAATATGTCCGTCCCTGAGCCTGAGTGTCTCCGTCCCTCAGCCTGACTGTCTCACTCGGTGGTCTTCGTGCTATCTAAAGGTCTCTGGTATCCTAAATGTGTGAAACTTTGTGACAGCTGCTGCTTCCTGTCTCTCACACACACACACACACATACAAACACACACATGCGAACACTTCACACACACATACAAACACACACAGTCACACACACACACACACACAGTCACACACACACACACACACACACACACACACACACACACAGTGTTAACCTGATAATTGTGTGTGAGTTGACAGCTGATTGGTCCGGCTCTGCTACTGGGACACTAACCGGTCAAAGGTCATATCCTCAGAGATTAGAGCAGTTGATGATCTTACCGGAGAAATTCCTGGTGGCCAACATGGTGGTGAGGATAGCTCCCTGAAGGAAAGGAGACAAGGAAGGGAACCGGGGGGGTGGGGGTGGGAGAAGGAAGAGAGGAAAAAAATGATGTAGGGAGAAAAGGAGACATGAGACCTTTAGCATGTTCCATGTGACCTTTGACCCCGGCCTACCTTGAGTTTCCTCCTGGCGTTGAACTTCTTCAGACACTCAACGGTCTCCTGCCGGTGCATACAGGAGGCCACGGTCGAGCGGTGCTGAGAGGAGGAGCACACAGTGTAAGTACACACTGTACACACATACACGTAAACATACAGTGTGTATTAGTACACTCACAGAGATCCAGGGGTGCTTCAGAGCCTCGGCTGCTGTGATCCTTTTAGACGGGTTGATGGTTAACATCTTATTTATGAGGTCTTTAGCTTCAGGAGTCACTGTGTCCCACTCAGGAGAGGGGAACTGAAGGGGGTGGTGGGGGGGTTACTACCATGACAACCTCACAGGTATTCAGCTCAAAGTCACCAGTCAACACGGTCACTGGTTAGAGTGAAACACCGATCTTAACTCTGATCCCAACATTTAGATGTTAAAAACGGATGAAAAAGCGTAAAAGCAACAGTAACCTTACAACAAGCTCACATTTTGATCAATATGAATAATTCCCCCAACATCCATGTCTGTGTTTACTATGGTAACGGGATCACGTTATGGTCACCTGACTGGTGAGGAAGCATGGGACCTACATCATAAGCTCCAGCCTTGATTTGCTGGTAGAGACGATGTTGATCTTCATCCCAAAATGGAGGATAACCAACCAATAAGATGTAGAGAATCACACCTGAGGGAGAGAACCAGACGCACCTTAGAGACAAGTACGCTTGAGGGAGGCAAAGAAACAAGGAAAAAGTGGTGAAGTAGAAGCAGAATAGAATCTGACCACAGGCCCAAAGGTCGACAGCTTTGCCATAAGGGTCTTTCCTCAAAACCTCCGGGGACAGGTAACCGGGGGTCCCTGCAAAGCCTGAAGACACACACACATTTTGTTAGACCAACTAACTAAAGAATTACACAGTAATAGAAGTAGAAGAAGAAGAGTAGAAGAAGAGTAACAGAATCAATGGGCCAGCTCCTTTTTATAGTTATGTCTGGCTCAGGTTTATAGTTAAGGCTGGCTCAGGTTTATAGTTATGTCTGGCTCAGGTTTATATGTAAGGCTGGCTCAGGTTTATAGTTATGTCTGGCTCAGGTTTATAGTTAAGGCTGGCTCAGGTTTATAGTTATGTCTGGCTCAGGTTTATATGTAAGGCTGGCTCAGGTTTATAGTTATGTCTGGCTCAGGTTTATAGTTAAGGCTGGCTCAGGTTTATAGTTATGTCTGGCTCAGGTTTATATGTAAGGCTGGCTCAGGTTTATAGTTATGTCTGGCTCAGGTTTATATGTAAGGCTGGCTCAGGTTTATAGTTATGTCTGGCTCAGGTTTATAGTTATGTCTGGCTCAGGTTTATAGTTATGTCTGGCTTAGGTTTATAGTTAAGGCTGGCTCAGAATGCTGCAGCACGTGTATTAACAAGAACTAAGAAAAGGGATCATATCACTCCTGTATTAACTTCTCTGCACTGGCTCCCTGTTGAATCAAGAATAGATTTTAAGGTACTTCTCCTCACCTACAAGACACTTGCTGGTGAGGCACCGTTGTATCTTCAAGAGCTTGTAACACCGTATTGCCCTACAAGGCAACTGCGCTCCATAGATGCTGGTTACTTGTTGTTCCTATGGTTTTAAAAAGTAGGCTGGGGGCCAGAGCCTTCAGTTATCAAGCTCCTCTTTTGTGGAACCAGGTTCCACTTTCAGTCCGGGGGGCAGATCCGGTTAGCTCTTTTAAAGTAAAACTTAAAACGTTCCTCTTTGATTCTGCCTATAGTTAGGGCTGGCTCAGGTTAGTCCGGACCAGCCCTTAGTTAAGCTGCTATAGGCTTAGAATGCCGGGGGAATTCTTAGGACACACCGAGCTCCTCTCTTATGCTCTCGTTCTACCATAATTCAAGTTTTATTAATGCACATGACTAATTCAGCTTCTTTCCGGGAGTTTTTTTTTGTGCTTTCGCCCCTATCAGGTCTCCATAGATCGTGGTTCCTTCGGGACCCTGGTCCTGACACCTACCGTGGCCATGCTGACGCCTGCTGCTGCCATCATCATCATCATCATCATTATTTTAGATATTAATCATATTACTTTACTCATAAACCGACATTACCCTCTCCTAAAGTCTTTGTGCTCTCCCTCCCCACAGGATTCTGTGGATGGTGGTTCTATCTGATGGTGGTTCTATGTGATGGTGGTTCTATCTGATGGTGGTTCTATGTGATGGTGGTTCTATCTGTAATGTAATTCCCCTGCAGTGGTCCTGCTGTGCGCCTGGCTTACTACTCACAATTACTTGAATCGATTTCTGTCATAGGAATTGCATGTATTATACATTGTTCATTCTGTACACATGGCATCCATTGTAGTCTGTCCATCCCGGGAGTGGGATCCTCCTCTGACGTTCTCACTAAGGTTTCTTCCCTTTTTTCCCTCTTGGAAGGGTTTTTTCATTTTTTGGGGAGTTTTTCCTGTGCCGATGGTGGGTTTCGGGGCAGAGGATGTCGTATGTGTACAGACTGTAAAGCCCTCTGAGGCAAATTTGTAATTTGCGATTCTGGGCTATACAAAATAAAATGACTTGACTTGACTTGACTCAGGTTTATAGTTATGTCTGGCTCAGGTTTATAGTTAAGGCTGGCTCAGGTTTATAGTTAAGGCTGGGCGCAGGTTTATAGTTATGTCTGGCTCAGGTTTATAGTTATGTCTGGCTCAGGTTTATAGTTAAGGCTGGCTCAGGTTTATAGTTAAGGCTGGCTCAGGTTTATAGTTAAGGCTGGCGCAGGTTTATAGTTATGTCTGGCTCAGGTTTATAGTTATGTCTGGCTCAGGTTTATAGTTAAGGCTGGCTCAGGTTTATAGTTAAGGCGGGCGCAGGTTTATAGTTAAGGCTGGCTCAGGTATATAGTTAGGGCTGGCTCAGGTTTATAGTTATGTCTGGCTCAGGTTTATAGTTAAGGCTGGCTCAGGTATATAGTTAGGGCTGGCTCAGGTTAATAGTTATGTCTGGCTCAGGTTTATAGTTAAGGCTGGCTCAGGTATATAGTCAGGGCTGGCCCCTTTTCAGTTGCTGTCTCTCAGGATTATTCCTAGCTCAAGGTTTGTTGGGTTTTTCCGGTTCTGGGGAGATGGTCCTGGAACAAAATGTGTAGTTTGTTTGTGATTTTTTATCTTCTATCTTTGGGTTCTTACCGAACCAGGCCTGCTGGTCTCCCTCCACCTCGATGGCGAGGCCGAAGTCGGCCAGTTTCACAGCCGCTCCTTTAGACTTTGATGCCAGCAACAGGTTCTCGGGCTGGAGACACAATGGATATGTTAACATGCTTACTCTGGTCAATGATATACATGAGAGACGCTAACATGCTATCCCTAGTAAGAGTGGTACCTTCAGGTCTCTGTGGACAACGCCCATTTGGTGACAATGTAGCACCGCCTCCAAAATCTGCTGGATACAGTGACTGTTCACAGATAGACAGATGCCAGAGGTCAGAGGTTCTGTGTGAATCCTATCTCAGTTAGAGGCACATTTATCGATGTGTATTTTTTACCTGGCGTCAGCTTCACTGTAATATTCTCTGGCTACAATATCTTCAAACAGCTCTCCGCCCGTTACCCTGAGAGACGAGGAGCAGGACAGCAAGTAATGAAACAGGATGTGGCATCACACATGTATCATTTAGAAGTTCAGAACATAACAGAGAAAAGCACTCACAGGTCAAAGATGAGGTAATGATGAAGCTCCTCTGAAATACTGTCATGTAGCCGCACTGAAAGAAAGAAAGAATCCGATTATCTAACCAGGTACCACAATCACTGTCGCACAAGGCTGATCGTCTCATATCTCGCAGCAAACATTGAATTTGAAACGTGTACTTGTACTGCAGTATTTTCACCGCAGTACAATCTGGCAGAGTGCTCAGAAACTTTACATTGTGTAACAAATATATATAATAACAAATACAATCCCACTGCTGGTTTGTGTGGGAGAGGAGAAGCTCATCATCCCTCTCTGAGTGCTTTCACACAGGTGTGTGTGTGGCTGTGTGTGCGTTGCTAGGCAACAGTGTCCTTAGGTGAAGGCATCAAACCCTCTCTCCTCCCACACACACACACAGGCTTGCGTAACACTCCTCAGTATCTGCGGAGCATCACCTGCCCACACAGAGCTCTGATTGGATGTCGGGTTCAGCCTCAGCCCTCTGATTGGCCAGTTGGGTCCTCTGAGGTCATATTTAAAGAGCTGACGGATTCTGGATCAGTTTGTGTCCTTTTGATGAAGAAACACAGCTGTGGGGGCGTTTATTGTAAAGTAAAGAGAGGAAGTGGTGATTGACAGCATGATGGCTCCTCTCCTTTAATATCTGTGTTTTTATTTATGTACTTTTAACTACTGTACTTAAGTATATATTCAATGTACTCCACTTGATTATTAGATTGAATGTGGAGGAAATTAGTATTTCTAAGAATTAGTAAGATTTAGGTATCAACCTTTGACCCCTGTGAAGTAAAACCTGCTGAGGAAACTCAGCACAAATATTGAGTCTGTGTACTTTGTGTTGTTTGTATTTGTACTGCAGTAATAACTCTGTGATGGAAGTCTGTTAAGTGAGGAATACCCGTCTCCATGGCGATAACAGCTCATCATCAATTAGTTACGACACCCTGGTTACTGATGCCAACACTTCCATAATTTATCATCACCATCAGCATTCTGACCAGGATAGATCGGTAGTACATCGAAATGTAGAACGCAGTACATGCAATAGTAATCTTAATAGCAGCAGAAGCAGTATTAGGAGCAGTAATAGTAGCAGAAGAAGTAGAAGTGCAGACCAATATTTGGGTGC